CACTACCCGTGTAAGCCTCTGAACAGGGTCTATTGATGAAAACCCCACGTTTGCACTCTTGAATTTTTTAGAACGTGTTTCCAATCTTCTCCAAAAGCTCTAGATTAGACCCAACCTTATTTACAGCTCACCATCTACAATGAAAACCTCATAAATTTCCTTGTTATTCACGTCAAACTTCCACAAACCCATAAAAATCCCTTTGAATTAGCGCGGGTTTAGTGTTTTACAATCTGCAAGTCCCAAGTTCTCAACTCATGAGGATTTTACAATCTTCTAGGTCCAATTTTCAATTTACAACTTGGTAGAAAAAGATGAACGATTCCCCCGGCGGTTGGGTGTGGTTCCGTGACACGGAAATGGAAGGGAACGTTGAGAAAAACGGGTGTTTCAAGTCGGCCGGCATTGAAGTTTTCAAAGGGTTCTGTGGGAAGTTTTTGAGACTGATGGGCTTTTTTGGACTTTTTGAAATCAAATTTGGGGAAAATGAAGCAAATCTCATCAAACGTTTGACCTTTTTTGATAAACAACATAAAAATTTAATGATAAATTGACTTGAAAAAGCCCTCTATGACATTAGAACGCTACCTAAACTACTCCATAAATCTTTTTAAACCTTTGGAAAACGGGAAAACCGATTTTTTCAGCTTAATTTGACTATACCTATTAAATTTGTCCTTCAAAAGAAGTATTATTACGGTGAGGGACATGATCCAGTGGCAAAAAAGGTACCATTTTGCATCCGGGAAGTATCGAGAATGTGGCAAAATGCTTCCCTCTCCAAGTGAAAAAACTCAGATTTCAAAAGCGCGCCCTTCAAAAAGAAGTTTTTTCACTTGGGGAGGGAAGCATTTTGAGACATTTTTGATACCTCCCTGATGCCAAAAGATAAACTTTTTGCCACTGGATCAGGTCCCTCACTGTACATTCACGCTTGTTTTTCCGAATAAACAAGCTAGAACCGTGTCTTATCCTCTATGTTTCGATCGTTTTTCTAGACATCCCAATCTCAATTGACGAATGGAAGTTTGGTTGCGGTTCACCCCAAAACCCTTCGAGGTTTTTATTTCCTTGACGACTTTTTTATTATTGGTTCAATCATCCCGTTTAAAGGACGTTGAGAAACTGTTTTTTCTTACGTCAAATGGGTAAACTAACAACTTTTAGATTACTAATTTCCTCGATTTCAGAGGGGTTTTCAGCGAAAAGGTATTTTATATTGTAGTAGACAGTTAGCAAGCGTTTATACTCCTCTGAAAGGCCTAGTAAATCATAGATATAGCCTTACAGCGAGCCTTTGACTTCGGACGCTAGAAACAAACCAAAAAAACGTTTACAATCGGGCAAATGGTCATCAAGTCTTTACAAATAGTCTTTACAATACGATTATAGCTTGTAGAAGCGACCAAAGAGATCAAAAACATGATTTGTTATAGGGCAGAGCGCCTTCGAAACTTTCTTTGACCTGAAATTGCAGCAGGGGTCGCGGGAAAAGTTCGTTATGTACAGTTACCGTGGGGGACGTGAACCAGTGGCAAAAGAGGTACCATTTTGCATCCAAGAAGTATCAAAAATGTGGCAAAATACCTCCCTCTCCATGTGAAAAAACTTCTCTTTTCGCGGAAAAAAAGGGCGCGCCCTTCAAAATGAAGTTTTTTCACTTGGAGAGGGAAGCATTTTGCCACATTTTTGACACTTCCCGGATGCAAAATGGTACGTTTTTTGCCACTGGATCAGGTCCCCCACTGTATTACATACGACGTATTTCGAAACTTTCTTCGCAATAAAGCCTCCTTACAAAACCTCCTGCTTATAACAAACAATTTCAGCGATCCTCACCACAGTTTTTTTGCCAAAGCATTCTCAAAACAACTAATTCCCATAAAGAGCACAATTTTGACCTCTTTAGTCCCTTTACAAAGATTTCATTCGTATTTTGTGCACTCTAATGACCATTTGGTCGATTGCAAACGGTTCGTTTAGCCCAATTCTGGGGTCTTTGGTCAGAAACATTCTCGTTTTTTCTTCGCCGACCACAATCTGAAGCCATTTTTCAAGACGGCTTTTTGATCGACCTTCCTGCCATTTCCGAGAACCTTGGTTTTTATGATATTTTGGAGGTGTTCGCTTTTTATCAATCAAAACGGGCGACAAAAATTCATAAGGGCTTGGGTTTTAGGTTCTCCCACTTCCTCATATTTAGTACTAGAATTGCTCATCTTCGAATTGTTGTTGTTAATTATTCCGAGGGCAGGAGTTCAGCTGAGGTTTTGTTGAGGGAGCGGTAATTACCTTCGCCTCGGTATTCACTTTCTATTTCCTCAATATTCAAACGAAAGGGGTTTCCCTACAATAATATTAGTTTTTGGTAGCTATGTTATATTTTCTAGCGGCATTGGGAAGCTATCAAAAAATAGGCCTTTAGCGGCAAAGTTATGTAATCTAGGTCTAAAATGATATCCATAACATCCAAATCGCCGTTATTTGAAACTTTATTATTGCCTGATATAATAAAGTTTCAAATAATGAGGAAATGGATGTAAATTTACTATATAACTCATTCTTTATGGTCTAATATAAACTATTAAAGCCCTGTACTCTAATAATCTTGCGATTATCAGCAATTTTTTAACCTTCCCCTTCATAGCACATTAAAATCAATCTTTGTAGTATGACAACATCAAATCCCCACCCAAGTTAATATTATTTACTCTTGTTTTACAGTTTTTCCTAATTCCACTTTCAATTTTCGCTTCTCCAAAATTCCGTGAAATCGCCAAAGATTACCTTAGGTTTGATGGGATCGAGTTTTTCGGTCGCTGTGAAAACAATTTTTCCCGTTGCGCATTCCAGCGCAAATTTGTCAAGTTCAAAAAAGATAACAGATCGGAATTTTGTTTTTGTCAGTTTTGCACTGTGCAAGGTGAAAATTTTTGATTCTAACGGTTTTCATATTTTACCTTCGTTAATTTTGTGATGTTTTGACCCTGGATCCTACACAATACTCGCCAATAAATCTTTTTTGTTTACTCCAACAATTTCCAATCCATAAAATCACAACTTGCTGCAATCATAAACTCAAATCACGTCCGAAAACGATCGATTATGGCTTCTGCTTTCAGCCACATTTACAAAGTATAATAGCCACTTGGTTTTGGATTGATCTCGCGTATGTGCTTATAATTACGTGTTCTTTAAAAGGCGTGCAAATTGGAGAATAACAAACACATAATTCAGGGGTGCCATTTAGGCTATTACTGGTTGACGGAGAAGGTAGTAATTACCGTAAACAATCGGGGAATTTTGCTAAATAATCAAAGTATTGGGTTCTTTTGGAGAGTAAGGGCTGTTAACGGCTGATGAGTTTTGAGGGGATGACGTCATTTGGGAGGGAAATTAATTCTTGAACATCAAGTGGTTTGTTTGTGTGTTCCTAGCGCGGGTACAAAAACTTTTTTTGTTGAAACACAGAGTAGAAATTCAGTTCACAAAGCTCAATGTTCAACGGGCAAGCATATAAATTTTAATTTTTATGCAAAAAGATAACATTTGAGAACTTTTTTACCTCAAATTCTTGTGATCGTAACGCTTTTTTCTCCGTTATTTGTATCTAAACTCATCATACCGTATTTTACCCTCCAAATATACTTTTTCCGAACGCATCCAGAACGCTCTTCTTTTCGAAATCGCACATTTTTGGCAGTTATTTACTGTTTTTGAAGCAGCAGACAGTCCGTCTTTTTAGCGAGGTGCGACGATAAGATCTACACTTACAAAAACTCCATCGGCGCAGGGCCTTTTATTCCACAGGACTGCTTTTAGGACGTTTGACGGGTTTTGCTTTCTGTTTTTTACTCCGTTTTAATGGTCTCCACCGATTATTATCAATAATCGACAGGGCCAGAACTGACTTGACAAAGTTTTATTTTGACCCTTCTAACCTCGTGTACAATATCCTAGCTATGTTTTTTCCAGCTAAATCATCATTTCCCCAGCTTCACAGACCCATAAATCGTCATGTTCTTATCACGGCTGGTTTCCCAAATTCGTCGATGAAGCGGTGCGTCGGTCAGAAAACAGCGGTTCGCAAAAACAACGCCCGCATTCCACAACCTTCTGAGTTGTTACCAAAATTAACTACACTCGCGCGTTTCTATTAGTGCAAAGTTTGTTTTCATGCCTATTCCATCAACTGCGCTTTCAAGTTTACAAAAGACAACAGGCATCATTCAAGAGTTCAATTTGTAACCATTTCCACTCGACTTTCTTTTATTCTCCTAGTTTACAACTCTGTTTTCTTAGAGCGATGGTTCTTTAAAAGTCACACCGTTTTCACCAAACAACACCCAAATTGCCTGCGGCTTCTCGTAAACGCGGTGTTCTCTTTTTACGCACGTCATCGACGTCTTGACAAGAAACTATTTATGGGCTTCTTGGCGGAATTCTTCCATTCGTCAAATTCGGTTATCGTTCTCGATTTATTGAGAACTCTTACGGCTTCCGTATTTTGTGGGGGGTTTCGGAGAAATTTCAAACGATCAAATCACAACTGCTGTGATTCCATTATTAAACCAAATAAATTTTGCCGATAGGTTCCCCTTCCAAAAACGGTTGCGAAGCCATAAAAGTGATGCTGATATCGCCAGCATGGTGATAGTAAGATCATTTAACGAGCATACTATCATCAAGCTGGAGATAAAAGCATCACTAGTATGGCATCCAATCGTTTTTTCATAACACTATTTCGTCTCGACAATCACCTTTTCTTAGTTTTATTAGCCACTATCTTTCACTATGTACGCCTATACCACCCCTATAATTCATATATGACGCAGATCCAACCATTAGTCCAACCCGTTTCCATTTTACACCACTCCCTTCTAGTATTTCCCAATTAGGCTCCTGCGTTTAAACCGAATTACCTACTTTAAAATGATGTTGAGTCAACTTCGTTTTTGCTTCAAAATTTTCACGTTCTATCGCAACAATCCCCTTTTCAGATGACGCTTCTGGTTTCCTTAACGATACTCTTGTTGGTGCAGCGATATGCTGATGCCACGACGGAATGGTTCGGCGATTTGAGGGCGCACATGAACCCATCCAACAATCCCGCCTTTTATGATATTACATACGACGACGATGACTGTCCACAAGGTCTTGAGAGCAATGCTATCCCCGAATACGTCTATTTTGGGGCCATGATCTCAACCAAGATGGTTGAGGGACACAGTGACTGTTTGCAACATTGTGTTCTCAACGATAAATGCAAGGCCATCAACTACTTTGAACCCATGGGAAAGAACGTAAGCCTTCAAATCCTTTCGCCTATACTGACAGTCCAATCTGATAATGTTTGGTGCGCAAACTGTTGTTGATTGATATGAATCCCGCGACCAGACGGGCGCGCAACTTTCGGTGACTAATTTCCTCAACGAATCACGAATTCCTGACAAACAAGGCAATAAATTACTTTCTACGCCAATAAAGCGCTAATTTTCAGAAGAATGGCTACTGCGAGTTGTTGAGAGAGACCCAATGGGATAACCCCAGACTGATGAGACCGTTCCACAAGGCCGTTTACTACGAGAAAATCCGCTGCAGAGACGACGAACAGCTGGATACCTTCGATGTGGAACACAAGTTTGAGCCGGCTCCCGTGGAGAGCAGTAAGTTTATGAGACAATAGGGGCAGTAAAGAGTTCAAGAAATCAAACGATTCTACGTTTGAGAACAAGAGTTTCATGGGGTTTCTACAGCGGCGGACCTGATATAGTGGCAAAAAACGTACCATTCTGCATCCGGGAAGTATCAAAAAATGTGGCAAAATGCCGCCCTCTCCAGCTAAAAAAGCTCCGTTTTGAAGACGCTCCCTTTTCCTCACAAAAAGAGCTTTCAAGACGGAGTTTTTTCACTTGGAGAAGGAGGTATTTTGCCACATTTTTTGATACTTTCCGGATACAAAATGGTAGGTTTTTTGCACTGGATCAGGTCCGCCATTGTATAGCATAGCATCGAAAAGTAAAACAAACGTAATCACATCCATTTCCAGAACCGTCAACAACCACAGCCCGCCCTACTCTGCCTCCGAAGACCAAGCCCGGCGCTCCGGCCAACTTTGACGCCAAGAGAAAGCCAGTGGTCGAGGACAACCTGAAACTTTTCAAGAAGCTGTCCGACAAAATCCACGAGTTCAACATGCGTTTCAGAGCTCGTCTTTAACCCCCTATAATTTGTCGCGACATTCTATTTCACCGTATTTTGTCGGAATTCCGCTCACATCTAATAATCATTTCGCCGTTTCCGCATAATCTCCCCCACGTTGTACAATTCTTTTAGGCTGCGTTTAATAAGTTATAAATCTCTCGCGTTTATTGCTGTTTTGGTGCTCTTTGTTCAACATACCTTGTAGGCAATATTACATGTATATCCGTCTTATCTTATGACAACCCTGTTAGGGGTTGTTATGCTGTCTGTCTTCTTCTATTTTGTTGTTGGTCTGTGCATTTTCAACGGGTTTTTTCTCATTTTTTATATTTTCAGTACATTTTCGGTAATATTTTGATCTTTTCACATTGAATAAAGTAATATTTTCAATTTTTTCACATCAAATCATACTGTATTTTATAAAAAATACAGTAATCTTCAAAATATTCAAAATCAACTGACCTGCAACTCTCTTCGAATGTTCCTTTTTGGCATCCTTTTCTTCATGGCGTTTCTTATGTTTGAAGCTGGTAATATTGTCATCAATCACCCAATCATCGTCAACCTTGTTGCCGGAGGTCATCTAAAATATAAGATAATAGAATAACCACCTTCTTCAGGACGAAAAAACACAAAAAATTGTGATTTCCCACCTTAGCAGCTCTGCTGAACATGGCGAGTTGATCCTCTGAAGAAATTTTCTTTTCGTCTCTGACTAGGTCGTCCAAGCTGGCGGCCCGATTGAATTCACTGTCCACGGCACTTTTGTGGGTTCGATCTTTGCCTCCGGACATCTGAAAACAATCATCCGATAAAGGGTCATAATTTTTTACATTGTTTTAGTAATCAAAATTAGAGGTGAGCTTCTTGGTGTAAAAAGTCCCATAAAATCAAAATTAGTAGAGCTAAAAACTCAATTATTGTATCAAATTAAACGATTTTTTGTCAATTTTCAGATTCTACCTTTAGATTTCCCAATCTCCCATCAAAATACATAAAAAATTTGGCATGAAATCACCAAGTCCATCATGAATAATGTTATACAAAAAATATGTCGAACCAGAGGAAAAAAATATCCCCAAAACAAGTAGAGAGCTTCTCTGTTATCTAGACCAACTCTAATTTCAACCTGAAATTTTATATTCCTTTTTACACTTACCTTGCTTTCAGAGCTGGCAGGTTGAATAACACCAGTTCGTTTGTCAATTTTCATCAGTAAAACAGAGTCGTCCTGCTTTGTTTCTGCTTGCTTACTGCTGGAACCTTCATCGTCTGAGTCCGCAAAGCCAGATTCTAACTGTTTCTTCCATTTTCTAGCTTTATCCTGAAAAGGTCTAGAGTAACATCGAAAATTTGAAGAAACGGTTGATCCTTGGAAAATCAAAGACAATCATAAGTCTTACTAGCTTCACACAGCCCCATAGCGGCGTATTTCATCCTGTCATGGTGATCTAAACTCCAAAACAACAAAAATTTTAAAAAACTCACTTTCTTCCCGGCCATCTCGGCTTTCAAGATTTTCGCCGACAATTTATTCTTCTCATCGGCGGTTAGCGGCCTCCTCGACGAAGTTGCAGCTTCAACTGGCTCTTCCTGTTGTTTATTTCGTCCCATCAGCTCTTGTTTTCCATAAAATTCCTGTTGACTTTGATGGCTAGCTTTTACAAAAGTCGAAGGTTTCTGACCGCCAAAAGCTGCTGCATATCGCGAATCAATGGGTTTGTTTTTTACTTCTCGGGATGAAGAGTAATAATCCTCCTCTTCATCGGAATCTGGACGTCGCATCAGGTAGGAACGCTTCATTTTGGCTGAAATCAAGGAGAACATTGGACTAGGGTTGGCGAAGAGCAAGATAATCAAAATTTCGCGTGTAAGTCAATTAAAAACTTGACGGAATGTTATGAACGACTTCCTGAGCCCTCGATTCCATATAGACACCATCAGATTTTAACAGTACCAATAAAAAAAGAGTAAAATGGATCCTATCTCATGTTCTATATATCAAGTGTAATATCGTGATCAAAAACATCTTAAATTGTACATTCTCACAATAAGTAAGCAAGAACAAGATGTCAGTGTTGTCAATCAACCAACAAGACATTAAAAAGTTCAAAATGTCGATACCACACCTAGTGTAATATAACTGACATGCTAAACTATAAAAAACTATAAATTTTCTCTATTATAACCCAACTTTCAGACGCTAACAAGCTTCTGAATCCCTCATTCATCAATAAAAACAAAAAATTTCATCAAAATAAAAATATTTTTTCCGCAAAAAACGAAAAGCCACAAGATTTCGCGAAGTGTCACTATTGATTTCGCGGTAAAACTGCTCCAGATTTTTTTCTTTGTCATTTATTGAATGTAACATGAATAATGAGATAAGTTAGTCGTCTAAGAGGATGATTGATGCGTCCAGTTCGTCCGATTCATCTTTACTTTCATCTTTTTTGCCTTCCGGAGAGTAGTACTCACTGATTCTTGTTTTTTGTTTGTCCACAAAAACTTTGGAGCTCTTCATTCCTCCGAATGTTTCCTGGTTCAGGTTTACACCATGTAGGATGTTCAATTTCGCTTCAATTAGGGGCCAGATCATTTCGTCGGCAGTGTTTCTGGCCAAGATATATTGGACGAAAACCGAGTCCTTTTGGCCGACGCGGTGGGCGCGATCCTCGGCTTGTATTAGGGCCTAAAATAATTTTTGCGATTAATCTGTAGGTAAAATACGTCTTCACAATTATTTTCGAACTAAAATGATCAAAAATTATATTGTACTAAAACTTTTTTTCAATCTTTGATCAAACATTTACCTAGTATGATATAAAAATCCATCCTGAATTCAAGAAAAATTCTTTTTAAGCCCTTAACTCGTCTCCTTGACTCTCAAAACCTCCAGAAACGTATAAAAAACTAAAAAAATCCGAATTTGCCTCGAATTTTTTTTTGTTAAAATACCTAGAATAATATAAAAATACATCCTGAATTCAAGAAAAATTCTTTTTTAGCCCTTAACTCGTCTTCTTGACTCTAAAAACCTCCAGAAACTTATCAAAATCTCAAAAAATTTCCAAAAATCTGAAATTTCCACTAAATTTTTTATCTAGTATAATATAAAAATCGAGTCTGAATTCAAGAAAAACTCTTTGTAAGCCCTTATCCCGGCTTTTTGACTCTTAAAACCTCCGCAAACTTATCAGAAACTCACCAAACCTCAAAAAAATTTCCAAAACTGCAAATTTTCCTCTAAAAATCAAAACTCACTCCTGGATTCCAATGTAACTCCGCGAAAAGGACTTTATTCGCTGCTGTAAGAGTAATTCCCACCCCAGCGGCGGTTATGGACAAGACGGCAGCCGAAGTTTCGGGGTCTTCCTGGAATTTTTTGCACAAAACCTCTCGATCCGTGGATTTTGTGCCGCCGTCGATTCGGATGTAGCGGACTTTCTGAAAACACATTTAGATATCAAAATATAAGACCAAAAGGCTTGTTATCCCACCAATTCCAGCTTATTTACAGCAAGTACCACCAAAATTTGGGGGAAAAGTCATCAAAAACTGCCTAAAATAAGGTAAAATTGACAGAATTTTACCAAAATTTTGTGCTAATCTCTTCATTATAGTCTTTATTATCCTCAACAATCTTTATTTCATCAATTCAACCCCAAAGTTCATCAAAAATAATCAAATTTTTAGCAAAAATCATCAAAAATTGCCTACAATAAGGTAAAATTGATAGAATTTTAACAAAATTTTGTGCTAATCTCTTCATTAAAGTCTTTATTATCCTAAAACAGCTCTAATTTGTTAATTCAAGACCTGTTTTCCTTATAAATAATCAAATTTCTAGCAAAAATCATCAAAAACTGCCTAAGATAAGGTAAAATTGACCATATTTTGCCAAAATCTCCCAGAATAACCACTCAAACCCCTCTTTATTCTCTCCATCACTCTCTAATATCCTTACTGCTTCAATATTAAACCTACTTTGGACGTAAAAGTTGCCGAGACAGTCTCCAAAACGACCTGATGATGGGCGAAGATGAGCAATTTGACTGGAGGTGCATCCGCATAAAAATACGTGTCCGCAATGTAATCCGCGACCACCGCAGCTTTCACAATGCCCGTTTCGGCATAATAGGACATCAGGGTTGATTGTTGGAGGGATTTGTCGTTGGTTTTGTTGGCCCTTTCACAGGCATCTCTGGCTTTTTTGAGGCCACTCATTTTGTTCGAGATCGCCGAACCTGTTACCCACAGGCACTGGCGGCATTTGGCGGGGAGATCGTTGAGCACGTTCTTCTTCAATCGTCTAAAATCCAGGAGTTTTAACCAAAATTTCTCGTATTTTAGGGCTAAATCACAGAAATTTTCTCAAAAAAAAAACAAGCTAAGAAAATGCCTAGTGTAATATAAAAAAAGATAAGAAATTCTCGGCCTTTTTGATGTCAAAATTTGATTTTAGAGAACTTGGATGCTTTTGGGCGGTGTCTGAAGCAGCTTTGACAAATATTTCGGAAATTTTTATATTATCCATGATGGGAGATCACAAAAAAGTTGAAATTATTGAAGTCAGGCAGATATAAATTGATGTCGCATGGATGTGGCAAGGCATTTCCGGGTATCTTCGAGTATGACATGGTTAGAAAATGCAAACTTTGTCTAGTATAATATAAATTTTCGATTAATATCTGAAAAAATGGAGTTTTCGATATCTTACGGATTTCAGAAAGTGGAGTAGAGGGTAAAATACGAATGAAGATACCTTATAAAAATTTTTAGATAAAAATCTGCGAAAAAAAATTTTTAAAATTTTGTCATGTGTAATATAATTTTTGTACCATTTTTCCAAATATTTGCCTTATTTGGAGTGTTTTATGACCTAAAATTGATTATAGAGGTATTGGAGGGTAAAATGCGACTGTCCTAAACGGCGTTTTCACGTAAAATTTGGAAAAAAAAAATACAGTGACGGACCTGACCCAGGGGCAAAAAAAGTACCATTTTGCATCCGGGAAGTATCAAAAAATGTAGAAAAATACCTCCCTCTCCAAGTGAAAAAACTCCGATTTCAAACACAACAATTAATCCCAATTGAAAAGCGCTTTTTTAGCTAATCTTCTCAATTATTGATTGAAATTTTTGAACACTTCGTTACAAAAACACGGTCCAACAAATATTATCGCCTCTCACTTTTGAGGACATCGGGTGATTGGGTGAATAGTAAATAAGAAGGAGGGAATAGAACTCTATCTGCACCACCTAAAATAATTTTTGCAGTTTTTACCGTTTGCAGGATATAGCCACCTTAAGTATTCAACAATTGCAATCTTTCCCGTGGTCTAACCGACTTATAATAACGAAAAATCGCATGAAACTTGGAAGTCAACATTGACACATTCTTATCAAACAGTATGCAAAAAATCGCGGCACATTTACTACTCGGCTGAGGAGTTATACATCAATCTTTCCCCATAACAAAAATCAGTTCCCGGCTTTTTGGCACTTTTTGGCATTCTGCAAATGGGAAAAATAAATATAACAAAGTCATGAAGATTTATATATTTTATCAATTATAGTGTCTTTATGTAATAATTTAGACTTTGATGGTTCATACCCATGTCATTTGGCAACTTGCCGACGTCTAAACGAACTTTTGGCTAGGAAACGGGACTTGGAAGGCGAGAAAATCGTTTTTATAAAAAAAATATTCTTTGGAAATTCTTTTATTTTGCAGAATGCCAACCCCTTTTCATTTTCGTGGTGAGACAAAAGACTGCAAGCGAGATTAATTGTTGTGAAAAGCGCGCCCGCTCTTTTTGTGAAGAAGATCACAAGAATAATTTCAAACGGAGTTTTTTACTTGGAGAGGGAGGCACTTTGCTACATTTTTTATACCTCCCGGATGCAAAATGGTACTTTTTTTGCCACTGGATCAGATCCGTCACTATTTCTTTTCCAAATTTTAGAACAAACGCCATTATGAATAGCCGTATTTTACCCTCCAGTACCTCTACGATCAATTTTAGGTCATAAAAACGCCAAATAAGGCAAATATTTGGAAAAATAACACAAAAATTATATTACACATGACAAAATTTTAAATTTTTTTGCGCAGATTTCGTCAAAAAATTTTACAAGGTTTCTTCATTCGTATTCTACCCTCTCTTTTGCCGTTAAAAATCCGTAAAATATAGAAAAACCAATTTTTTCAAATACTCATCAAAAATTTATATTACACTAGACAAAATTTAACATTTTCCAACCATTTTAGACCCAAAGATAGCCGGAAATGCCCTGCCACATCTACGATACATCAATTTACATCTGCCAAACTCCAAAAACTTTAATTTTTTTGTAATCTCCCATCATGGTTAATATAAAAAATTCCGAAATATTTGTCAAATCTACTTCAAACACCGCCAAAAAGCCTCCAAATTCTCTAAAATCAAATTTTGGCATCAAAAAAGCCGGCAATTCATCTCTTTTTATATTACACTAGGCATTTCCCTACCTGATCATGATTGCCTTCTCCAAAAGTGCTCCCAGCTCCTCCAAATTGGTTGCTCCTTTGGCGTCATATCCGAAACGGCCTTGCTTTCCATCGCAATATCTTTCGGCAAAGTCTGTGAACTTGGGAAGCAACTTATTATCGACAATTTTGATCTGTGAAAACAGTTCAACCGGTCGACTCAGAGCTGGAGTTCCACTCAGAAGTATTCGTCGCTGAGCGGTTTTCGCCAGTTCCATGGCTGCTTTTGTCCGTTTTGCTTTTTGGTCCTGGAAATAAGGCATTTTGAGTGGTGAAACATAATGCCAAAATCAGGGAAAGAATTTAAAAAACAGGACTTTCTGAAGCCCACATATTTAAGATTTAGTATAATGACACTAGATGTTCTTAGATTGTCATAAAATACGATTTGAAAAGTAAAAATCACAATGCCAAAGAATTTCAAGTTTTCGTGGTGGGACTCAAAAAGAAATGACGGAGAGCAAATAAACCTCGTATTTTACAATTACTAGTGACTTTACATGAAATATACCGCTGTAATATTCAATTTAAAACTCATTTCAATCTTTTTCATGTTTTCGTTGCGGGACCAAAAAATTTTAAAATACTTTCGTCAACATGGCTTACCTTCAACATGTGAGACTCATCAAAAATGACCACATAGATTTTCTGCTCGACCAGTTGTTTGTATTTCAGGGCCATTTGATCGTACGACATTATAATTACAGTTCTCGTCGACCTTGTAGTAGGCAATGGATCCGAGCCTTTTTCGATGACATAAATATCGTTTACCCGTGGAAGGAACTTCTCAATTTGCTGAAAAAATCTTATTGTGTCACTCGTCGTATTTTACAAAATATTTTTCTTTCATTTCAACCAAAAAATTTATATTACACTTGCCTGTCGCCACGAATACTTTACCGAAGACGGGCATACAATCAACAGAGGCCATTCGCTCGCGTAATACCGTGCTATAGCCAATGCCTGGAGCGTTTTTCCCAATCCCATTTCGTCGGCTATGAGAAGACGACCTTGTTTTTCAATTCCATACCTAAAGTAATATAAATTAATGTCCGAAATGGCATTTTAGGAAATCAAAATGAATTGAAACTTTTCAGACTGCTCTACTATACCCTATATTAAATTATTTTCACTTACAACACTCCAGTTCGCTGATACGGGAATAAAATTTCAAGCAATGTAGCATCAATTCGCGTCAGATCTGGCTGACTTTTCTGTGGCTGAGATCGTCGGAAATCGTGGTAAAATATCTAAAATGACATAAACCTTCATATTATATCCAAATTCAGCCAATACATTTCAATAATTACCGAAAAAATCAACTTTTTTTCCTAACCATCAAAAATTGATGTTATCCAAAAGAAAATCCTCGATTACCTGTCGAATATGCAGTGGAATCAGATCAAATTCAATCTTCAGCTCGGTAAGTTTTCGTAGTTTGTCCAGGAGCTCATCGTAGTACCCAATCTCAAGCATCCAGCAGCCTTTTTCGCGGATATATCTGGTGGTGGGAACCGCTTTGAAAATATTTACAATAATCTGATGAAACGGCTTGAAAGTCGCCTGAAAATAAATATCTGGACTGGAAAATTCATATAGATACAGTAGAAGGCTTGTAGTATTAGCTGTAAAATTTACCTGGACCTCACGACAAGAAGCAAGTACGAATGAGACCTTGATCTTGGGGACATAATCTGATATTGGACTAACTTGAACCTTGTTCTCTTGCTGTTTTATCGCTTCAGCTGGAAAGAAAAAGCTACATAATAGCCGCAGTGGACGTATTTTACAATAAACAAGGAACCAATTGCGGAATCATATCATATTTTAGATTTTGATACCATGTGTAATATACCTTATGAGAAATTTGGCCAAAAAGTGAATACAAAAACGATCCAATATGTAGTTTACAACTTCCTGAGGCTAACTACGGCCTACATTTTCACATTGACAAAAAATTAACGTTGTTTTTGACACTAAAAAATTTGAACTAACAGCTAGTACAATAAAGACCAGTGATATTCATTCTCTTAACCCAAAAGCACAGAATTTTACAGAAACATAGCCAAAGACCCTCTCTCACTCTCATATAAATTTAAGCATTCTATCTGCTTTATCCTTTGAGCAGCATCCATTTTCGTTCATACCTAAACTTCAAAACATGGATAACAAAAAATTACCTTTCACAGCCGGCAAACAAGGCTTCTTGGCCGCCGGTCCATCCGAAGTACTTGGTTTTAAGGTTGTCTTCAACGATTTGGCCTCTCGTTGTCGTTGTTCGAACTTCTCCTTGGCCAATCGACGATTCTCCTCGATCTTCTTCTTTTGCTCTTCGCTGAGCGTGGACATTCTCCAATTTTACACTGACTTGAACATGAATGTTTGCAGTCTTGACAGAGATGGAGAGAAATATTTCTGACGAAATTGTTTTTGGCTTCGAAAAATAATGTTGCGCCACAGCGACATTTTATACGACGAAAGTGTCTCGAAGAAACAAAAAACTCGATAAAAACGGGTAAATGTTACTAAATCGGATTGAAATAAAAAGTAAACTTTAAACCTACGTATTCTACAACAGAGAAGTGCAAAATTAACTTTCCTTTACATCCAGCTGCTCCTCAAATTTGACTCCAATATTTTTGTGACACTTCGCAACACTCGATAATTCCTTGACATTTCGCCCTCAATTTCTTCTCCGCGAAATTAGCGATTTCCGAAGAACGTCAATTTTGACGTTCTCACAGAGTAAAAAACGACAGTGTTTCTAATTATTCTGCTCTTTTGAACTCATTTTAAGATCAACCATGGACCATTTTTGGGGTCTGGTCAACGGCCCCGAAATCTATGCCACTCTGCGACCTAAAGCGCCGTATCAGCCGAACATGATGGAACGTTTGGGTATGTATTTTATTTCTTTTTGTCTCAGTTTAGATATTGCAGCAGGATTTTCGGAGGAATACGTTAATTCAAGGACGATTATATTATTTTAGAGGTCATGAAATTAAATTAATGTTTAGTGCAAGTTGATGTCAAATTTTAATTCAAAAAAGTATTGTGAAGTTCGCTGAGGTCTTTATGAAGCAATAAAGAGTTAAAAGACGATTAACAAGTAAATTAAATTAACTTTTTTGACCAAAGGATTTTTGCTATCTGATGTCTAGTGTAATATGCTCATAAATTGGAAATTTTCGAAGATAGGATTTCGAAATTTGGAAACCTTCAAGAAGACCTTTTAGGCAACGTAACTTATTATTTTGGCTTGTAATAAAGTTACAAACAAAATTATGTTGCTCTTGCGAAAAGCTAATAAGATTTATGAAATATGCTTCTAAAACATGAGACGGACCCAAAAATTTATTGAAGCTGAACTCAAAAGATTCTTTATGATTTGTTACATCAAAACAAACCCATTTCCAGGCGGAATGATGATCTACACTTCTCAATTGACCCGTGCCATTGGATGGGTCACGTCTCCATTCTGGCTCTATTATCTTATTTTCCGCATGGAGATGACCACTTCCAGAGCCTTGAATTGGACGCATTTTATTGTTACTTTCCACAGTATTGCTTATGGATTGCGAACGGCGGGCCGTTTGTACAACCCGACTTATCGGCAGTACTTGGCCTATTATTGTAAAGCAAATGATCGAGCGGTTGGGGAGAAAATGCTGGAGCAATATGACTTTGAGGTGAGATGAAGACTTTTTTTTGGTTTTTTACAAGTTTAGATAGATTTTAAGAGGTTTTGGAAGATCGATTATATTACACTTGACAAAATTTGTCATAAATAGGGGTTTGGGGATGTTTTAAGAAAATTTATTTTTTATATAGACTCTGAATAGTCCACTCGTGCTATTGGAGGCCTATTTTTATAAATTTAAAGAAATTATTATATTACACTAGGTATCAAATTAAAAAAAAATCTATAATTCCTGAATTTTTTAGTTTTTTGTGCTATTTATGACGTTCCAAAGACGACTAGATCCTTTTTACTTTTAGTTTTGTTCTAATTTTCGCATTTTTAAATAACTTTACCTTCAGATTACTCCATCAACCCCAGCCGCATTTCAAGCCGAAAAATCCCGCGATTATTGGTATCTCGAGAACAAAGTTGATCTCCCAGGTGTCCCCGACCACCACTTGCACCATCTCCGTTTAATTGCCAAGCTTTGTGTTCACACTTTTGGTCGTCGGATGCTGTATCCCGGCTCTGTCGGCATTCTGAAGACCCTGCTGTCCGAAACCATCCGTCAGAATCGTCTACAGCTCATTCTGGACCTCGGCGGAAAGCGAGAGCAGATCAAAACGGTGGATGGAAACATTATTGATACCATGTTATTCGATCGGAGGGGACCTTTTCCAGAGGCGCCGCTGATTATTTGCAGCGATGGAAATGCCGGTTTTTATGAGACTGGAATTGCTAGAACCCCAGTGCAGATGGATTTTAGTGTCTTGGGATGGAATCCGCCAGGTAAAATACGATTTTTTTGTTTTTTTTGGAAGTTTAGATTTTGGAAAAAAGTGAAGTTTGAAAAAATAATGGATTTTACAAGAAGGGAATTTTAACCAAAATTTTGACTCTTTTGACTAAATGTTTCAAAAGATGCAAAAACTCCAAAATTTTTTTTGCACTGTGCGAAAGACGTCAATCTAAAAACTGCACTGTGCAAAATTTTTTGGCAGCCTTTTTGTTGCACTGTGCTTTTTTGACAAGGACAGTACTTCTATGGGGTGCAGAGTTATAGGTCGAGATATGTATCAAAAAATCGAAAAATTTTTCGATTTTTTATAAAAACGTATAAAACGTATAAAACCTATAAAACGTATAAAAATGGCAAAATATTTTTTTTGGTTTGTTAGAGCTTGATCTTGCTCATCAAAGCCTTATCACGGCCCTTTGCGAGACCCCGGAATCGAACCAACCCCCAAAAGAATACCGAGCGAACGCTTTATCCACTCGGCTAACCGAACCACTGGACACCGATCTTCTTTTCCGAGGGAAGAGAAAGAGGAAATTTTTGTGGAACTTTCGGTCGATTTTTCTCGTCGGCCGGGCTTATTCCGCAGCTGGAAAATGGCTCTTTTTACCAAAGTTTACTTGCTCTACCCACCTGCACTAGTCATTTTCCCAAACACTGGGGGAAGTTCAGACCATTCCCTCGTAAGGTAAACCCTGACATCTTGACAAGCCTTAAAAAATAAGGCTTCTCAAGATGCCAGGGTTTACTTTAGCTCCAAACAAAGCTTTTGAATTGGTAAGAACTTGGTCAAAAAGGCGTTTGTGTGATGTTGAAAGAAAAGTTCGGAGGAATTTTTCGCCCTTACAAACCAAAATTGGGCAGCTAACTTTTACGTATTCTGAATCAGAAAAATTTTGCGATTTTTTTGATACATGTCTCGACCTGTAACTCCATACCCCATATAAGTACTTTCCTTGTCAAAAATTTTTTATTTTTACCTCTAAAATAGTATAAAAATTTTCTTCCAGGATTCGCCGAGAGCACAGGCACTCCGTATCCGGATCAAATCCTCAACGCAATGGACGCTGTCATCCAATTCGCCCTTTCCAAGGGATTCCAGCTCGAAAATATCATCCTTTTTGGCTGGTCGATTGGAGGATTTCCGACCACATGGGCCGCCGCGAATTATCCACAAGTCCGAGGGCTGATCCTGGATGCGACATTCGACGATGTAATGCCACTGGCGCTGACTCATATGCCTGCTTTCGCCGAAAATGTTGTAAAAGTCGCGATCAGAGAGCAGTTCAACTTAAACGTCGCCGTACAGGTAAATTTGAGATTTTTTGGAAATTTTTTTACATTTAAAAGATAGAATGGGGACTTGAGAAAGTTTTATCAACAATATTGGATTGATTGCCTTAGGGAATATTCGATTTTTTGACTGTTTTCCAAAATTACCGATAGATCCCTATAGTGTAATTTAAATGAGCTGGTACGGGTAAAATATGAAGTTTTTGGAATCGTCTTTGACTTTAACTAATAGAATAGAGTCTGTAGAAAAATTACAGCTATTTTTGCACTTGTGGCCTAAGGGTATATTGATGCTTTGACCATTTTTACAAAAGTTTGTCAAAGTTTTGGACTTTTTTTATTTTGAAATTTTTAGCTCGCAAAATACGCCGGCCCAGTGAGGATCATCCGCCGATACAACGACGAAGTCATCACCACCTATCAAGGTCCGGACAGTATCAGAATGCGCCGGGAGAATCGTGGAAATCATCTTTTGGCCAAGTTTTTCCAAGGAAGATTCCCGGATTTCGTAACGGATAATGAGGACTACAATGCTGTTCTGGAGTATGTGAACAGCACTCCACATGATCAGAGACGTATGGTTAGAGATGCGCTGGTGGTAAGTAGAGGGAATTTGGAAGGGGAGACAAGTTATACGAAGAAAAGTTTGAGGGTCTAGATTATTGGAATTGGTCTGCTGTTGACTTGTTATAGGGAGTAGATTAGAGATTGAGTGACTGAGAGGTTTGAGTTTATTTTAGACTCTTTTTGGAAAGGGTTACATGTTATACGATGAAAACTGTTTAGAAAATTTGGACAGGTTTTATCGTATAAAATGACTCTTAATTAAAAAGTTGCATAAATGGAAATTCTGCAACCTATTTTTTCTTTACTTTGCATTTTTTGTCACAGGGTGACATGTTATACGATGAATTTGACCAAAAATTTCTGAGGCATGTTTCATCATATAAAATGTCTTATAATTTTAATTTCAGTCCATCGAAGACAAATCCTATACAGAAGCGGCCAAAGAGCCCAACACTCAACACCACGTCCTACATTTACTCTCCTACCTCCACTTTTTCGATGTTCCATCAAATCACACCACTCCGCTAAGTCAAAACGAATTTAACCTCCCAATCCAAGTGTCTCTAGAGCCCTTCGATGACTTTAAACGGCTCTGCAGAGAAAGAATTAACGCATAACTCAGTAGTCGCAAGTTCTTTTGGTTTGTAGTAATATTGCACGGTGCATTCCTAAAATAAGATTTTTTTTGATGTGAAATACGAAATAAATTGCTTTAATTTAAAGGCTAAGTTCGCACATGAGTTTATGCGATGCTTGATTCTCCGTATTTTACCAAGGGTGACATTTTATACGATGAAAATGGCAAGTGTCGAAAACAGGTTTCATCGTATAAAATGACGACAAAAATCATGAAAAATTCGTTAGATGGTGGAATTGGGCCAAACCCACAGTAACTTCCGATATGGTGACATCTTATACGATAGAAACTTCAAAAGTTTCAAAAACAGGTTTCATCGTATAAATTGTCGCTGAGACCAAAAACTCGCAATAAAATTGAGATTTTCAACACGATCCACCAAATACACCAAGATTTTTTATTCAAACACTATCAAATATCCCGTATTTTACATTATCCGGAGGCTTTGTTCTGTTCGACCAGGTACAAATGGAATTCCCTCAGCAGTTTGTGGAAATTTCTGGCTCTCTCCATGACATAGGTGGCCTCCACAATCTGCGGCCACAAATTTTTCGCATCCTTTTCGGCCAGCCATTTGCGCACGTGATAAACACTGATGTAAATCTCCTGGACCAGGGTCATGTAGTCGTTGCGGCATTCGGCCGAGAGGAAATACATCAAGCCCACCACTTCTACCATCATGTCTTCGGCATCTTTCTGGGCGTTGGCCATGCCGTCAGCTCCAAGCATGGATTTCTCATCAAAAATGTATCGCTTTGAGCGGCGACTGGGCGGCTAAAAAAATCGGATTTCATATGGTAAATTTAGATTAAAAAAAAAACCAAAAAATTTTTTGAAGGCCCCAAGGGCCGTAGTGACTTTTTATTATCAAAAAATCAACGATAATTTGAGTATTTTCATAAAAAAATTGTTTTTTTATATTACTTTAGATCAAAATCTATGAAAAAAGGTTCGATTTTCATTTTTTTAAATATAAAAATTTTTTTTATCAGCACTACGTATTTTACATTTTAATTTTTTCAAAACTCTCATCAAAAAATGAAGTTCCCCCTTCAAAACCCACTTTTCCTCCAGTGGGATTCGAACCTGCGACCTTTCGACTGACAGTCCAACTCACTACCACTACGCCAAAACTGCACACGATATTTTTAGGCCAAAAATACGAAAAAATCCCTGAAAAAATGTAAAATGCGACCTAATAAACTTATTATAAAACTTCTAAATTTCGTTTACAGAAAAATTTAACCCAAAAACTCCCTCTAACCTTAGATTTTTTGCCTTTGTTCCGTTGATCCTTGACAATGTCGGCCAGAATCTCCTTGACGTTCTTCACAAACTCCTCGTCCGCCTTTTCGGGGGTTTTCGCGTACTTGCGGCATACCTGCATCAACTGCTGAAGGCGTTTCCGATCCTTCAACTGTTCACAAACATCATTCAGAATATTCTCGGTGGTCGGGGACACTGGGCCATTGTCCGAAATCTCCGAAGAGTCGGACGAGGGCTGCGCCTTCGATTTGTCCTCCGAAGCCGATTTTGAAGCCGGTTTCGAGTCCGATTTCGGGGTTTTTTCGTCGGCGGTCGGTTTTTCCGCCGGTTTCGTGGGCTTTTCGACCGGTTTCTTCGGTTTTTTCGCCTCCTTCTTCTGGTCGTCGGATGAGCTGGTCTTTGCAGTGGTCGATGAAGTTTTGCTTGACGCCCCAGTACTAGATTTAGGCTTGGATTTTGGTTTTTTGGCGGCTTTGTCAGATGGCTTCGGAGTGGCCAAATCTGAGACATCACTGGTGGAAATAGTAGTGGATGGGGTTGCTGAAGTGTAAGAAGAACTTTTAGTCGCAGATGAGTCCGCAGTATCGGGTTCTTCGTCTATATCCAAAAGTTTGTCATCGTCCTGTTGAGTCCCTTCAAGCTCAATTTTAGGGACCGGTTCGACTGAAAAATAAGCGGTCATGACATTCAGACTCTCGGGCAGGTCATAATGAAGCAATTTTTGATCTTCAACTCATATTCTCGGCAAAGGGCGACATTTTATACGACTAAAGTTGTTGGGAAAAGTTCTTCGTATAAAATGTCACTGAGAAGTAAAATCGGGTTGATTCTCCAATCATAGCTTCTTTCATGGTCCATTCTACGTTTTACAAAATAAATACCTCATCAAGTGACATCTTATACGATGGAAAAGCAAAAATGAAAAAAAACAACTTTCGTCGTATAAAACGTCACTATTAATAGGAATCATAACTAAAGTGAAGCAAACATATCCCTGACGATCTAATTTACTCCTATGCAAAATTATTCGTCTGCGTGACATTTTATACGATCAAATCTCCAAAGTCACCACAAACATATTTCGTCGTATAAAATGTCCCTCCTCTACTATATGACTTACACTTGTCCTGTTTCTCGCCTTCCGTTTCTTCGTCCTCACCCTGAGTTGGTTCAACTTGCTCAATCTTCCCGGGTTTCTTCGATTTCTCCTTCTTGGCTGATGTTCCACATGAGGTGACAAAGTTGATGTCCTCATGGATTCCCTTGTCGGTTTCTCGAATCCGAATGTCCAGCATCTCAACCTTTCCCTCCGCATGTCTTGGGCGTTTTTTGACAATCGTCACTTCAGCCTTGGGCTTTTTCTTGACTGGAACCTTCTGAAATAGAACGTCGTATTTTAGGTTGTTTCTGATGACATAACAGGTTGAAATTTTTGTCCAGTCTGAGTATAGCCTCAGGCTATCATATCATTTCAAAAAATTTTATTTTTGTCATCAAAATTCTCAGTTTTTACTCAAATTTATCAAAATTAAAATTTGCTACCCCTTGCCAAACCCTTCAAAATTTGCTCAAAAAATTGCTCTAAAAATCGCCTAGTCTTACTGGTTCTTCTGTGCGATCCGTTGCGTCGCCACCTGGCGAGTCTTCATCGGGTTTCCACTGGTCCGAATTGGTCGTAGCGACGGGCTCCTCATCGCTGTCGCTGTCCTTCTTTCTCTTGTCGCCATCGCCTCCACCCTTCTTCCCAGTACCACTACTACAATTTTCATAAAGTGCGTAGACATTTTTCCGCCTTTTTCCGCCAGCGCACAGTGCATTTTGCCCATTTCCCCCAAAAAATTAAACTGCACAGTGCAAAAAATTGAAATGCACAGTGCAAAAAAATGAAATGCACAGTGCAAAAAATTGTTATGCACTGTGCAAAATATGAAATGCACAATGCGAAAAATTTTCGACGGAAAGTCTACGCACTTTATGGAACTACTACTGGAGCTCTTCTTCCTCTTTTCGACCAACTTTTTCTTGGTCTTCTCCACTCTTTCGCTCTTTCCCTTCGTCTTGTCCAGATCCTCCGCCGATTTCTTCTCGGATCTCTTCAACTTTTCCGCGCTACCCCTCTTGCATTTCCCCCCTTTGGCCAAGGACTTATTCTTGGACGAGGACTTGTCTTTTGGCCCACAAGTGCTAATCTTGTCCGGCTCCATGACCTCCAGCGGTGCATGGTGGGCGTTCAAAAAGTCATCGTTCAAACTGGAGACATTACTATCAACTTTGGGCTTGATTTTCTTCAGCCCCGAAGAGTCCGAACTCGACGAAAACGAAGGGCTCGGCTTGGAAAGTTTCGCGGGCTAAAATGGGGTTATATTACACTGGGGAGATTAGTAAAAAATTGTTTGATTTGTTGAAAATATCTAACAAAACTGGTCGAAAATTAAAATAAATGGCAAAACCGACCGGATTGATCCGCTGCCGAGGGTCACGGAGGGATGGAGGAGCCGGAACTTTGTTCTTGGGGTGATTCGGTGGGACTGGAACCAAGTGTAACATAAGGTAAAAATAAAATAGTAAGGTACTGAAAACTATTTTCAAACGTCATTAATCGCTCTCTGAAGGCATAACCAAAAGATTTTCAACCATAATCAAGGTCAAAATCGACTCTTTTCCTTATATTACACAAGACAAATCTAATAAAAAAAAACAGTAAAAACACCCTTCAAATGTCCTAATATTCTATGAAATTACTATTTGATTACTTCCTAAGACTCTACAATCAATTTTGACCCGAAAAACCATCTTGCAACAGAATGCCAAGAATTTTTTCATTTGGCGGGAAATTGAAAATTTAAAATTTTTTGGTTGAAATTGAGATAAAAATGAATAAACAGATGTTAGAGTCGTATTTTACACTGTTTATTACATTTTTATTCATATTTTACACGGAAAAATTTGCAAAATTTCAAGCGGCCCAAAAAGCGGCCGAAAATTTCAACCCTCAAAATATTGCTCCAAGCTTCCTAAACATCACAAAATCACTCTACCTACCTTTCTTCTTCTTGCAGCAGCAACTGAAGAACCCTTTTTTCCCGCCGTTCTTCGTGTTCTTCTCTGCTTTCTTCGATTTTTTACTACTCTTTCTGCTCGCCGTTTTGGCACTGTTTTTCGGGGACTTGGAGCTCTTGGACGACAACGACGACTGACTACCACTCTTCGTCGGCTTCTGGCTTGCCTTCTTCTTCAGGTTCTGACTCGACTTCGGCGCCATTGCCGGTTACTGCAACGGAAAATTGGAGTACCGTAGAATACTGCAATTTCCTGAAGACCTACCGTAACTCCAACTCAATTCTTGCCGATAGCAATGCGAATTCGAGGCGAGGAAAGCGTCGCGACACAAGCAGAGACGACCGAAGGATGCAACTACGGCCGGGTGAAATGCGAAATCCGCCGGAATGACGGCCGAAAAAGGACTTTTGCGATGCAAAAATTTGCATAAGATATAAAATGGAGCTTTTTTGGGAATTTTTGAAAAAATTGGGAATTCTCAAAAAAAAAAAAAAAAAAAAAAAAAAAAAAAAAATAATAATAATAAAATAAAAAAATCGCCATGATGGTGGATTTACTTTGATTTCTTACTCTTTTTATGTTTATTTACGCTTATTTGTCATTATTATATTTTCCTCAATTTATCGTAATTTCATCCATAGATAAAATTTCATTTTTCAATTTTTCTCGACCTGCGCCCTACCTTTCGCACACGGGTACTCTATTCTTCCAATTATTTTTATCACAACATCATTTCCATGCCACAACTTCAATTTTCACCAATTTACAGCCTTTCTCCAACTTTTATTTTCCGCGAGCTGCGCCCTAACCTATTTTCAAATGCGCTCAAAATCCCTCAAATTTTTTTCCAGATCACTCCAAACTCTTCATTTTCTATTGTTCATAATCTATTAAAACAAAAACAGACATGATTCAATCCAAAAGAAAAGAAAAATATTAAAAACATTGTTGTTGGTCCTGCTTAATCTGCTCTAATTTAGGCGGCCTTGACGAGTTTCTTTAGGCCTTCGGTGGAGTGGGACTTGGGTCTTTCGAGGGGCAGGCCCATTCCGCGGGCCCAGATCAGTTGCGACAGGCAGCCGAGGGCGCGCGACACACCGAACAGCACGGTGTAGTAGTTCATTTCGGTGAGGCCGTAGTGTTGCAGCAGGACTCCGGAGTGGGCGTCCACGTTCGGCCAGGGGTTCTTGGCCTTGCCCTGCTCGAGCAGGATGTCGGGGGTCACCTTGTACACGTCGCTGACCAGCTTGAACATCTTGTCGTTGGGCAAATGCTTCAGGGCAAACTCTCGTTGGCACGTGTAGCGGGGGTCGGTTTTGCGGAGCACGGCGTGACCGTATCCGGGAACAACCTGGAAAAGCCGTAATTAGTGTTCAAAATTCAAAAAAAAATCCCAGGAAATTCTCAAAATAAAAAATTTTTACCTAAAATAAGGTAATTTTTCTTCAAAATTTTTCTAAAATTAGGCTTAAACTGCCTCCAAAATCCTCTCATCCATAATTTCATCAAAAAAAAACCATCAAATATCCCAAAAATTTCTCTAAAATCTAAATTTTTATCTAAAATAAGGTAATTTTCCTTCAAAGTTTTTCCAAAATTAGACTTCAACTGCCTCCAAAAATTCTCTCATCCCTCATTTCATTAAAAAAACCATCAAAAATCCCCAAAACCACCCAAAAACATCAACTTTTTACCTAAAACAACGTAATTTTTCATCCAACCCCCTCCAAAATCCGTCTACTCCTCCTCAAAGCCCTCAAAAATCCGTCTCATCTCACCTGTCCACTCTTCAAATGGTTCCAGATCCAGTCCTTCAATTTCTGTTCATTGTAATCCTCTCCGACTTCTTGGATCAACTTCTTCAAGAAGATGAGAACTTCCTGGTTGGCCAGTCCGTGGAGTGGTCCTGCAAGTCCGGCCATGGCAGCGGCAAATGAGTAGTACGAGTCCGAGAGGGCAGAGCCGACCAAATGAGAGGTGTGAGCCGAGACATTTCCTCCCTCGTGGTCCGAGTGGATGACCAAGTAGAGACGGAGGAGTTCGACGAACTGCGGGTCGTTGTAGCCGAGCTGGTTGGCAAAGTTGGCGGACCAGTCGAGTTTGGGGTCGATGGGGGCGACCGCCACTCCATCGCGGTAAATGTTCTTGTAGATGGTGGCGGCGACGGTGGGGAGTTTGGCCAGCAAGTTCATGGCGTCTTCGTAGGTGTGCTCCCAGTAGGTGGTCTTGTGCACTCCCTTGGCGTAGGCCTGTGCGAATTTCGACTCGGATTGGAGGGCGGCGATGGCGGCCGTGAACTGGGCCATGGGATGGAGGTGGGCGGGGAAGTTGTTCAACGTGGTCACAACATGTTCGGGGAGTTCGGCGCGTTGGGCCCACTCCTTGGAGATGGCTTCGACCTGCTTTTGGTCGGGGATTTCACCGGTACACAGGAGCCACCAGATGGCTTCGGGGAGGGGTTCTTGTCCTCCGGCCGCTTTGGGCAAGAGCTCTTGGCATTCGGGGATGGAGTAACCACGGAAGCGGATGCCTTCTTCGGGGTCCAAGACGGAGGTCTCGGTGACCATTCCCTTCATGGAGCGCATACCACCGTAGACCTGAAACATGAATCTCATGCCTCTCAAATTGATTTATATTCTCATTCAAAAATTTCTAACATAACTGCTAGTACCGACATCGTCATCCGAATTTCATCACTTTGCATATTACACATGATACCTAAACCAACAAAAAAAAACAATTAAAAATCTCACCATATCAATCGTGATCTTTTGAATGACATCTCCACCGTGCTCCTTGCGGAAAGCAGCCACATCCTTGTTGTGAGCAGGGATCTTTTTCGCCAAAACCTCCTTCAGGTTGGTCGAGTAGTCGGCGCTGGAGAGCTGGGCGGTCTGCGCGAGACTGGGCGCAACCTTGGCAACCAACAGCTGAGTTTGGCGTGAGAGAAGCATGATCAACGGTGGAGTCGCTCTAACGGCGTAAAACCTGAAATTTGGATATTGTACTAGACAAGTGGTAAATTCATGGTAAAAAAACGCGGGAAGGTCGTGAAACCGCGAATAAAATCCCTCAACAGCAATAATAGGGCACAATTTGACTTCTAAAACAAAAATTATTAAAATTTGAAGACAAAATTATATTATCCATGGCAAAGTCTACCTAAAATTTCACATTCTTCTCCCAACAAAAACCTCTCAAAACACACCGAAATCACATGAAAGACAATTTCGGCAACATTTATCAATCAAAATTCGCAAAATTTCAATTTTATTTCCAAAACAATGCCCTCGAATGACCGGCTGCTCCAATTTCGAGCCGCCGTAGCCGGATTTCTGGTCGATTACTGCAGAGACGATGAGCTCAGGATCCTATTGAGCAATCTATTATATCGGAACGCCCGACCGACCGGCGAGGAGAACGATTGGAACCTCTATTCTACTGCTGTCGTGGCCTTCCCAAAACTCCCAATTTTAGCCTGTACTAGTCAGGAAGAAGACGAGAGCCACGCGTAGAAGGCTTGACTGATACTGACTATCCACTAATTCTAATTTTTTATCCAAATAAACGCCTTTTATTCGGAATTCTTGAAAATTTTATATTACTTTACAGTGGGGACCTGATCCAGTGGCAAAAAACGTACCATTTTGCATCCAGGAAGTATCAGAAATGTGGCAAAATACCTCCCTATCCAAGTGAAAAACTCCGATTTCAAAAGCGCGTCCGAAAACGAAGTTTTTTCACTTGGAAAGGAAAGCATTTTGCCACATTTTTGATACTTCCTGGATGCAAAATGGTACGTTTTTTTGCCACTGGACCCCACTGTAGGTAAAAATGAGCCAAAACTTGGCTAAAAACGAAATTTCTTTACATGAAATCGTGAGAAATCGCAAAAACAACGTGACCACTACCTTATAAACATCAACAATCTTTCATGTAACCGCAAAAGGCCTCTAGGAATACTTGGAAATACGCTAAAGGTCACTACTGATTATCAAAGCCTGTTAGTAACGAACACGTTCTCATCTCTCTCGCTCTTCCGGAGCCCCGAGAGTGATTGTCCTTGAAGAGAGAACCGAAGAAATCGGGGCAAATCAAAGGCTTCAAAAGCGTTCTTTGAGCTCCAAAGAACGTAAAGGTATGCTTGACAGGGTTTCTTGGAGGGGTCGAAAATTGAAACTGCCCTATCTGAGAGGCTGATAATTCCGATCAAGGGCAAATTTCAAGTCGAACGGAGAAACTAAACTGAGCTTCTAACTTAACCCACGTTTACTTCGAACACCAGTTGGTGCATTTACACAAAAAGCTCCTAAAAATAAGATATTTTTTCGGCAATTTCTTTTCTTGCTAAATCTTAACTTTGGAAAAAAAGAAAAAGCAACGACCGACCATCACAGATCGCCGTTTCTCAAAAGACTTTCCGAAAGACGACAACCTCACTAAATATAACGTTTTTCGAGTACTTTGCTCACACAAACACGACACTCAAGTTATCATTTGACGAAGTTCGAAACAAAAAGCATTCATGATCGAGTATTCTGAACTCCAACGGCCTCCTGTATGTACTACTTGAATGTCGAGATCAAAAAACCCGATCACAGTTCGGGTATTTTTCAACAGACTTCGGTTCTTTAGCCTGAACGGTTTAGGCAATAGAAAAAAAAACAAAAATCGAGTAGTTTCGGCCATGGAACGAGAAAAAGGCCGAGAAAACAACTGGGATTTAGAGGATAAACAAGAAGTCAGATTATGCCCGACCCGGGTGGATCGTGTCTGGTCAATGATTGAGGATAAAATGAGGAACAAACGGTAGGCCCAGACAAAACATATTCATCAAGAGTCAAATTGAGAAAAAACAAGGAGGAATCGATGAGAATCTTGGATGGAAATCATGAATTTCTGTGGTCGAAAAGTGGGGTTTCCTCGAAGTTTGCGTTTTGAAGACTAAAAATTGTTGAAATTATTTGTTTTAGCCCTATAGTTTCAGTTTCATGGTGCATTTACGTGAAGAGAAAATCATTCACTGGCGACCCTGCCCCATTGGCAAAAAACGCATCATTTTACGTCCGGGAAGTATCAAAAACGCAGCAAAATACCTCCCTCTCCAACTAAAAAGACTCCGATCTGAAAAGCCCGTTGGAGAAGGAGGTATTTTGATGTGTTCTTGATAATCCCCGGATGAAAAATGGCACGTTTTTTTGCCACTGGAATAGATTCGCCACTGAATGCTCTTCTCTTCGCGTAAATGCGCCATAAAAACTCTTTACAAGGCCGAAACAAATAATTTCATCAATTTTTAGCTTTCAAGACGCAAACTTCGAGGAAAAAACCCTTTTCGACCACAGAAATTCATGAACTCCATCCAAAATCAACGTCAGAATGTTCTGAATCGACATTTTGCCCAAAAATTCAGAACAGTCAACGTAAATGACAGATTTCCGAACTTCTGGTACTAAAATATCCATTCAGAACTTTCCAAAATGATTTCCGATGCACTTACAAATTTTTAAAATCCACTAAATGCTTCGAATTGAAAAGTAAAAACCAGCGTGAGCAATAAAAGTACTATTCCCGCTGCTTTCACACTTCAGAGTTGCAAAAGAATGCTTTTATAAAGAAGCCACAGTCTTTTTTGGTTCACGGCCAACAAATAAAAAAGTGGCAGGACGTAACTTCAGGACGGGCTGACGTCTTTTTCCCCTCTCAAAAAGACGAGAAAAGACCTCGTGTCGGACAAGTCTGAACGGCTTAGAAATGTTCAAACGGAACAGACGACCTCCTGAGCGTCCCGAAATGTGTGCCTGTTTGCCCACGCTTTACCTGGAGAAAATTCTCAAATCCGTTTTAAACACATTTGTTATATTGCTAATGAGGACGTTGAGGACGAAAAACAGGAGAATATGAAGCAAGAAAATGGGAAGTTGAGTAACAGAGGTACCTCAGTACCTCAGAAATTCATTCGATTTCAAGCAGAATTCTTTGACAACGACGAGTTTCTTATATTGTACTATGCATCAAATTGACGAGCCGTGAAAATAAGCTACAAGAAGAAGTTATTCGGAAAGCAAAAGGCTAGGAAACGACAAACAGAAGGCCAGCAAAGGATTATCCAACGATTCAGAGGAAAACTTAAGCCAAGGAGAGCAAAAAATTCCGCCCGATTTACCATATTAAACTAGCCATTAGACCTAAGAAATTCAAATAAATGGTCAAGAAAAATCCATTCAATCTTGCAAAGAGTCCCAAAGCCATCATAAACGACCATACAAAACCGTCTAGCACATCCACAGTAGGGGACCTGATCCAGTGGCAAAAAACGCACCATTTTGCATCCGGGAAGTATCAAAGATGTGGCAAAATGCTTCCCTTTCCAAGTGAAAAAACTTCGTTTTGAAGGGCGCCTCACAAAAAGAGCTGGCGCACTTTTGAAAACGGAGTTTTTTCAGTTGGAGAGGGAGGCATTTTGCCACATTTTTGATACCTCCCGGATGCAAAATGATACGTTTTTTGCCACTGGATCAGGTCCCCCACTGTAGTATGATCATCTTTCGACTCTTGAAACAATTTTTGTCCAAAAAATTTTGTTGAATTTTCTGACCGTCCATTCTTATCAGTCTCGTAATTTTCGAAAAAAGGGTCGACCAATGTGCAATTAAGCAATCTATCAGCGAAATTCCTTCTGGAACAATTTTTCTCGCCGCCACTTGGTTCTCACGCATTTATCATACACCGAATTTGGAACGGCGATTCGCGGTGTAATGACTACCCGATTGACGACAGAAGGAACCTAAACGAGCAACCGGTCATAGACCGCAATGCAACCTCGTTCTTTGAATCAAGGAGAACCGAAAGAGCGAAAAATAGGAAGCTTAGGCAAAATTATATTATTTTAGACAAAAACCTTGACGTCCTTGGCTGCAAACAAGATCCAAGAGACACATCAGGCTCAGAGAAAAAATAAAATCGTCCTCTAGAAGCAGCAACCCGCCCTAAATCCGAAACAAATCCAATTAAAAACGATATTCTGATATAACGCTACACCGATGTTTAAAAATCTGCCAAAAACCCATCTCTACACGAAAAAGATATCCCAAGGACGGCCTAAAAAGCTACTAAGCACTGTTGAAAACCTATGAAACACTATGCAGACCAATTTTAAACCTTTCTTTATCCCCACTCCCACCCAATGCGTAAGTTACAAAGTATAACAAAAAATTATTCGCAAACATCCAAAACAAAAGTAAAATTCTGAAAGAATAAAATTAGGAGCTAAGATTGGTCTTTTCAAGGTTAGAAAGACCATTCTCGCTCAGTTCCCGTTTGAAAATAAACCCCTTCGTCGGATTATATTATCCATGACGTCTTTAAACTCAAATGATCAAATTTCCAGCGACTCGCAGCTATTTATGCCCACTGGGAACCAAAGAATCCTTCACTTATTGAACTTTGTCGTTTCTACCTAAAAACCGAGAAAACAAAACAGAAAACCCTTTACCTTGCCCCTAGTGTAATATTGGGTGGGAAAAATCGGGGAATCTAAAGAAAACTATAAAACTTATTGTGCGCTTGGCAAAACTTATTTGCCAAGTTTTTTACGTGCAAACCGTGGAAAAAGTGAAACAGTAGGTTGGCATAATATGTTTTCGTGGTAGGAGTCTACTAGACGAAAGGTGAGGGTGGAGTTTGAGCCATATCTGGTCGGAAAAAGATAATCTGGTGGTATGAAGAGGGTAAAATGTAATTTTATCGCATTTTCATCAAGCCCATGCATCAAATTCATGTAAAATACGCAGCATTTTTGAATTTTCCGCTAAATTTGATTATCTTGGCATTTCGTTGCAGGTGAAAAATGCGGGAAAATCTTTTGCAAAATGGACAAGAAGCCAAAAACCGGCTTCGTCTGTAAAATCTAGACGAAGTTTGGTACCACAAAATGGCCACAGAAGTCGAATCTGTTCCCGCCAAACGTCAGAAGCTAGATGAAGGTGAAGATCACGATGAAAATGTGGAAATAACTGAAAAAATCGTCGAAGAGACTGTTGTAGTGGAAGAAGGAGTTACTACTACTGTTACTGAAGGTGAGTTTGTCGGTTTGAGCGTTATTTTGCCTTTAGAAATTATCGTTGAACGGAAATTGGAGACATTTTCGGACCTGGATCTCGAATGTTTCAAGTGCCCGGAGTGGCGGAGAGTTCTGGCGAAGGAGTTTGGGAGTGGATACATGAAGACGTTGAAGAGCAAACTCGATGGTGATCAGAAAAAGGTGCAGTGTTTTTTATTTGTTTTTCGGGTTTTAGGAAAGGAGTGGGTATCCCTCATGAATAACATCGAAAATTGAAGTGAAACACGAGTCAAATGTCAGAACTTTTGTTCTAAATTTTTGGTAAGGGACGTGGCCTTAATCTTTTTAATTCTTTTGCTTTAGAAGAACCGGTTTCCTTTTACTACACATCAAAACCTTACACTTTAACTACTACAATATTTTTTGCCCTAAGAATATAATCTTTTATTTTGGCATTATCCCAAAAGCCTGTGCCTTTTATTAACGACTCTTCTAAACTTCTTTTTTCTTTAGGGACACACAATTTTTCCCCCATTGGACTTGGTTTTCAACGCTTTCAACTTGACTCCTCTAAATGAAGTCAAAGTGGTCATAATTGGTCAAGACCCGTACCATAACCCCGGTGAAGCCATGGGATTGAGTTTTTCGGTCCCAGTTGGTGTAAAAATTCCTCCGTCGTTGAGAAATATTTACAAAGAATTGAAGAAGGAGTTCCCCGAATTCGAAGCTCCGACTCACGGAAACTTGGTGAAATGGTCTGAACAAGGAGTATTCATGCTCAATGCTACTCTTACCGTAATGTAGGTGCGATTTAGGATGTTTCTTTTTATAAAATTGTTATTTTTGCGGACATTTTTTTTTTATAAATGTAGTATTTTTTATATTATCCTTTGCAGAAAGAACAAACCCAACTCGCAGGCCGAATATGGATGGCAGAAATTTACGGATAATGTGATCAAAGCCATCAACAGGGAACTGGAAGGGGTTGTTTTCCTCCTTTGGGGGAATTTCGCTCAAAAGAAGGCGTGTTTTGTGGATACCAAGAGACATTCGGTCATAAAAGTAAGTTATGTGGTGATGTTTCAACTGAATTTTTCGTATTTCACTCTGTTTTTACACTCCAATCGAAATTCGATGAGTTTTGAGGTACTGTGCCTCTATGGCCTAATGGATTCGAGTTTTGGCTTCCAGTCGAAAGGTCGCTGGTTCGAATCCGGCCAGGCATAGATTTATTTTTTGGCTTGTTGAATGGGCCGCAGGGTTTTAAGAAGTGAATGAGAACTGCTAATGAGTTATTTGTGATATATTAAACATCAATTTCTAGACTGCTCATCCATCGCCATTGAGTTATCGCAAGTTTGAGGACTGCAAATGCTTCACCAAGGCGAATAAAGCCCTTGAAAAGCACGGAAAGCGGCCGATTGACTGGAGCATGTTGTAAATTAGGCATTCTTGCGGGTTGTGTAATATCCCAAGCGCCTTAACTTTGAATTTCATATTGATATTACCTCATTTTAAATTGAAATTTTAAAATTTTCTCACTTTTTTAAAAAAAAAGATCTCATAATCGATAAATATTGAATTGAAAGTATTTGAGAATTGAATCAGAAGGTAAAATACGCCCTGTGATGCTTTTATCCATTAGAAAACGTTAGCTTTTTCCGGTTTATGGGAGAGAAAATATCGAAAAGCTGGGTAAAATAAGGTTATTTACATGTAACGCATGTTGTAACTGATGTATTAGTATTGAATATGGGTCAAACAGATTGTTCAAGCCTTGAACTTGTCCCAGCCATATTGTTTCATCAACTGAATGGCGTCAACGTACATTTCCTTTGATCTTTTGTGCAAAACTTTCATCCGTTCTTCGTGCTCAATTTCCGGAACTTTATCCGCATTAGCACCGAAGAATGGGATGTTCATAATGCAGATTATGGCTTGTTCTACCACACATAGATCGTACAGTTCATCACACTGAAAAATTTAGGGTTAAATTTTGAGTTTGAGAGGTTTGTATACCAAGTATAATATTGTGGTGAAAAAGGTGAAATATTTAGTTAATAACTGTTGCTGCGGCCGTATTTTACTCTAAACAAGATTTAAAATAAAGCCAGAAGAAAAAAATCATAGCGTGTCGCTGTGGTGTAGTGGTTGTGAGACGAATTTTAAAAGGTCGCAGGTTCGATCCCGCTTGGAAGAAATTGATTTTTTTTGAAATTTTTATGCCTAGAATAGATACGTCTAGATCGTGAGGGCCGTAAAATAAGGTATGAAATTTCAATGCTGCGTATTTTACAATATTTTCCCCTGAAAAATCAAAAATATTTTCAAAAATAATTCACCTGATCTCTAGTGAATCCGATGGCTTCATTGATGTCAAATTCCAAATACGCCTTTTTTAGTTCGGTGTAAAAATAGTCGATGAACACTTGACGGTATCGTCGTCGGACTTCCGCGTCCACACACATTACAACATACCGAACGAGATCAATAAAGCTGTTTCCTGTAAAAATTGATTAAAAACAATTACAGTAGTTTAAGTGGAGGGCGTATTTTACAATATAAATAATTTTTAAAGTCTCTATTTTTAAAGTCGTAATGTGTCTTACCAGCAATAGCCCCTTGATAGTCGATAATTCCGACCAATTCATTGGTCATTTCGCGGGTTTTCGGGTCCAATTTGAACAGCAAATTGCCCGACCACAGATCGCCATTTGCGAAGGAAATGGCATCTAAAATCTCGGAGAATTTATTGAAGGGTAAAATACGAGAACGAAGTTTTTGTTTTCTGTAGAATAGGAAGAGCAACTCACTTAGTTCCGCAGGCCGTTTTTCGATCGCAAACCGCGCGAATTCTCGGTTATTGACGGGCGAAAGAAGGTCCAACATGGCCGAGATTTCAGCTGAAAGTGTAATTCATATTTTGGTTGTAAAATACGAACGCTTTTATTTTGGTTTGATACTGCAAGGTAATAATTTGGGGAAAAATTGATGATTTTTTTATAATTTTCGAAAGTTTGCTCGATTTTTTGATAGGATTCAGCTTTAAACGGCTGAATTCTGACACTGTCGTATACGAACTACAGTACGCTACAAAAAAAATACCAAATTTTTCTCTGTTATTTTAAAATTTTTTCTGAAAAACTGAAAATTTTTGAGAATTTTTGACGTTTTTCAATTTTTTTCGTTAAAATGCAGTCTTCAAATTTCTAAATTTTGGTACGAATAGCTTTATACTACTGTAGAATTCGAAATGGTGTCGTATTTTTCTGTTTTTGCTACATTAAATTTGATGAAAATACGAAAAAAAATCGAAATTTCTCAATTTTTTTTGAGTTTTCCGCAAAAAAACGGTGGAAAATCAAAAAATTGTAAAACCCCAAAACCCGCAATATCATAAGCTTCTAATGGTAGTATATTTGCCTATATAATTACATAAAAATTGTAACTTACGGTCGTAATTTCTCAACTGAGGTTCGCAGGCCGCGTTGAGAACGGTATGCGCTTCCCAGGTGTGCCAATAGTCCGGGAACTCGTGTCTCCACGGTTGCCCTGGGATCTTGATGGCAAATGCCTGCATTCTAGCCAATTCCCTGGACACGGTGAAGATCTGCTCCACTGGGGTTGAGATAAAAACGCTCGGGGAGATAACGTTTCGGCCTTTGTCCTCGATCAGTAAAATCGCTGTTTCCTAGAAGAGAAATAGGCGAATTAATGTTGGATACATCCCATAGTTCGCCAATAATTCATCTATTTTCATCTAGAAAAAGTATTTTCGAGTATTTTAGCCCAAGATTTGACAAATTCTCAAAGTTTCTCTTCAAATTACAGTGTTCCTAGGCATAAAAAGTCTTGTACAAGCTATAAAACTTTCCCCCCACTTCTTACAAAGCCTATACAGTGGCGGACCTGATCCAGTGGAAAAAACGTACCTTTTGCATCCAGGAAGTATCAAAAACGTAGCAAAATACCTCCCTCTCCAAGTGAAAAAACTCCGCTTTTGAAGAGCGCGCCCTTTCCCTCACAAAAAGAGCGGGCACGCCTTCGAAATTGGAGTCTTCACTTGGAGAGGGAGGTATTTTGCTGCATTTTTGATACTTCTCGGAAGCAAAATGGTACGTTTTTTGCCACTGGATCAGGTCCGTCACTGTATAGGCTTTGGAAGAAGTGGGAGGTCATTTTTATAGCTTGTACAAGTCTTTTTATGCCTGGGAATACTGTAATTCGAGGAGAAATTTTGAGAATTTGGCAGGTTTTGGGCTAAAATATTCGAAAATACTTTTTCTAGATGAAAATAGATGAATTATTGGCAAATATGAGTAAAGTTAGATGTATTGGTAAATTTCTGAGGGGATTTTTGGCTTTTTCCGATGAAGCATACTGTAATTTGACCAAATTTTTTTTCGAAAATTGATTGAAAAACGCAATTTTTTTGATTGAAAATAATTAAAAAAATGTGTTAGAGTTGTAAAACAGGCATCCTGTGACTACTCGGTTACTGTATCTCCAAAATTTTGCATATAATTTACACTTTTCTCTGACTTTTTTGATCTAACCCTACTACAATATAAATTTCGTTCAAAAAAGCTCAAACTCACCGGTTGATTGATCTCCCTTCCAAAGTAGTACCTCGGTACAGCCCAAAGTCCTTGATTGGCGAACATTTTGTAGAATGCGACCTCTTTGTCGTGCCCTTTGAAGGTCGTATTTTCCATGACCAGATCGCCAACTGTGGCATTGCTTTGAGGAATCTTGACAATCAAACCGAAATGATCGCCATTTTGAAAAATGATCTCGGTCCGATAGATATCCGAGTTGAATGAAGAGCCGACTCCCAGTCGAGTATAACGGATCTGAAAGCAAATTTTGGGATTTTTCGGGCAAAATTTTGGGAAAATTGATGGAAAAGGTTAAATTTTTATGATTTTCTGTTTTTAAAACACTCCGAAAATGTCCTAGACACTTTCTAAGTTACATTAATCATGCGATTACTTCATTTAGACATCAAAAATTCAAGGATAATATCAAATATCCAAAAAATGTCATGGGTAATATAAAAAAATTTTAAAATTGGTCCAATAAGTGGATAAAGAAGTGAATTGAGTGGTTTAAAGCATTTTCTAAGGCTTCTTTGACAATTTCACAATGTTTTGCAGCATCTGCGACACATGGAACGGAATGCCAAAAATGGCGGGAAATTCGAATTTTTGAACTACAAACTTATAAAATTGATAAATTCGGAGAGAATAGGAAATATTAAGAAAGTAAAAAAATAAAACAATCAAGAAGGTGGTGTTTTACAATGTTTTTTACTGCTGTAAAAAATCCAAATTTTAGGGAATTGTAAAATACGATCTATAATATATCATTTTATCCATACATTCCAAGTCTGTATGATAAATCTATTCAAACTTACATTCTCCACCCCACTTTTGCTCCACATTTCCTCCAGCTCCGGGGCATTCGGCCGAATTGTCTGAATCAGCCACTCCACAGTAATCCGATCTCCACAAATCAGTTGGCCCACGAGTTTCTTACTGACTTCGTATGGCCGCAGACTCAAGGGCGGCTGAGACACAGTGCGTTGGTCAAAAATCGCAGTCATCGCTGGAAAAAAGTTGATGATTAGAAAAGTTTTTATGTTATTCTTGATGACCAAGGGTAAAAAAGCTCGAAAAATTTTTAAAAAAGAGGTGTTACAAAATAAAATATTGGTAAAATACGACGTGGTCTGCTGGGAAATTGATTTTGCAAAAAAAAAAATCCATCGATTTCGCTTTGCACGGTGCAAAGAAAAATATCTGAAATTCTTGCACAATGCGATCTGGAGTGCTCAAAACTCCAAAAAGTTTTGAATTTATATACCTATAGGCTTGCACTAATAAGTAATCATAAAATTTTACATCCCACAATAAATGTTATACTTTTCTTACATAAAAGTCCAATTTTTGCAACAAATCTTTTGAAACTAAAATTTTTATGGCAAAAATTGAATAAAAATCTGGATTTATGGCTTTGTACTGGAAGAGTACGACCATAAATGCTTACTGGAGAACGAAAATTTTATGGCTTCAGCGCATAAATTTTTTCCGGAGAAAAAATTTAAAATTGTTTTTGCTGCACTGTGCAAAAATTCCTACTGGCAATGTCAGATCAATCCAAAACGGGGGAAAATTGGAGCAATTCAAGAAATCGTTAGAAACGGAAGTGATCAGCAAGAATTCGACATCCCCCTAACACGACCGTTTGGGCGCTTCAGGATGAGATGGATCGACGGTGCTGGCAAGAGTCATGGCCTCCGATGGAGCGATCTTGCCCTGGCCGGAGAATATAAACCATTATGATTCACTCCATGATTTTTTACATGTGATTAATGTAAATAAATTGAAATTGTGCAAAAATTTGCAAATATTTGCAAAAATTTTTAGCAGCCTTTTTACTTGCACTGTGAACTGTGCGAAAGAATTTTTTAAAAAAATCTTGACTTTTCGGGTCGACGATATGTTTATAAAAAGGGAATTACAGTAGCTGAAAACAGTTATTTTTTCTTCAGCACAGTGCGAACGGCCAACGAGTTTTCGGGTCAGCGATAGCTCGGGTCAACGGTACGATACTATAGATCGTCTCGGTTCGTAGTTGTATGCATGGTGAAGGCTAGTAGAAGGCTTAGGTAGTAGAAATAATAAGTTTGATCGCGTTCTAGGATAGCTTATGGTCTATTAGGTTGATGCATAATTATCCGGCGTTTTTATTGGCGCGTTTTTTGTCAGTTAAAATTCGCGTTTTGTTAACTTTTTTTCATAAAAATAATCTTCTCTGTTTAGTTAATAAAATGACTATCAAAAACCATACTCATATTCGCCGTATTATGTTCTACCACTTCGAGGAAAGTTGGAAGTCAGCACGGTCATTTCGCGACCTCAACGAACTTTTCGGCGAAGGAACAAAAAAAATTCGCCAGGTGTCCCAAAGGAATACCAAAAGACGTCCACTGTAAGAAGGCTATGTGGTGTGTGTAGTGGGACAGAAGCGGAATCATCCACTGGGAAATTGTGTCTTTTTTTGTTCCTTCGCCAAAAGGTTTGTTGAGATCGCGGAATGACCGTGCTGACTTCCAACTTTTCTCGAAGTGGTAGAGCATAATATGGCGGATATGAGTATGGCTTTCGACTGCCATTTTATTAACTAAGCAGAGAAGATTATTTTTATGAAAAAAAGTTTACAAAACGCGAATTTTAACCAACAAAAAACACGCCATTAAAAACGCCGGATAATTATCCATCAACCTAATAGTACATGTAAAATACCATAAAATATCAGTCTGTCGGGAAAATTCGTCGCGCCTTGGGATCGCTCGTCATCGCTTTGCGACGGCTGCCGAAGCTGGAGATTTGATGCGCGTTAGCGGTGGGGCGAGACCTTTTGATGTGACGACCGCCGTTATTTTCCCGACAGACTGACATTTTGAGGTATTTTACATGTACTAGATCATAAGCTATCCTAGAACGCGATTAAACGTATTATTTCTACTATCTAAGCCTTCTCTTAGCCTCTGTTATGCATACAACGACGAACCGAGACGATCCATAGTATCGTATCGTTGACTCGAGCTGTCGCTGACCCGAAAACTCGTTGGCCGTTCGCACTGTGCTGAAGAAAAAATAATCGTTTTCAGCTACGGTAATTCCCTTTTTATAAACCAATTCTTATCAATATAAATCACTGTGTTTGAATGTTTGTCGAGGCCTTATCAGCGCGTTTTTAATTGTACAGTTTTAAATCCAAAACTGCTGATTAATTGACTTTTTTTCACTGTAAATGTCAATTAAAGCGATTGTAAACATCAAAGGGTAGGGCTTATCTCGCCCAACAGTGTTTTTTGTTCTCAATGCACTTTTAAATTCCTCGCCGGGTCTTATTTGTAATGCACTGTGCGAAAAATGTTGCTTTATTTTTGCACGGTGCAAGGAATTTTTGGCTGATTTTCACGGTGCAGGGATTTTTTGGTTAATTTTTTTCACAGTGCAATCATAAATTATTATCTTTTTGAGGTATTGATCAATAAAAATTTGATAATTTCTCTGCACAGTGCAAGGAATTTTTATCCATTTTTATCGCACAGTGCAAGAAATAAAAATTTCTTGTTTTCTCTGCACTGTGCAATAAAAGCTCTTATAAATTTTTAGCATGGTGCAGTAAAATGATGAATCAAGTCTTTACAGCACAAAAAGTTTTTGCTTTTCTCTATTCAGCACGCCGTTTATACATTTCTTCTTTTTTCGCACAGTGCAAGAAATAAAAAGTTGTCGATTTCTTAACACTGTGCCATAAAACTTGATTGGTTTTTTGTACCGTGCATAAAAAATGTGATTCAAATTTTTACGGCCCAAAAAGTTGTACTTTAATAGTTGTGCCCTTCAGTTTCGGTCATTTCATTTTTTTTGCACTGTGCGGCCATTTTTCATCGAAAAATCGGCAAAAAATAGGTGCAAAGTGCAAGAAAATCACTTCTAAAATACGCTAAATTCTTTAGAGATGCCTAGTTTTGAGTTGCGCTATCTGAATTTGAATGGAAAAGCGGAGTCGATCCGATTACTATTCGAATATCTGAAGGTACCTTATGTCGATTTTCGCCAAGATTATCTGGACTACTCCAAAACCAAGGCTAGTAAGTCACAATAGAAAGCATTAGGAGTAATTTGTCATCCCTTGAAATGCATTTTAGACCCTCCTTTGCCTCGAATGCCCTACCTTATAGTAGACGATGGCTCCAAAGCTTTGGAGCTCTGTTATACCAGTGTTATCATGGAATATGTTGCTGGATTATATGGTAAATAACACCATTAGAGTATAAACTAAACACTACGGTGATGATTTTTTGCAGGCCTATTGCCAGAAAGCTATAAGGACCAAAGTTTGGCCAGATTATGGGGTCATAGGCTGGATGATTACATAAATGAGCTGAAACCGCTCTACTACTCGTTTTTATATACTGAATTGTTCAAGACAGTAAGTAGAATTTATTTCTACAGCGAGAACCATCTGTTTGTTTAGCAAAACGATGCAATCAAAACCGTATTTTACCCAACAATGATGGAGGATTTCTCGGTGCTGATGGAAGCTCAGTTAACGAAAAATGGAACTGGATTTGTGGTCGGAAATAAGGTAAGAGATCATAATTCATTATTTAGGACCAAATTTTAAGGATTTGCGCTATCTTGTTTTTGAATTTTCAAATTTTCCGCGGAATTTTCAAATTCTTGGCATTGTGTTCTAGGGCTTGAAAATTAGTCAATAGCGTGTTTATACTAGTTCTAGGACTTCCATGAAGTATAATCTTTCCGTGAAGTACCATTTTTATTTTGAATTTTCAAATTTCCCGCCAAATTTGAAAAATCTTGGCATTCTGTTATAAGGCGTCTATACCTCAAATGTTCACAACTAAATCGACGATAGAGGCGAATAAAGGCTTAATAGAGTATATAAAAGCAATTTTAGTGAGCATCTTACCCATCCTGAACAGGTTTTGAAAGAAAAATGAAACTGAAAATTTTTTTTATTTTCAATTTTTTAAAATTTTGCCTTAGGGAACGATTGCTAAAAATTGTCTCAAATTTAATTTTAATCCGTATTTTATTGATATTTCTTTCAGCTTTCCTGGATTGACTTCTATTGCGCCCACTTTGTTGAGCTGAACATGAAGCTGGTGCCTGAGGCAAATTACGCCAAATTCCCCAAAATTCAAGCGCATCGAGAGCTCGTTTTCTCTCTCCCTGAGCTTCAGGACTATTTGAAGACCAGAAAAATTGAAATTCTTTAAAAAAATCGATAGTTTTTATATTATAGTAGGCAAATAAAAAAAAAATCCCCCAAAATTCGAAGAAAATTGATTTTTATACTGGATTATTATGGTAATTGGCTGGATTCTGATGAGATGCATCGGTTGCTGTAGTCTTATTCGTTGCGGTGTCGCTGGAAATGTAGCTATCCGACGCGTAAATCGGCGACTTTCTGGTGATGCGGCGGAAAAACGTGCGAAGTGGCCGACTCAAAATTATGGAATAGACCACGTTCGAGCCTGAAATTGTATTTTACATTATTTTTGAGGTCAAAATTCTAAAATATGAAGGGTTTTTTGGGCAAAAATATGACTTTTTGACCTAAAATAATATAATTTTGCGAACTTTGGGGGTGAAAAGGTTCAGAAAAATTTATTTTGAGCTTACCAAAGCCGAAGCTAGCCAATAGATGAAAGATTTGGCAAAAATTTTCGCCTTCTTTGCATGTTCCATCAGTAAAAAGAATGGTTCCGATGATTATTGTGATCGAGAAATAAACTCCCATAAATACGAAGAATTGCTGGAAAAACAGTCGATTTAGTATTCATACAGCTTTAAATGTCCATTTGTGTCTTAAAATATCTTTTCTCGGCAAAGAAAAATTTTTTGTCCAGTGAGATTCGAACCTGCAACATTTTGACTCAAAATTTGGAAAATAACCACTGCGCCATACAGACACACCTGTCTAATTTTGATGAAAAATGGATCGTGATCGCTGTAAATCGTCTGCGAAAATTTATTTTTCAATTTACTCTCTGTTGCGGCTGCCGTAGCTTTGGAATATCATTAGCTGAGAGAAAACGAAAAAATTGAAAATAATGCCAAAAATGGCGCTGTAAAACAACCAAAAATTTGTAATTATCATCGCTGAAGCCCTCAAAACTTATTTTCTTCCACAAAACCGCTTTTTGTTTCAAGTGGGATTCGAACCTGCGACATCTTGACCCCAATCCCGACCCACTACCCACTGCGCCACACAGACACAATTGGCCAAATTTTATGAAATCTCAATTTACATAGTGTCGAGATGCTCTACACATTTTTTTTTGTTTTTTGAAGCTCTACTACGCTTACTGTAACTCCTTTTTCACTTACGTAATCTTGGGTGTTATTCAAGTCGATGTGGTTTGGTCCGGGGACATTCTCCCGTTTCATAAACCAAAACACAATCATCGCGCCCATTGCTAGACATACGAAGACATTGTAGAGATAGATGACTTCTAAAAAACCCTCAATGAACCTTCAATTATCATGTATAATATCAAGAAAAAAAGTTGAAATTGGTTACCATGCCCACCACTGACGGTTGTGTCTTCGAATTCGAGGAAGGGATTGTAGTCCCAGAAGCCAAAAGTTGCCGAGTAAATTGGCGGATCCGACGATAAAGCGAGCGAACTGACCAGGAGAGCCCCACCAATCGCCAGAAAAAGACGTCGGCCGTGCAGATAGGTCTTGCGGCGGAGGATTCGAGTGGTCACATACCATCCATAGATTGTGAGGAGGGATGTGTAAATGATCCAGGACACTGTAGAGGTAATAATAATGAAAAATTTGGCAAAACTTGAGAAATTTTGAAAATTTTGGAGGAAATTGAACAAAGTTCATTTTTTACTACTTTAACCTTGCTTATTAGCAGTAAAACTATATCCGGACACTTTTCATACTCCATAAAATACAGATAGAACCTCTTTTCCGAAAAATTTCCAACTCGCCCTACCGGGATCGAACCCCCGACCTTTCAACTCCATGCTCAACTCATAACCACTCGGCCACACAGAGACATGTCCGATTTTTTGATGAAAAATTAAAATTTGAACCCCATAGACCTCTCCCTGTGAATTTCAGAGTCCATCTATATCCCTACGGATTACTGTAACAAAAAATCCTCAAAATTTCGACTCTTCCAAACAAAATTGCAAAAAAGATGACTTACTTGTAAGTAAATACCCCAATATTTCCATCAACACGACGCCATCGCAATATTTCACATTCTTTTCGGAGATCCAAGCCGCCACAGGCCCGGAGATTGTCAATATTATAATAGAAAAGAAGCTGATTAGGACCATTAATTTGTTGCCATCGTCTTCACATCGTCGACAACCAATCACGTAGAAGATAAATAGGAGTTGCAAAGCCTGTGAGGTGTAAAAATAAGGGGGAAATTTTTAATTTTTAGGATTTTTTCGGGATTTTCCGCCCAATTTGTAGTTACTTTTGGAAATTTCCCAGAAAATCGTGGATTACTGTATTTTATCGACAAGGTTGTAAGTTAGCCCTGACTAATAACTTGTAGGAAATTTTATTAGCTACAGAATGGCACTATTTTTAGCCATCATAGATCGTATCTTCCCCTCTAAAATACGATTTTTCCAACATCTACTTTTCGACCAAATTTTGGTCGATTCCTTAAAAAGTAGCCCTTATTGACCAAAATAAAAAGCAGATACATTATTTTCAGACCACTGTCATCATATTTCAATCAAAATTTCCCCACATCTCAACAATTTTTATATTACCCATCCCTTACCACATGCACTGTCGCACTCACAAACAGTTGGAGCGCATACTCGCTCCTCTCTGCTTGCTCCGTATACACCGCTGGTCCTTGATCGTAGACTCCACAATGAATTCCATGTTCGAACATCTTTTTACAGCAATCCGAAAAGTTACAGTAACCCAAAAATCTCAAGAATTCGAGAAAAATCCAAAAAAATAAAAAATAGTTTCCAAATTGTGAGCCTCGAAGCTGCTGGGGCCTTTGGAGTTGGATAGGCTGTAATTTGCGCTAATTCGTTTTTAAATATTCGAGAACAGGCCGGATCCCACCTTCGGGTAATTATGGGCTCCACGCCCTTTCGCCATGAAAGTGTGTGGAAAGTTGATGGTAAAGGTAATTTTCAATGGCTTATGGAGTATTCGGAACAACAATTGGAGATCGTGGAGGCTTTTGGGACATCAAAATCAAGCTTTTTTATATTGTACTTATCTGATGTCTGGTGCAATATAAAAAATGGTCATATCTTTGTCAAAATCAATTTCAGTAGCTCAGTAAAGGCTGAAAAAGGTAACTTATAGCCTAAAAAAGTTTTCAGTAAAAATTTTACAGCCATTTTTTATCATCAACCTACTGCACAGTGCAATTTTCCCAACCGAGTCTCCGCACTGTGCAAAAATGAAAAATCGTTACACAGTGCAAACAGAGTAAAAAAATATTCAAAAAATCAACAAAAATGACAAAATCAATGGTAATACAGTTTATTTATTCAATTCTCCTCTTATTCAGTCATAATTTTCCAGGAGTTTGGGCTTATATTGCACTTGACCCTTTAACACTTTGTTGGTGCATTCAATTCGGGATAGTAGCAATATTCCGGGTTATACGGCGGGACTTTCCCGTCTTTGTAATCTTGTTTCGGGTCTGCGGAAATTTTGGCGGGGGATACCTAAAAATAACAAAATTTTTTTTTTGATTTTTTTTTTGTTTTTGGGTAAATTATTGTCCAAATTCCAAAATAATTTTTTTTAAATGCGACTTAAATTCCCTGAGGCAATTCTGCATTAATTTTGAACCAAAAACACGTCATGTGTCTCTGTGGTATATTGGTTCCATTTCCAACTTTATAGTCGAAAGGTCGCGGGTTCGAGTCCCACTGGAAGCAAAGAGGGGAAAATGGTCAAAAATCGTTGAAAAATCAAACTAAATGCATTCAAAACAACTCTCAACATAAACAAGAGACGTTAATAGTACTTTCTAAACACTTTTTAATTTCCCCAAAAAGGAGCGACCGGTCGAAAAATCGATTTTTCTCCCAAAAAGTAGGGACTTTTTAAAACTTTTGGCAAAAAATTTAATTTTTGGCCCGAAAATTTTGAGTGGATTGGTAATTTAAGTCCAAAGTTACTCAATTATCCTACTACGACCATATTTGTCCATACCTGCGGTGTAAAATCCTTCGGTGGCGCACTTGGTTCCGGTGGTACCAACTTATTCTCCGTGTGAATTTGCGCTCTCGGCACCTCGACCGGCCTCCGTACAGGCACACTTCCAATCAAAATTGGGACTTCGCACATCATGTCACAGTCCATCATGACATCGGCTTCGATCCGAATCATCAGCGTATATTCCACTTGCATAATTGGGCAATAGTTGAAACTGGGGACACATGAGGGGATTTGAAAGAATTCTTCGTGGATAAAATTGCCAAATTTGAGGGGGACGAACTGTTTGCGGAGTCCAGCAATTTGCGCTTTATGAGAATTCATTTTGTGACGTCCACAATCCTGGCCGGTGAAATGTTGGATTTGGAAGAGCTACACAATAAAATTCGTAACTTAAAGTACGCACTTCCGCTAAGCCAAAATTGGCTTTCTCCCAGCAAAGAAATTTTTCGTTGCGGGACCCGCAATCGGTGGGCGTGTCAATAAAAATAAAAATACTTTTGGGTATTCCAATGTAAAACTGTTGTTCGAATGGAATTTTTACAAAGGTAAGTCAGTTTTTACACCTAATTTAGCTTGAAAATGCAATAATTGTTCTTATTTGTCCAAATTTTCGACATTTTTCGCAATGTTACATGATTTTTGATGCAAACCAAGGTTGGCTATGGAGAATTTTAGTTTTTTGGTTGTAATTTCAGGAAAAAGCGCAAAATCGTCCATCCCGACATCGGAGTCACCTCCTCAAGGTCGTGAATATCGATGTTTTTTGAACCGATCGGTATGTTGTTTTAGATCATTATTGAATTATTTTTTTAGATTTTTGGGTAAATCTTTGGACTCGTCACTGCTAAAGCCTCTCGCATCCTCCAGTTGAAGATTTTCTCCACTATCTCCACGCGGAATCCGGATTTTGCTTCGTCTTATCTTGCCCAGGCCATGAACAATGTTTCCGAAGACACCAAGACCATCATCAAATACACCTTTTCCAAGGAAGATGGATTTCTTTCCTGGTGTTTCACACATTACTGATCCCTAACGGCCCTCTTTAGGGCCACATTTCTTTGATCTGCGAATAAAGAATTTGTCTTGTTAGTGGATTGTAGAAGATAATCCTGGCAAATACGACTAAAAAAGGAAGAACTGGTCAAGAATCCTTCATTATAAGCTCCAAACCGTCTAAAATACGACAAATTGAAATAAAAATATTTATACCTAAAACATCAAAAACAGGTTAAAAAATTAGTGTAATATGCGGCCCTAAAGAGGGCCGTTTGGGATCAGCAACATGTGAAGGGGGACTAGGAGACCAATCCATTTTCCACCAATCCATTTCTTGGTAGAGGAGTACTTGGTGATGGCTTGGTGTCTTCGGCAACATTCTTCATGGCCTATTTTCTCTGGGCAAGATCAGACGAAACGAAATCCGGATTCCGCGTGGAGATAGTCGAGCAACTCTTCAACTGGAGGATGCGAGAGGCTTTAGCAGTGACGAGTCCAAAGATTTACCCAAAAATCTAAAAAAATAATTCAATAATGATCTAAAACAACATACCGATCGGTTCAAAAAACATCGATGTTCATGACCTTGGAGGTGACTCCGGTGTCGGGATGGCGCTTTTTCCTGAAATTACAACCAAAAAACTAAAATTCTCCATAGCCAACCTTGATTTACATCAAAAATCATGTAACATTGCGAAAAATGTCGAAAATTTGGACAAATAAGAACAATTATTGCATTTTCAAGCTAAATTAGGTGTAAAAACTGACTTACCTTTGTAAAAATTCCCTTCGAACAACAGTTTTACATTGGAATACCCAAAAATATTTTTATTTTTATTGACACGCCCACCGATTGCGGGTCCCGCAACGAAAAATTTCTTTGCTGGGAGAAAGCCAATTTTGGCTTAGCGGAAGTGCGTACTTTAAACAGTCTCCATCTTCTTTTTGGAGTCTTATCTACACTTCCCGCGCAAAATCCAAACTTTTTTCCGATAGGGGGATTCGAACCTGCGACCTTTTGAGTCAAACTCCAAAACCACTACCACTACACCACAGAGGTACGCCTCGTATTTTAGGCCAAAAATAAAAAATATACACCTCCTATCACCTAAAATTGCATATTTTACAATCTCACGACTACATCTGCCTCACTTACAGTGGCTTGAAAGTTGTGCGTTCCCTTATCCGAACTATTCTCAATTTCCATTCGAATCGGGATCGCTTCGCCCGGAACAAATCCGCTTTTGTTGACGAATAACCGCACAAGCATACGGCCGTATGAGAGGCAGCAGCAACGCAAATCTCTGTGGATTTCTCGAAGTAATGGATGACCAGCGTACGGTAGCGCATTCAGATCGAAGTAGGGCATAACAGTCAACGGGAGGAAGCAAGTGTCGTCAACTCTCCATGGACGATCAATTTTCGCTTTTAGATGGTATCGGATGTGCCCATGTCGGCCTGAAATTGAATTAAGTTACGAGGGGAACACTTGACCCAGAATAAGAAAATAAATATCGTACGAAAAAATAAGGGGCGTTTCAAAAGAGCTGACTCTATTTAAAATGATTTTACAGAAATTCTGCGTATGGGTCAACTGTTTCTCCCAGAGATTTCTTGTCTCTCCCAGAGAGAAACAGTTAACTCATAGCGGGAAAACTTGAATGTATAAGCTTTCTTTTAAAATTTTTATGTGTATTACAAAGTCCTACTAGACATTCTGAACATATAATTGCAATAATTTTACTTTCGGGTCAACTGTTTCCCCAGAGAGAAACAGTTGACTCAAAGTGGGAAAACCTGAACGTTACAAGCTTTAGAAAATTATCATGTGTCTTACAAAGTTCTCTAGACATTCTAAACATCTAATTGCAATAATTTTACTTTCGGGTCAACTCTTTCTCTCTTTGAGAAACACTTGACTCAAATCAAAATTTTGGTCAACATCATCGGTAACCCACTACAACTCTGCTCAAGACGGTTTAGAAAACCTTGGCCAAGCACCTCCAGCAATCTTTTGGCCATGCAAACACCCAAATCCGGCCAAATGGATCAAGAGGAACATTTGGCTCGAGTCAACTCTTCCCCTCCGCTCAAAACCCACCTTCGAAGGTCGGGCCGGCATTCTGTGGGACCTGAAATTGGAATCGGCATTGATGGGTGCCCGGTTGGAGAACGCCTTGGCCGGAGGGCGGACCCCAAACCACTTGCTCATGGTTGGCATAGACAATCTCAGCATCGTAATTCACCCACCGGTGGCGCGACCGGTATCTACCATCATAGTAGACAGACCTAAACGCAAAAAAATTGAGCCTTATAAATGTCAAGGAAGAGCCTTATAGATGTCATAAACGCCCGTTTTAACGACCAAACTCACGGTCTATATTCGTATTCCGTCCAGCCGCAGCTCGCCTTTCCCTCGAATCGGATCTCAACGGCCCTCGCTTTCACCGGCTCCGAGACCTGAATAATCACAGTGCCCGACAAAATCCCGCCAGGATACACCCAACGCCTCTGATTGTCAAGAGCGATCTTCAGAGAATCGACCATTTATCGACCCGTCGTTTTTTTGGAAAAATGCGAATGAATGAAAATGAAAAAATCAGAGAGTGATTTTTTGAGGGGGAAAAAATAAAAAATTTTGAAAAAAAAAAATAAAAATAAATAAAAAATTCAAAAAAAAAATTAAAAATTTTGAAAAAAATTTAAAAATTTGAAAAAAATAAAAAAAAATTTTTTTTGAAAATCGAAAAAAAAATTTCAAAAATCTTCTCAAAATACATCATATTGACCAAAAACACCAGTTTTTTATCTTTTTTTCCTCTAAATTTCACCGCACTGTGCAAAAAAACCAGACAATTTTTCGCACCGTGCAAAAATTTCAACCCTCTGCATCGTGCAAAACAGCATCAAAAAACTAAAAATTTCGCTAAAAAATTCACAATTGAGTCAGAATCAATTTATTCAGTCTACTATCTTCTTCTTCATCCGACTTTTACCGGGGTTTTTGGCTGATCTTGTACTTGACTTTCAATTTTTAGCCCGGGAACGTTCGAATTTCCTGGATTATTCTGAGATATCCTTTCTTTCTCGTCCTTCACTTCCTTTAGAGGCTCTAGTGCAGTTGGAGATTGCATCATCTGCAAGAAAAATGCAAGTTTATAAAGAAATATCACAAAAATTGCAAAATTTCATTATTTTCGAAAAAATTTCTGGTCAAAATCAACTCGAAACATCGCGAAAAGCTTTTCAAAATCCCCTGAGACAATTCTGAGTAATTTTTTGCTCTAAAATGCGTAGTGTGTCTCTATGGTATATTGGTTTAATTTCCGACCTTGCGGTCGAAAGGTCGCGGGTTCGAATCCCACTGGAAGCAAAGGGGAGAAAATGGTCAAAAATCATTGGGAAATCATAATAAAAAATCGCCCAATGAGTTTTAATATAAACATTATGGCTTTCTGATACTTTTTAAATGCTTTTTTCTTTAATTCAAAGCGGCTTTTTATACGAAAATTTTTTTTTTTGAAAGAAACACGCCAAAATTCGAAAAAAATCCCATTTTAGGTAAAAAACCAAAGTCAAAAATAAATAATTTGGCCAAAAATAACTCAAATATTTCACTAAGCCACCAACTACACCCACCTGCGGAGTAAAGCCCTTAGGCGGAGCAGTTGGCTCAGGTGGCGCCAATTGATTTCCGGTGTGAATTTGATCCCTCGGAACGTCCACAGGCTTCAAGACAGGCACACTACCGATCAAAACAGGGACCTCACACGCCATGCGGCCAACCAAAACGTTGATTTCAATGCAAACCCGCAGTGCATATTCCACTTGAATGATTGGGCAACAATTGAAACTGGGGACACACGCCGGGACTTGAAGGAGATCTTCATGGACGAAATTGGCGAATCTCATCGGGACAAAGGCCCTTTGAAGGCTAGCTATTGGGATCTGATCATGGCGCATGCATTGCCGACCTCCGTGCGAGGCGGTGAAATGATGGATTTGATAGAGCTAAAACAATATAACTTTTATCGAAACAAGTCTTCAAATCTTTTTGACACCTCTCACTATCCTTTCCCTCAAAAATTTCATCATTTTCCGATACTGGGACTCGAACCCGCGACCTTTTGAGTCCAAGTCCGAAATCACTACCACTACACCACCAAGGTACACATCGTATTTTAGCTCAAAATCCAAAAATATACAGTCTAAGCTTGCCCAATCTCCATATTTTACAATTCAACAACAATTTTTCATCGACTTACAATGGCTTCAAACCATTTCACTCCTTTGTCGGAGTAGTTCTCAACCTCCATTCGGATCGGGATCAGTTCGCCTGGAACGAATCCACTTTTGTTGACGAACAGCCTCGCAATCGCTCGCCCATACTGATGGCAACAACACTCCAGGGTCTTGTGGAATTCTCGAAGCAATGGATATCCAGAATAGGGTAGTAAATTCAGGTCAAAATAAGGCACAACTGTGAACGCAACACATTGAGTGTCGTCAATTTTCCAGGGACGATCAATTTTGGCTACCAGACGGTAGCGGATGGATCCGGAGCCGCCTAAAGTTCGATATGACTTCGAGGGGAAGACTTGACCCATAAGGTAAGAATGGCCAAAAAGGAGGTGAAAATTTTTCAAAAAAAAATTGTATGGGGCTGACGATCATTTAAAACCATCCAAAGAGAATTTGGGTAATGAGTCAACAGATTTCTTCAGAGAGAAAAACTTGACCCAAAAAGTAAAAAAGGCCATAAATTCGGCCCAAAATATAAAAAAAAGGCAATAATCAATCAAAAATCTCAACATAGTATTCGCAAAAAATTATTTTTACACAATGTGCCAACTCTTCCTCTATAAAAGTAACACTTGACCCGGGTCAAATCTTCCCCTCAGTCAAAGCTCACCTTCAAAACTTGGTGCCGCATTCAGTGGGATTTGAAATCGAAACCGGCATTGATGAGTGCCCGGCTGGAGAAAACCCTCGCCCTGGCCGGGCGGTGGACGCCAAACAACTTGTTCATGTCTGGCATATATAATATCGGCAGCAAAGTGTATCGTGTGAGTTTCATCACTAAACGTTTTATCGTAAAATGACAGTCAAAATAAAATAAAGGTAACACGGAATCAAAATTCTCGAGTTCAGTGTAAAAACGGGAAAATTCGACAAAATTTACCTTATTTTAGGCTAAAATAAGGTAAAACAGTGGTGTAATGAAAAATCATAAAGAAAAAATCACTTTACAACAGCAGAAAAAGCTCTTATGTATGAGAAAATTGCCAAAAATCAAAAAATGTCATCAATCTTTTCCCCGAAAAATAAGATTTTTAGGCAAATGTCATCAAAAAATCCCAAAAAATCTGTAAGAAAAAATAGCCTCAAATACGACCAAATAAAAAGAATTTTTCGTAGAACTATCAATCACATCATAATTGACAATTTTGTGCGCCAAACCCACCCACAACGTTCGGTTTCCGACCAGCCGGTGCACGCTTTTCCCTCGAAAAAAACCTCGACGGCCCTCGCTTTGACCGGCGCGGAAGTTTGAATATAAACAGTGCCCGAGATAATGCTCCCGGGGAATAGCCAGGCGTGCCGTTTGTCAAGGATGATCTGGAATACGTCTACCATTTTTCGAACGGCCCAATTGTCCGGAAAATATTGAAAAATGAAAATAAAATTTTTTGGGAAAAATTCAAATTTTCTAAAACTCGAGATTAAATTTTTGAAATTTTTTTTATTCACAACTGAAAAATCGCTGGGAAACGGTAAGCTTTTTGTAATTCTTCTCACGTTTTGCGTGGATTGAGATGTCTTTAGCAGTTAGCCGAACGAAAATACCCAAAAAAATCATCAATTTTGATGATTTACAGGGCGTTCAAGAGACGTGAGGGTAAGTCGGAGGCTATAACTTCTGGCAGAGGCGGCGCAGAGACTTCGTTTTCAGGATATGTATTCTTAAAACACGATTTTTGAGTCAGGGCACCAGCGGTGGTCTTAGGAAAAAATCGATTTTGAGATTTTTGGCTTAATATAGTCGGTAGCACTTGTGGAAGAAAAGCTAAAAATATTTTTGCCTAATTATGCCCGGAAGGCATATTTTTTTACAAAATACGTTTTTACACTTCAAAGCCTCTGGAGGCCGATGTGATCCCACCACAAAGATCAAACCTGGCATACAGGGGTTTTTGACACCCAGGAATCTGAAAATCGTAGCATTTTTACCGTCAGATTACTGTAACATGGTCATACTGTAATTCGGTCGATAAAAATCGGCGATAACTTCTTTAGATCAAAAATGCCGCAAGATTTTATAGCAGATTCGGAATCAGCATAAAATTCTGCTTCGGATACATGTAAAATATGTTCAAAATTCCGTGGCCCAACCTCTGTAGTATAGTGGTTGTGCGCCAGGATTATCAATCTGGCGACCCAGGTTCGATTCCCGGTGGCTGCAAATGGCAGAAAATGGACTATAAAAGGGCGGAAACGTGGAAAAAAGGAAAAATAAATTACAGAAAATTAATTTTATGCTACTTAGGACCAGTTTAAAAGTTTTTGCAAGAATTCCGCATAAATTACGGTTTTTATGGAAAACGCCTTATAGCTTGCCGGAAAGTGTAGCAATCTGGTTAAAATTTACAGAAAAGGTTACTGAGGCTTCCTACTACGAAATAAATCCAGTTCGGCTTATTTCGTTAAATTTTTGGGATAGCCTGGGTTTTCTTTCAAATTCGGGATTTTAAGAAGGCGAGCTGCGGCCGGGGTTTATCGAACGGAACAATATTTGACCAAAAAGTCATATAAGATTCACAAAAAGTCATATAAGATTCCCTAAGAGCACCGGGATCACACAGCTTGTAAAACTTAGGCCGTCTTGCGTATCCCACGAAAAACGGAGCGCGTGGACGCTCTAATGATAAATCTACATGGAGACTCAGTTGGTAAGGAACAGAGGCTAAACTACGGGACTGTAACATGCGTGCTTCCATCTGAAAATTAAATAACTGTTTTATTTTGTTTTGTATTGCATTCCTCGGCGGATATGATGAACATTGGATAGCAAGCGTTATGTAGATTCACCACAACTCTTTAGTTGCCATTTGGGGCGATCATACGAATGCTGTGAGGCGTTTTCCATAAAAACCGTAATTTATGCGGAATTCTTGCAAAAAGTTTTAAACTGGTCATAAGTAGCCTAAAATTAATTTTCTGTAATTTATTTTCCCTCTTTTCCAAGTTTCCGCCCTTTTATAGTCCATTTTCTGCCATTTGCAGCCACCGGGAATCGAACCTGGGTCGCCAGATTGATAATCCTGGCGCACAACCACTATACTACAGAGGTTGGGCCACGGAATTTTGAACATATTTTACATGTATCCGAAGCAGAATTTTATGCTGATTCCGAGTCTGCTATAAAATCTTGTGGCATTTTTGATCTAAAGAAGTTATCGCCGATTTTTATCGACCGAATTACAGTATGACCATGTTACAGTAATCTGACGGTAAAAATGCTACGATTTTCAGATTCCTGGGTGTCAAAAACCCCTGTATGCCAGGTTTGATCTTTGTGGTGGGATCACATCGGCCTCCAGAGGCTTTGAAGTGTAAAAACGTATTTTGTAAAAAAATATGCCTTCCGGGCAAAATTGGGCAAAAATATTTTTAGCTTTTCTTCCACAAGTGCTACCGACTATTTTAAGCCAAAAATCTCAAAATCGATTTTTTCCTAAGACCGGGCCCCACTACTGGCTGACGCAGTGACTCAAAAATCGTGTTTTAAGCGACATTGATTTTTGCCTATGAAATAAAGACATTTTAAAGTGCAAACTGAGGTCGCTACAACCTTTTGAGGTAGGCCCTTTGACCCCGAAAACCAGTGTTTTTCAATTGAAAATGGTCGAGAAATTTTGGATTTTTTTCGGTCGAAAATCACAGAGCAATATCGGACTTTTTCGGGGTTTTCGATATAATTGAGGTTTAAAAACAGGGACAGAGATTGGCCAAAAATTCGTCTTTCCTGTTCTCAACGTCAACTCTATCGAAAACCTCAAAAAAATCCAAAATTTCTCGGTAATTTTAAACCGAAAAAATCCGAAATTTCTCGGTCATTTTCAACTCAAAAACACTGGTTTTTGGGGTAAAAAGCCCTACTTCAAAAGATCGTAGCTACCTCAGCTTGCACTTTAAAATCTTTTTATTTCATAGGCAAAAATCAATGTCGCTTAAAAATACATATTCTGAAAACGAAGTCTCTGCGCCGCCTCTGCCAGAAGTTATAGCCTCCGACTTTCTTCACGTTTCTTGAAAGACCCTGTAAATCATCAAAATTGATGATTTTTTTGGTATTTTCGTTCGGCTAACTGCTAAAGACGTCTCAATTCACGCAACACGTCCTCTACAGTATCCCCCGATGGCTATCTAGCGCCTTTTTAATACCATTTTTACCCATCTAAATCATCATTTTTTCAGATGTGCAAGACCGTCATTCTCAAGCCGATTTTCATCGTTGGACTGATTTCAAGTATGACCCTAACCGGCATTGCCCTCTATTTCCCCAACTGGCAGGCCTACGAGAACGAGAATGGAGAGGTCGAGACGCGCGGGCTGCTGAAGAACTGTATTCAAACCTCTCTGAACAATAGTCAAGATCAGGCTCAACTCGCGGGTGCAGATAATCTGCTTCTGCAGAGCAGTGCACGCGATCAGGTCCTCCTAGCCGCCAAGGAGCCGTGTATCAGCGTTTGGGAGGTGAGTGGGAGGGTTTTGGCAGGCTTTGAGCGTAAAATTATATTGTACTTGACATAACTGGACAATAATTGGCGGAAAAGTATGACACTTACAGCAAAATCATGTCTTTTTTTGATTTACAGACGAATCTATAGGCTATTGAGAAAAAGCAGGATAGGTTTCAGAAAATTTTGATTTCAATTTGTATTGTACTTGAGACATTTGAACAGATAGGTATCAAAGCTCAGAATCTCAAACGTTTTCGGGAATTTTGTGGATTTTTCGATTTTATTTGACAGAAAAAGCCATTTGTTAATACAGAAAATAATCGAGCTATCCTAGTTAAAATTTTAGATCATAGATTTTGGTCATTGGGTCTTATTTTAGGTAAAATTTTGGGATTTTCCTATTTTTGACAGTCCATCTCTTTGTTTATGTAGCGACGAATTTTGCGAAGGGTCCCCTACAGTGACGGACCTGATCCAGTGGCAAAACACGCACCATTTTGCATCCGGGAAGTATCAAAAAATGTAGCAAAATGCCTCCCACTCCAATTAAAAAACTCCGTTTTGAAGGGCCCTCACAAAAGTGGCCGGCGCGCTTTTGAAATCGGAGTTTTTTTCACTTGGAGAGAGAGGCATTTTGCAACGTTTTTTGATACTTCCCGGATGCAAAATGATACGTTTTTTGCCACTCGATCAGGTACCCGTTTACTACCCTACTACGACCACTTTTATATTATCTTCCCGCTACTAGATTTATATATTTTTTCAACCCATTTTTCAGGAAGCCGAGGCCTATGTCAAAATTTGCATCTCGCTGATCGGCGTTTCGCTGGCCCTTTGTACGATTGCACTTTTGTGGTCGATTTTGAGTTTCTGCGTCTGCTGCTGCCCCAATTTGTTTGGCCCAATTGGAATTTTGACTCTTTTGGGCGGATTTGCAAATCTTGGAGCTGTGGCGGTGTTTCTCTACAATACCATAAAAGGTGATTTTTAATACTAACAGGGGAAGTACTCCAAGTGTGACGCTCAGATTTTGATGAAACTTGGCATAAATTTAGAATAATTTTTTCTAACAAGGAAAGTACTTTTATGGGGGCTCCTACTTTTTGACGGGACATATCTCAAAAAATCAGAAAAAATGTGCTGATCAAGGATATATAAATCTTAGCTGTCCATTTTAGGTTTTTAGGGGTGAAAATGCCCAAAAACTGGCTTAATTTCCCTACAAAAGGCGCAGGCATTCAAAACGATAAAAAGCGCAGTCCGTCTCTTCCTTCGGAAGAGAGCGATGTGGCCGAGTGGCTAGTGCCGTAGTTTGGGAATCAAGAGGGGGAACGCCGCATGGGTTCGATTTCCCTTTTGGGCTGAATCAACTTTTTTTGAAGATGAAGGTTGGAAAAATAAATTTTTGTGCCAAGACTGATTTATTATGCCTTAGAAACTCAATAAACATCATTTTAAGCCAAAATAAAAATTGTAAACCTGTGAAACATTAAGCGAAAAGGGGTTCATATAGGACTTTAAGTCAACTTCCGGTCGAGTTTTCACCCCTAAAAACCTAAAATGGGCAGCTAGGATTTATACATCCTTGATCAGCACATTTTTTCTGATTTTTTGAGATATGTCCCGTCAAAAAGTAGGAGCCCCCATAAAAGTACTTTCCTTGTAAGATATATGCGAGAATCCTATCTCGCGCTTTGCAGAAACAACCGAGATTTTTAGATCGAAAGTCGGCGAAAATTTAGGACTTTTTGCCGAATTTCAGCACGAAAAGTTTCATGCCTATTTCAACTGTAAAGTGTAATGTTTCCACAAAAAATCAAATTTTTCCGCACGAAACTGCCAAAGTTATGGCCAAAAAACGGTTTTCTCTCTGACCGCTCTCCACGTTGAGCGTGCTCTCTCGGCGGCAAAAATCGTTCGATATCTCGGCGGCGCCCGCAAAGCGCGAGCTAAAACTTTCAGGAATTGATATATAGTCCATACCCGATGTGTGCGCAAAATTTAAAGAAAATCTGAGCGTCACACTTCAAGTACTTCCCTTGTAAGAACTAACCCTAAAGTTGTCGACTGATGATGCCCAGAGCATCAATTTTGATCTAATTTTCCCGAATTTTGGCCTAAAGTTGCATATTTTTTACATTTTTTTCCAGATTGGGAAGCAATGTATCAAAAAGCGCTCAATGACACCAACATCAAGGAAGACGCTGACTTTTTCACGCTGGACTGTTTTTGCACGTATCTTATGATTATATCTGGAATCGTTCTGATCGCGGTTTCAATCCTCGCAGCGGTCATTCAATGCGTTCTGAAGAAGACTCCAGTACCCTGATTTTGAGGTCTTAGATTGTGACAATAAATTGTACTGACTTTGAATTTGGCTCCCTCATTATTTTGAATCAATTTTAACAATTTTAGTCAAATGCCTTACGGCATTACAACCGTAAAAATTAATTTTTTTTCGTTCCCGGAGGGCATGAAAGCGAATTTTAAATAATGTTACTCCTAGTTTTTGTAGTACAGTGGCGGACCTGAACCAGTGGCAAAAAAATGTAGCATTTTGCATCCGGGAAGTATCCAAAATGTAGCAAAATACCTCCCTTTCCAAGCCTTTCAAAACAGAGCTTTTTCTCTTGGAAAGGGAGGCATTTTACCACATTTTTTGATACTTCCCGGATGCAAAATGGTACGTTTTTTGCCACTGGATCAGGTCTGCCACTATACTTTAGTCATTATCCATAGAATGCAAAAAAAATCCACCTTCTACAAAAAAAATTATGTTGTACTAGGCAGACAAAAATTTTATCTCGAAATCTATTCCAAAAATTTTTACAGACCTCTAAACTGCCATTATAATGAAACAAAACCCCGTTCCCTTCCTATCACGGACTCTCTTTTATTTACGAGACGCAAAACGAAAAGAGTGTGACAAAAAGGAGACGGCGAAAGGCGTTTGGAAGCGAAAGAGAAAAAATGAGAGCGTTTTGTTTTCGCTGCAAAAAAGGTCTTTCTCTTTCCGTTTTCTGATCTCATGGTCGTTTGGAAAGCAGATTTTTTGCTAGTAATTGCAAATTTTAGCTAGAATCTAATCTTTTTTACATTTTTTAAAATATTTTTATCACAAATATTCCAACTTTTATAAAAAAAATTCGCACTTTTAGAGGGGTTTCGGCGATTTTTTCAAATTTTTCAAGCGACTTTTGACGTTTACCTAGGGTTTTTTTCAAAATATAAGTTTTTTTAAAAGATTTCTCGGGATAACGAACCATTATCACACTTGGAGAATCGTTCGTTACTCCGAGAATCCCATTTGACAACAACTTCCTTCAATACTTACTTTATTTTATACCCAAATTCCTTTGAAATAGCGAAAAATCGTGTTTTTCAAACATTTTTCGTGGTTCCAACTTTCCTACAGTGACGGACCTGATCCAGTGGCAAAAAACGTATCATTTTGCATCCGGGAAGTATCAAAAAATGTAGAAAAATCCCTCCCTCTCCAAGTGAAAAACTCCGTTCTGAAGGGCCGCCCCTTCCTTCACAAAAAGCGGCTATGAAATCGGAGTTTTTTTTCACTCGGAGAGGGAGGTATTTTGCCACATTTTTTGATACCTCCCGGATGCAAAATGATACGTTTTTGCCACTGGATCAGGTCCCCCAATGTAACACTCTCCATTCTCTTCTAGATCATGCTGGGAAACTCCACACTCCAATTCCTCACCACCCCCGATGAGAAAATGAACTTAATCAAGCTGATTGCGCCGTTCGAGCCGGCGTTCGCCGCTTCTCACAGCAGTATGGTCGAGTACAAGGGTGAACAACGATGTGTGAATCCACGGCTGAAGAGTGAATGGTGGGGCGAGATTCTACGCGACTTCACGAGGATCCACCCACGTCTCGAGGGCATTCAAATCAGACATCTTCGGAACATCTGGCGCAGGCTGAAACAGATGGCTCAAAAGAATATCGAAGAGGAGCGAGACTTGACCAAATTGGACATAGCGACCCTCAGCGTGAAAGATCCGAATGCTTTGCGAGCCCAGGGGTTGGAGCCGATGGAATTTGATCCGGACTTTGGAGCCAACTTTGTCCCCGACCCTAATGCGAGGATTCCAACGGCTGCGGAGGTTTTTCGAGAGTCAATGAAAGATGACTACTTTGCAATCGCTAGACAGAGGAGGAAGGAGAGGAGAGCTGAAACCCATCGGAAGAAAAATCAAGGTAACGAGGACTGAATTTATATTAGTCTAGATAGCTGATGACTACAGCAAAAAAATGGTCAAAATAAATTTTAAAACAGCAAAGAACGCTAGTAAATAGTGAACCAAGCCCTACAGCGTACATTTAGAGACCCTAATTGCAATAGCCAGCTTAATTTTGACGATTTATATTATATCAGACATCTAATGTCAAGTATAATATAAAAACATCTCGGAAACACCTCAAACCTCTATTTTTTGGGCATTTTTAACTGTATAGCTTTCTCTCTCACATTTACTAGTAACTACAACACAACTGACATCACTTTACTTTCAATATTTCTTGTTTCATCACATTCAGCAATAACAACACATACTTTTAGAAGCCCAATTGTCTGAAGACGAGGAAGCTGAGCTCGATGAGAGTGGATCAGGTGGGTCAGCTGTCGACGAACCATCAACGTCTGAACCACCAAAGAAAAGAGGGAAGTACAAGAAGAGGAGAAACTATGGTGAGACTTTTTGCCTTGTAGCCATTCAGTGGCGGACCTGATCCAGTGGCAAAAAACGTACCCGTTTGCGTCCGGGAAGTGTCAAAAATGTAGCGAAATGCCTCCCACTCCAATAAAAAAACTCCATTCTGGAAAGCACGCCCTTCAAAACGGAGTATTTTCAGTTGGAGAGGGAGGCATTTTGCTACATTTTTAATGCTTCCTGGATGCAAAAAGTTACGTTTTTTGTCACTAGATCAAGTCTGTCGCTGTACAGAAAACTATAAAAACACTATAACATCTCAAAAAAACTATCCAAAAAAATTTTTTAACACTCTGATTTTTCAGACATTTTGGGGAATCCAACTGAAAATCACATCGTTAAAGTGAAGCTGAGTACCCAATTCATGGAATATGCTCTGAAGGCAGCTAAATTGGAAGACTATGCGAGGAGAAATTGGAGAAAGATTGTTTTCCAACCAACTGGAGGGGTTTCCGTTCGGGACCCGAAAGTCGGCGAGGATTTGAGCATCAATTTCCCACCGTTCTTGCCGGAGAAGCCATAAGATGTTGTAATAGTGCATTGTTGTTTATTTATTGAGGTTTGTTGATAATAAATTGCTGACATTTTTAATTATTTTTTGTATCAAGTATTTGCGGTTCTCGACAAAAAAATCTCAATTTTCAGAGAAGAACCTTCAAAAAACAAAACCTTTTTTCGTTTTATGAAGGATGTTACATCATCAAAAGTAATGTCGATTCAATTTTAGGCCCAAAAACTACATTACATGTGAAAAAAAATCAAATTTTATGCAAAAATCAACTTCTTGAGACCTAAAACAAGGTCAAAATCAACTTTTTAGTCTAAAAAATCTACCGCAGATCCCTCCACATACCCTACAAACCCATTTCTACCTATTTCCATACTGAAAATTTCTTATTTATTGATTATAAATTGACTAAATTACTAACAAAATCTAAAAAGTATAAAAGTATATTTAGACAAGACGACTTCTGTGCTTGTGAATTCAAAAGTGTTCAATATCACAATGTTTATTCAAAAAATATATATACCTAATATCTGCTAGCCAAAGCGAAAAATATAAAATTCTGTGCGGGGGGAATTAAGTGAATCCTTAGGAGAAATCGCGTGTTAAAATCACAAAGAACAAAATGATCGGGGGTGCTATAGTCTTTACAACAACATAGCCTCGAACAATTCACAAGGAAATAAAAAAGAAATTCCCTTCGAATCACCTTATACTAGCCAAAATTATCCAAAAAATGAGCTCGAAATCAAAAAAAATTCGAAAAAATCGCAATCTCCAAAAAAAAATATTAAAATTCTGGTTCCAGACACATATTAGGGAATGTAGCGGGGGTTATACGACAAAATACAGAGAGAAATTGTTCCGAGTCATGGTGATTCTTGGATTGGCGGCTAGCCGAGGCCCGCGCTGGTCCAGTCTACGAGTCTTCCAGGTTGCGGAAGGAGGTCTGCATTTGCTCGAGGAGTTCGTCGTATTCCTTCTTGATCTTGTCTTCGCCGTCTTTCACGGGGTCCTGAAAGCGAAATTTTTTTATTTCACTGCATTTTCGCTATCTTATCCATGCCAAAACATCTCAAATTTTTCATAAAAATAAATTCAATCCCCTCCAAATCTCTAATTCCACCCTAATTTCCCTATCAACCCAAAAACTTTCCAAAAAATACAACTTTTTCAACCCAAGATCACTCCTCATTTCTACCGTATTCCCAGGTTTCTACATCTTAATCCCGCGCCTTGCTGGTATCTAATCACTGCCCAAAGCTTATTAATCCACATAAAGCAAATCTTCGGAAGCCCTGCACTTCAGATTAATCCCTCGTATCTAAAGCAATAAACAACACAAAAACTTTTCTCTTTTCCCACCTTGAATTTCATGGAGGAGAGTTGATACATGAGGTCTCCCATGTGGTCGCGGATGGTGTTCCATGTGATCTTGTTGTCGGATTGGGCGGTGGTTTCGACGGCGTGACGGGCCAGGTCGTAGAAGGAGACCCTAAAAAATGTATTTTATACTAGACTTATTGTCTTCAAGTTTTGTATCTCCAGCCAACGCCAGCTCCTCATTCACTGAGCAAGTGGAGGGCTCCTTGAAGGTTACACGTATAGGCAGTAGGGGGGCCAGTGGTCCAGTGGCAAAAAACGTATCATTTTGCCTCCGGGAAGTATCAAAAATGTGGCAAAATGCTTCCCTCTCCAAGTGAAAAATTTCGTTTTGAATGGCGCGCCCTTTTTCCTCACAAAAAGAGCTGGCGCGCTCTTCAAAAGCGGAGTTTTTTCACTTCTAGACGGAGGTATTTGGCCACATTTTTTGATGCTTCCTGGATGCAAAATGGTACGTCTTTTCCACTGGATCAGGTCCCCCCAATGTACATTTCAATTTTCCTCAAACTTACATGTTCTTCAGCATGCCGACAGTCTTGTAGAAGGGACAGAACCGATCATATGGAGTGTAACCGTTCTGTTGCAGGAAGTCGTCCTTGATCAGCTTCGCCACTTCGAGTGTGATCTTGTCCGACTCGGCCAAGGAGGCCTTTCCGACCAGCTGCACAATTTCGGAGAGATCTTCTTCTTCCTGGAGGATCTCCTTGCACTTGGTTCGGAGGGCCACGAACTCGGGGTAGTTCTTTTCGTAGTAGTCGTCGAGGGCGCGCATGTACTTACTGAAGGGATATTTTATATTAACAAAAGGTTGTGTTTTGAAGTGTTTTATGAAAAATTATGTTAACTTTTTGGCTTCCTCTAATTTCAAAAAGCAAATTTAATAAAATGTCATATAAAAAAACCCTCATAGAACGCCGATTTCCATAAATCCCACAGAATTTTCTAATTTTCTGAAAATCCAGAGGTTCACCTTAATAATTAGTAAATTCGGATCTATCTCATCATGACTAGTCCAAAAATTGACAAAACCAAAAAACCGATCAGACAAGAAATGAGATTTAAAAATTACACTAGAGGAGCTGCAAGATTTCAAAGTTTTTTGACCAAAAAATGCAAAAAAGATCAGTTCGAGACCCGAGGAACAGCTTGGATTTCAAATCAGCATGCCGTTCCTACAGTACTTTCCCAATTCTTCGGGAGAATACTGTAGAAAAGCATTTCCAACTTAATCCAGTCTGTTCCTCTAATCCGAAGCTAATCTTTTCAGCATTTTTCGCCAGAAAACTTTGAAATCTTGCAACTCTTCCAGTGCAATTTCAAAACTCTCATTTCCTTTATGATCGGCCTTCTTGGTTTTGTAAATTTATGGGCTAATCATGTCGAGTTTAATCCGAATTTACTAATGATTTACTAATATATCCCAAGTACGGATTCTTATTCACGCCCAAATCATTAGACGGGGATTCTTTACGCCTTCATTCCGCCTGTCTTGCGTGCTGATTTCAAGGGATTTTTTGTTGTTTTAGGCATGTGATACTACGTAGTTAGCCGGGAATTTGAAATGTAGCTCGTTTTTTGTGATATACAGAGTCCGTGACCGCTCCGAATACTTGATTTTCCAGCTACAAAAAGGTCATTTTTCCCATGGCTTCAAGGGGTTTCGACAAGCGAAAATCCGGAATTCCATCTGACCATTTTATGTCATAGTTTCGGTATTGCGGTAAAGCTTACTAATCATTTTATATTGCTTTTTTATTTTCAATCCCTCTAAATTATTTCCCCATTGCCTTTTGAATGCCATTCCAAACTTTCGGAAGTCAGCCCACGCACCGCTAAAGCCGGCAAATCTCAATAACCCTGCCATATCATGCTGCTTTTTGTTTTTCAATTGACATTTTCTTATTTACTGCAGATTCCCTTAGGCAATTACACTTTTGTTGACTTTTTCGCTTCTCTCAATCTCCACAAATCCGGGACAAAGCTTGGAAATAAAGGGGGGAACGACCAGAACTTCTGAATGCCCGCCTTTCCGGCCGTTTACAAAAAGCCGTAAAGACGAAAAACTGGGACGACTTATTTTTGTCCGGCTTGAAATCGTCAAGTTTCTGGTATAATCCGGCTTAATTCACTGTTCTTTATAAAAAAAACTTATCAATCCACATCTAATCTAACCCGTGTTTTTTGTAATTCAGGGTATTCACGGTGTTCATTACTAATTGGGGACTCAAAATACTCGATTTTAATCTGTTCTACGGTATTTTCGCTGGCAAAATGCTATGATATTATATGATTTTCAGCTTTATAGGCCTTTAAATCTCTACTCTTCCATTGTTTGTACGAAAATTTCTGAGATTTCACAATGAAGTAGCACAGTAATCCATCCACATTCATCGCCTAATCTGCAGTAGTCCACTGCCTCGAATAAGAGATAACGTGACTTCAGTAAATCGTCGGCATCATTTACTTTTTTTTCTAGGCGGCATTTGACGACGGTTACATTTTAATTCAGGCGTAACTCTTGTACTTCTTCCAGAGTTTGGAGAAATAACACCTGCTATCCGCATAAAACTGTTAGTCCTGCGGTAAATATTGTTACCGTTCTTGCAGGGCTTCACTTTCTATGGAAGTTAGAGTTTTTTATTTTTGCAGATCTTCAATATTTACAATTTTCTCAATTTTCTTGGAATTATAGACCATTCCACAACTACACTTGCATATAATCCTTTCAAACGTTTGCGTGTTATTCTCCGATATTTTTAATTGCGCTTTGCTTTACCTCAAATGTTTTTTCTTTCAGGGTTTCCCTGACGACCGAGAAGACGGCAAAGTGATAGTCCTTGGGAAAGGCAACAGCCTTCTGCGTGCACAAAACTGACGCACGACATAAAACAAACAACGGGGAGCTCAGAAGAAGAGGGTGACAATACATCTGACCCAGAAAATTGCCAACAATACAAAGGAAATTACTCGCCTACGAGTACGAACTTCGCAAAGTTCAACAAAACAAACTTTCGATTCGACAAGTCTGCTGGAATCAACACATCTACAAACACGACAAAAGAACAGAAACTTCAACTGCAACCACATCAAAACTTGAACAAATAGCCAGGCCCAAAGAACGACTTCTAGCACTACAAAGGAACTCCCGAAGAAACGTTCTTTCCTCTTCATCAACACGTTTATTTCCGACTTTGTGTGACCCGATTCGACCGTTGTTTTTCGAGTCCATCGCCCGGACAACGACCGCAAGTTGGCCAGCGAGCCTGTTTCAGAGCGCAGTGGCCAAAGAGAAAAACCAGCCAGTGAGGCCGAAAACTTGACGACCGGCGCCGAAACGCCCTGCGGAAGAGATTCGGTGAGCCAGGTGTGGAGAGATTCGGAAGCGAGTGGCCAGTGCGCTGCGGCGCTCTCCCTTACCTTTGGCCCGGTGGCGTTTTCGGCTCACCGAAGCGTCGGGAATCGAACGCAACTGCATTCTTCGGCCGTTCGGTCATTTCTCTTCATTTGCATAACATTTCGTGCGGTTTTTGGTCCGCATCCGGTCGGGGGAGTTATTTTTGCGGCCAAGTTACGGTTTTTGGGCAATTACTCTTCACTTCTTTTCTACAACTGTACAAAAAGAGCCAAGACTACTAATCCTTAAAGGCGTCCTTCTTTCTTTCCCACGATTGACATCTACTACATACTGTCAACATCTCCGTCCTTTGCCAATTATAGCTATTTCCTTTGCCCGTCCCCGAAAGGTAATTCCACCTGTCACGCTGGGCTCGAAAGCACGGAACGTTACTTTCTCAAGGATCGCATATTTTCCTTTCCCATTGAGAAGCACTAAACTTTCTTCACAACTCACAAGGACAGCTGACAAGTGTAACGTGTCTTTATCAACCGTCCAAAAAGAGAAAAGAGAGGGACTCCGCCTTCGGCCACATTACATTCATTTCGACGAGCTTTCTGTGGGGTTTACCGGTGTGCCGCCAACGGCTTAAAACATTCGCGATACGTAAGCCCCTGAAGGCCCAGTGGGGGGACACAGAATCCTGGGGCTCAATCCCTCTCATTTCCGAGGAAATTTTCTCAATTTTTATTGCCGACACAATTAGGGCCGAACACATTCCTGGCGACGCCTAATTACGGCGGCCGGTAGAATCCGAATCAAAACACCACCTTTAACTCGGCATTCCCATTCCCTCGAGGCCGAATTGTCGTCGTTTGGGGTGGAATTCGCGGGCATTCGTGCCGTGGACGGTCTCGGACCGACAGCCGTGAACCTTCCTACTAATCCATTGCCTCATTTAGTTGTATCGACAGCCTCCGTGGACACCGACTACAGTTCGTCCAGCCCGGGTGTAACAGACGACGAGAGCTCATTTACAGATTTTTCGTCAACAACCGAACGAATCCCAACTGAACGACGAAGTCGAAGACGGCGAAGGAGAAAACCAACCAGCCGAATTGAGTGGTCTAGTGTTTCGTCGGCGGATTCAAGTCGTCCGCCCAGTTATTTCGCAAACTCGGCCGCGTTGACTTATCTGTACAGTCATCAGCGAGACCAAAGCAACAAAATCACAGACCCAAAGGAGGAGCCTATTCAACTACCGCAAGAGGAGAATTTCTTCGTCCCTTATCATAAACGCTTCAACAATCCGGTGACACAAACTCCTCCGCCTTTATCGACAAACAAGGCCAGGCGGAAGGAGAGTTCTTATTGGAAGAATCGAGAGAACGAAGAGATCGACCTTCCATCCTCCAGCTGCAACGAGGGTAGCACCCACAAATACTCTAGCGCTTCGACAGCAAGTGTTTGCGATCAGTTCCAGCTCTACAAGAAAGCACTGGCTGAGCTCGACCATAACGAAAGATTTAACGAGTTAGTGAAGAAATACGGTCTACAAGCCTGTATTTCATCTGATTCAACCGGTCAATTGGAAAACACACAACAAGCAGCAGAAGAAGGCCCGAGCCACTTCGCCAATACGTACGAGGTGCTTCAATTTTATTATCCATTCAACAACTTGAGGCGAGCACCAACTCCATTTCGTGTAATCAACATTGATTCCGATCTTCCATCAACAGCACGAATGGAGACTTCGAACGGAACTCGCCCTGACGGCGAGAATGGTGGATACAGCGGGACTCCAGTAAAGGGGATTTGCACAATTCCAGCGCGCAAAAGCGGTGTATTTGCACTAAGTTTTCAAGGAATAGCCTTTGTTCTATGCGCTGCAATTGTATCCATTTTCTTTTGTCATATCGGTGGATACTCAACAATCGCAAATGGAGTCTTTCACATCGGTGTGAACCGAACGCATGTCAACGAGAAAGGAGAGATCATAGGCTACTCCCAAGCGTTCGCTGTTTCTGATTGGCACACTCGTGTCAAACGACAGAATGATGAGAATCCTCCATTAGAAGAAGCTGGCGACGGAGAGGAACAGGATAACAACACAATAAAGAAGGGTAAGAAGAAAGGTGGCAAAGGAAAGAACAAGAAGAAAAAAGAAGACGAGGAAAAAGCCACTGAAGAAACTGATGATCAAGAAGCGGAGAACGTCAAAGAACCTAAAGAGGCCGCTGCGCCCCCAAAACAAGATCTATTTCCTACTCCAATTCAACTCGATCAGCCCGTCAATCAGCTAAATCCCGAGGAACCGCAGCCAAATCCACCTCCAAACATGGAAGATGAGATTGACTTGCCTCAAACTGACGTAAGTTAAAGATGCACTTTCCTTAAAAGTTCAAAAAATTGCAGCTGTAAACATTCCGCCATTAAATTTTACTTTGTTATTTACGTAAATTAACTTGGCAATTTTTAATTTCAGGACGTACAAGGAAATGCGGATACAATTCCGACAGCTGCAGCTACCGTTCCTTCGACTGTTCGGGCTGCAGAAATCACAACCGTCCCTTCAATGTTCCAAACAACAACACCCAGCCCAGTTATTGTTGCAACAACAAACGCTGGGGCAGGTACAACCGAAAGTGAAGAGCTAATAAAACCGGACGACGAACTACAGCCAACAGAGCTTAATACTACACAACCTTCAAGTACGGCAACAATGTCAACTAGTGACTTATCGGAAGACCTAGATGAAGAGGAGCCTGGATACTACGAGAAGATCTACGACGGGCCATTTCCCTTGGTCCGACCAGCAATCCTTCACATTGGGAATTTGGAATTCGAACTACTCAACATTCTTCGCGCTTCGTGTGTGGTCTACCTGGTCCTATGTTTTATTTGGTTTTTGTCGCTTATCTGCTTGGGGATGTCGCTGTATTTCGAGGTGCTGGACCTGGTCTACATCAACATTTTCGTCCTGACCGTGGTGTCAGTTTATACGCTAATTAAGGCCCTTTTGGTGGGAATTCTCATCTTCAAGCAGGTAGGCTTTGTTATGAAAAACTCGTTAAGGGTTTTACCCGAGTATATTAATTTTTTGGTCCATAAAGTAGTAGTTAACGAAGGGGTTTTTTCCATTCATATTTGTTCGTAACAAATCCACTATAATCCCATCGAATGGGTCTATTTTTGCCATCCTTTCCGCCCACAAAAATTTATTACCTGCCAAACAACAGGTTGTGATACTTTCGAAAGGACACGAAATACCTAGAAAATGTTATAAACATTCCAAATTTACAAAAACATTCCCAATCTAATCCAAATTTCCTGTTTTCAGAAGGCTTTCGACTGGCATATTCTTGGAGTCATTTCCGGTACAGTCGGTATTCTAATCCTCGGTTTTGTATTCATGTTGGGAGCTATGGTGTTAATGGTAATTTGGTATCGATACATCGACTATATGAATGGCGGAAACGAAACAGTAAGTTATTTTTTGGAGGGAATGCTAATTAAAAAGGGGATTACAATCCAATTTCATCAAACTTTTGGCAATACTAAAGTACGAAAAAAAAGAAAAAACTTTACAATTTGTACTTTCTCGGCAATTTCGACTCCATGATAAAAAATTTCGTATAAAAAGTTCTTATCCCAGAGATTTCTCAATTAGAGAGACGGACCTGATACAGTGACAAAAAACGTACCATTTTGCATCCGGGAAGTGTCAAAAATGAAGCAAAATGCCTCCCTCTCCAAGCGCAAAAACTCCGTTTTGAAGACGCGCTTTTGAAATCAGAGTTTTTTCACTTGGAGAGGGAGGTATTTTGCTACATTTTTTGATACTTTCCGGATGGAAAATCGTACTTTTTCCACTGGATCAGGTCCGTCTCTGTGGAGGCTTTTGAGGCTCCACAACAAATTGCGAAATCTCTGGGATAAGAAATTTTTATTCGGTTTATCATGAAGCCGAAATTGCCGAGAAAGTACAAATTGTAAAGCTTTTTCCTTTTTCGTCTGTATCACCTTTAACAACAAGCTCTTTTTTCAGTGTCTTTGTACCTCTTCAATTGCTCACTACATCAAGAGTCGAAGAGGATCGGGTAGGCAGCAGCAGCCCCGTCAAGCCCGACAGAATGCCGCAGGCGACTACTCCATCCCAGAGGCCACTCAGCATGCCAATCTGCCCTACATCGATGAGCCGCCCGTCCATCAGTTCAGTAACTTTTGAGGGGCGCCCCCAGCGTCTGGGGGCGGCCTTTTTCTACCACGACGAGGAGAGCGAGGACGGCGGGAGGGTGGATTTCGGGCGTTCTGCATTTTCGTACACGCTTGAACAGGCGCAGCGGCGTTATGGATTGTAAATCTCATTGTATTTTGTGTTGTATTTCATTGTACTTTATCGTCAAAATCATGTTTAATCTCCACATTTCTCTTTTTCAACTGTTATTTTACAACACTTCTTGCAGATATATGCTCAAGAATATACTCTTTACATTCTCCATGCTTCTCAATATACAAATATTGATCTCAAAACTCCCAATATCGCATAAATTCCCAAAAAAATCTCAAAAAATGAACCAAAAGCTCCGGTTATTTGCCTCTATCCGTCTCAAGACTCATGTAGATATCAAAAAACTTTCTTCTTTCCCATTTCTGCTCATCTCTCATATCTTTAGAGCTTAATTTCTTCATTTTCCTACTATTATCCTGCTATTTGTATATTGAATCTACAAAAAATAACATTTCACATTCAATTTGTGTTCATATAAACCTATATCCCGTAGCTAATCGGCTTAAAAATCCTTTCCAAAACCAAATTTGGGTCTTTCCGGCTTACCTGTAAGAAATCAGCCAGTTAATAGATGGGAAATGTTTGCGCTGGGCAAGTTTCTTGTCCAACCCCCAGAACACTTGGACAATACCGAGAGTGGCGGAGGTGACGGGATCGGCGAAGTCACCACCAGGTGGGGAGACACTGAAAATTTTATATTATCCATGAAAAAAGATATCAAAAAATAATTTTTTTTTCAAAATATTACTTACGCTCCAACAATGGTGACCGAACCCTCACGTTCCGGAGATCCCAAACACTTCACTTTACCAGCACGTTCGTAGAAACTGGCCAGACGCGCAGCCAGATAGGCGGGGTAACCCGAATCGGCAGGCATCTCTCCCAAACGTCCGGAGATTTCTCTCAGAGCCTCGGCCCAACGCGAGGTGGAGTCGGCCATCATGGCCACGTTCAGACCCATGTCACGGAAGTACTCGGCCAAAGTGATACCAGTGTAGATGGAGGCTTCACGAGCAGCTACAGGCATGTTGGAGGTGTTGGCGACAAGAGCGGTACGCTTCATGATGGATGTGGTGACTCCGTCGACTTCCATGGTCAGCTAAAACATGAATTTTAGCAACTTTGTATATTGCACATGACATCATTATATTCCACATGACAAAACTGATATCGTCTTCACCTAAAAACCAAAAAAAAGCAAATAGAAAAGCTGCTTACTTCTGGGAAATCTCTCAATACTTCACTCATCTCGTTACCACGCTCACCGCAACCGACGTAGATGATAGCATCGGAGTTGGAGTATTTGGACAAAGACTGGGAGATGACAGTCTTTCCGCAACCGAAAGCACCGGGAATAGCGGTAGTACCTCCTTGCACGCAAGGGAACAAGGCGTCCAAAACACGTTGTCCACAGAGCAGTGGGTAGTTGGCGGCCAACTTCTCGGTGACTGGACGTGGCTGACGGACGGGCCACACTTGTAACATACCAAATTTGAATTTGTCTCCAGAGAACTCAACCTCAAGGATTACATCCTGCAAAAATGGAGCAATTAGAGCCATCTCATCCTCTCAAATCGCCCTTTTTTATATTATCCATCAACCTAAAGCGAAAAAAATTCAAAAAAATATCTTACATTGACGGTGTATTGGCCAGCAGGAGCAACATAGGTCACGGTACCGCAAGCATTGGATGGGACCATGATTCTGTGCTTGATCAAGACGGATTCGTGGACAATACCAATAATATCACCACCAGCAACATGGCCACCAACTCGGATGTCCTTGCTAGGCTCGTAGTCCCAACGCTGTTCGCGACTCAAAGCATTGACGTTGACTCCCTTCGGGATGTAGATGGAGTCGGTCAAGTCGTTGATGTCTTTCAGCGGACGTTGAATACCGTCGAAAATGCTTCCCATAATACCGGGACCCAACTCAACAGACAAAGGCTTTCCAGTACGAAGCACTGGATCTCCGATGGTCACAGCAGCTAAAACACACAGTATTTAGCCCAAGGTTACCTCACTAAAAGCAAAAACAAGCAAAAAATATATTGTACTTACAAGTTTCTTCGTATACTTGAATGGTCGCCATATCACCTTCCAAACGGATAATTTCACCGACCAATTCGGAGTGACCGACACGGACCAGCTCGTACATAGCAGCTCCACCCATCTTCTCGGCTGTTACGACTAAAAACAGAAATTGTACATCAAGAACCATGTATAACATAAAAATTTTCTAAAGGCATAAATAAAAATAAATAAATAAACTTCAGCCGGGAGGAATTCTATCTTACTTACACACAAAAATTTATGGGCTTTCAGTTCTTTCGGTTATGCCGACCAGAAATATTTTTGATCACCTTGCCTAGTATAACAGGACTTGAAACTCGCCCAAAATAAAAGGTTTTTAGTCAGTTTTCATATAACACAGCAAGGACACCAATCAAAGGTTCTAAGAATCTCAAAGTAACAAAGGATAAACCATGAGAACCAACAATTATTTTCAAAACCGTTCGTGTCTCTGGTATAATATAAAATCACTGCTGCAGGAGCTCATGCGGATTTCCCAAAGTTCAAAAAACCTTTAGACAGATACCTAAAGACATAAAGCAATCAACAAAATCCTTACCAGGACCAGAAACTCCGTACACGAACCCATATTGGGATTCCTTGGCGTGATCACGGGCATTCTTGACTGCTGGTGCCATTTTGACTGGTTTGTTTGGGCCAAATTAACTAAAACACAAAGAAATTCAGCTCGTATTCAACGCGAACAGCGAGATAATAATACGATGGACGAGAAGAAACATTGTTATAATGGGACTTGGCTCCACCCTTCATGCAAATATACCCAAAGTAAGGTATTTTGATATCGAATATGCAGGTTTGGAGTGGTTTTCGGACGCGAAACGGCCGTTGCGGGTAAAGATCAGAATTTCCGAGCCGAAAAGTGCGAAAAAATCAAAGACCAAGAGCGAACCAATATTTGTTTGTTTTCGTGGTGGGACGCAAAAGGCGAGCTGATGTTGGAGAAAAATTGCCGATATCTTGCGTTTTGCGGGGTGTGAAGGAAAATAAGGGTAAGAAATGAACGTTTGAAATGAAATACACTATTTTTAAAGGCTTTCAGGAATATTGATATATTGTATATTATACATAATCAAAAAATTTTTAAGTGAAAATTTTATAAAAATTAAAATTAAAACAATGAGTTATATGTAGTATAATGCGCTATATATTAATCTCTGAAAGTTTTAGCTCATGCTTTGAAGCCGCAGCCGAGATATTCAGCGATTATTGCGACAAGAGAGTACGCAAAAGACGGAGTGCGGTCAGACATAACACCACTTTTTGGCCATAACTTTGTTAGTTTCGCATGGAAAAAATGATTTTTTGTGGAAATATTACCCTCTATGGTAGAAATAAGCAAAAAACTTTTCATGCCAAAATTTGAAAAAAAGTATCACATTTTTTCACAAATTTCGACACAAAAATCTCGGTCGTTTCTGCAAAGTGCGATTTTAAAGTCTTGTATTTGTTTTAGAAAAGATTGTTTTAAATTTGCGCCCAATTTCATCAAAATCTGACGGTTGCAGTTCAAGTTCTTCCCTATTCTTGTACACTTTCTTATATCTATTGCCTTTCTTTCTTCTTATGTAAGTTGTTTCCGCTGGCCATTCAAATGTGTGGTCTTGGAAGAGATGAATCAATGAGGACGCAGAAAATAGTAGCCTCTGATTAAATCAAAGCCGCTCATTGTGAGAAAGAAGCAATCTTCTAACGGTCGTAAAATGGAAACTCTTCAATTTTTACTGTGGCTGACCGCTTTTATCGTTGTGGCTAAGGAAGACACATATATTTTGGATAGAACTAAAATTAACGTACAGTTCAAAGTGCAATTTCCGCCTGGATCGGTTTGGAAGTAAGTGGTAAAATTCGTTGAAGAAAAGGACCCCCAAGTGAAGTGCTACCACTTTTTGGCCGTATCTTTTCCAGTTTTGCATAGAAAAAATTGATTTTTGGTGGAAACATTACTCTCTACGGTTGTAATAGGTATGAAATTTTTCATGACAAAATTCGCAAAAAAATGTTACACTTTCACCAACTTTCAACCTAAAAATCTCGGTCATTTTATGCAAAGCACAAGCAAGAAATCTCCATGTCTTAGAAAAAAATATTTTAAATTTGTAGCAAATGTCATCAAAAAATTAGCGTCATACTTACTAGTCCGTTCGCAAGTTCGTGGAAGTGATTTTTGCGACATGCACAGTGCGAAAACAAAATTTCACTTGCACTGTGCAATTTCTTGCTTTTTGCACGGTGCAATAGGCTTTTTTAGGCTGTCGCTCGCACCCTGTCTTTTTCTGCACAGTGCAACAGTCAAAAATCATTCCAGCGACTTCATGAACGGACTATCGGTCTGTCGGGAAAATAATGAGCTCACTGATGTTGCGTCAATCGCGTCGCTGAAGCGAATATAGGCGATTTTTTGCGACACAATTCACTTTCCCGGCGGCGATTTTCGATGCTACAGAGTGCTCATTATTTTCCCGACAGACTGATGTTTTTAATTTTTTTAATTTTCAATCTTTTTGTATAGGCGATTCCAAGGCGCCAATCCAAATTATTTTCCCAACAAATTGATAAGTATAATTTGTCAGCAAAAACCTTACTTGATCCATCGATCTGTCGGGAAAATAATGAGCACAATGTCGCTGTGCCAATCGCGTCGCTGAAGTAAAAAAAAATTGATTTTGCCGCGGCGCAATTCATTTTCTCGGCGGCGATGCGATTTTCGAAGCGACAGAATGTTCATTATTTTCCCGACAGACTGATATTAGAGAAAATATGGATTCCTCTGTCAATTCAGTTTGCAAGAAGTTTAAAGTATTCAAAATTGAATGCATTTCAGAGTCTGCTTAGAATATGACGTTGATTCCACCGACTGGCCCAGATATCCCGCCCGTTGGCCCAAATTATGCCGGCCTCCGCCGAAGTTCTTTGCCTTTCTCTGCGGATTCCCGGGCAAAGAGGACAAGTGCTCGCAATACTTGGGTCGGCCGTCGGAATTCAACATTACTAATCCCACAGCAGACACCTATACTTTAGTGTTTGTTGACAGTGGTCACAATGTGACGAGATTAATGGCCCAAAATGTGCCGGTAGCGAAAACAGAGGAGGGCGACTGGGAAATCACTTTTTCGCTGCTGAGGGTGAGTTTGCGAGCGAAAAATTTTACATTCTTCAGGGCAGTGAGACATCAATTTGGGCTAATGGAACCAGTCCGTATCACAAACAAGCAATCCATCCGTTTGGTCGCAAAATTTTCAATGAATTGAATGTGGTTACAGAAAATGCAGAAGTAAAAATGGAACTTAAGAGAATTCAGTAAATGTGAACTGAGGAATAAACATCGCGCAATTTTTTTAAAATTTTTGAAAAGTTTGATTTTTTGTTTAATTTTCAAAAAATCCGAGACGTAAAAAATTTGATTTCTTTTTACTTTTTTAATTTTCGAAATTTCAAAAAATCCCAAAAATAAAAAAAAAAACAAAAAAACAAAAAATTTAAAAAATTTCAATCTTTTCCAAAATTTTTAAGACTCCAAAAAATTTCATAATTTTACCGAACAAGTCCAAAAAAAATCAAAAATTTAAATCTTTTCCAAAATTTTTCACATTTTCGAAATTTTTTTTTCAAAATTTTCAAAAAAATCCCAAATCCCAAAAAGTTCATCTCCATTTTCCAATTTGACTTTTATTTTGCGCCTCGGATTCCATTCCATTCTCCTCCCCGACTGACTGATGGCCGGCCGCATCCTTTCGCCCAAGATCGACTTCCCCGGCTCGGATGAGTCCTTCGATGACATTGATCTCACCTCCAACACTCCGGAGCCAAGCCGTCGCCAAGAGCAGAGACCAATGCTCACTCCGGCCAACCACATTGTGATCCATGAGGTCAAGGGCGAGCCGGAGGAAACGGTAATGTTTTAGTAGAGGGATTAGTGGGGGAGGTGGTGGAAAATGGGATTTTTTGGGGTTTTATGAATTTTATAAATAAATTCAGGGTCTTCAGTGGTCGTAATAGAGTTCACAACGTAATTAAGGAGCTCTAAATGAGAATCCAGAGCTGCTGAAGATCAAAAAGAGGCAATATTGTAGTAGATGGATCAGATGAGGAGGCTTGATGAAAATGATTTTTTGATATAATTGACGCAGTTGTAGGAGAATCTAAGGGATTTTGAAGGTTTTGTTATGCTTTGTAGGTTATTTTGAGATCAAAAAATTAGATTTTAGGGTGTTTTAGGGATGAGAAAAATACAATATTGTTTTAGAGGGATTTGATGACATAACCTTGAAAAAAATTGTTTTTTAGAGTTTTTGAAGAGTTTGTTAAGTAAGTTAAAGACCTCAAACGGACCTGTGGGTCATCTAAAGTTGGTAGAGTAGGATTTTGCGAGTTTAGTTTACGATTTTAGGGACTAGAAATGGTTGATATTGTAGTAGGAACAACAATATGAGATGGCTTGACAAAAATATGGTATTTTTTGGGAATATCAGGGGATTTCAGAATGGGAATAGCTTCTAAGATAATGTAGAACTATTCTAAAGATGGTAGCAAGGCAAATTTTTGCCAGTCAGCATGAGATTTTTTGAATTTTGCAGACTTTTTGTATGCCCTTCCCATCTAAATCAAGGTTTATTGCTTTAACCCAATTTTTTGCCTCAAATCATTATTAAAATTAACCCCAATTCATTTTCAGACTGACACGGCCACCACCTACTTTGAGATGAACCATCTTCCATTCATCGCAATGTGCCTTCTGGCCGCGTCGGCGTCGCTTCTTCTTCACCGCTCGTTGCCGATGGATGTGGCTCTTCTGGGATGTATTTATGGCATCTTCTCCTGCTACTGTTTGCTCAGATGGAAGTCGGTGCTCCGTTATATCATCCCAGCGATTTTTGTGGTGAGTTTGAAGGGTGTACTTGTTTAGTTCAGTGGTAGTGATTTAGAGATGCAGGTTCGATTCCCGGTGGAAGAAAAAGGGGAAATCAAGGGGAATTTCATTCTTTATGAATTGTAAATTGTAGGGAGTGATGTAATAAGTGGATATAAACGGTTAAGAAGATATTTTAGATAAGTTTTTGGCAAAAAAAATAAATTTTTGATGATTTTCCCTCATTTTTCAGGCTTTTATCCTCGGAAAAGCGGTCACTGACCTCTCCGAACTGAGTATTCATTGGGAAAGGACCCAAAACACAATAAAGCCTGCCACAAATGCCACCAACGTCCATAACAAGCTCCCCTATTTCAATGTGATGAGCCTCGGAATCCGGGTCTTGGTCTTATTCGTGTTCGCATTCGTTTACGACTTGCTCGGCTTCGCAGTCGTCGATCACTACCGACCATTCTTCCGCTCCGGCTACAAAATGCTTGCGTTCGTTGTGTGCTGGATCACTGTCTTGACCGGAGTCCTCGCCGGCTTTGTCGCGCTGTTGGCTTATACCGGCTATGTGAACTTTGAATAAACTGATTTTTCACCCGAACTTGAGTTGTTTTTTGTGTTGATTTTGGTATCATTCGATGGCTCAAAGATCAGTCTGTCGATTACAATAAATTTTAGTTTTTGATCTGACAAAAAATTGCGATTTTTGGTCATTTTTAGGCAAGCATCAAAAGCTGACTTTTTTTTGAATTTTCCAAATATTTTGGTCATTCAAGGGCCAGAAATCGTTTCAATTTCGTAACCAGCAGAAATTTACACAATTTTCCTTCCAAACGCATGACGAAACAACTTTTTCTTCGCTTCTAATTAACCAAATTTCCATTTTTTGCCTACTATAATATAATCTTTGACGAAATTATAAAAGAAACCAATCGAAAATGTATTAAATAAACCTAATTGTCTTCTTAACGCTTCAGGGCATCAAACCTTACCCAAGCAACACCCGAATTTCCAAAGATTTCGCTGTTCCATTTCCCGCAGCTCGCGCCCTACCTTTCCCCGCCTTTTCGCGAAAAGAGCGCGAAAAAAATGAGAAATGGTGGAATTCTTGCGTCTGCAATGTTTTTTTTTTCACTTCGCTGCATACGCAAATTTTTTGACTCATTTCCACGAATTTTGAGCGAGTTATTTTTGAAATTTTCAATAATTTTCGAAAATCTCAATTTTTTAAAATTTTGCCAGCCTTTCGGCCGTTTTCTCTGGTCCAATGGGTAAAAAGAAGGTGAACCAAGCTTTACTCTCCTAGTATACACTATTTTCTTTTTGTTTCTAGTGTTTTATTTACTTTTTTTTACCAATTTTCGCAATTTTTATACCTAAATTAATATTTTTCCAAAATTTTTGATGTTGTACATGCTCTTTACTCCAATTTTTTTTCAGATCTCAGCCGTCCACTTCAAGATGGAGGTGGAGTTACAGAAATGTTTGCGGAACAGTCAGAAGTTTTCCCAAATTTTTCAATTTATCAACAACTTCGGACCATTCGTTCAGATTTCATGGACTTTCGAGCAATTGGAGAATATGTTAGTGGCCGATGTGGATAGTCGACGTGAGTATTTCTTGTTTTTTCTGAATTTAGGCGGATCATGGAGAAAAAGAGGAGTTTTCAAGGAAAAATTTGGCCTGTGTCTAGTATAATATCGAATTTTGGGTTTATACCGAAAATGATGGTCAGATAAGGTGGATGATACAATTTTTGGGAATAATTTAGTCTATTCTTCCTCATAGGTCGCTATTTACGCCTTTTCTGTTCATTTTTTGGACTCTGAAGTTAGACTTGACACATTCTCAAAATTTTGAGTCAACTGTTACTCTCGTTGGCTGACACTTCAAATAATGTCAAGATGAGATTTCTAGATACCCATACACCTCTGACAAGAAATTTGAGATATTTCCACCTACTTTGACATTGTTTTTCATCAATCTTCCTCAAGGATAATATAATTTAGAGTCGGATGAGCTGGTCAAAGCGATGATGGGCCTGATACGAAAGATTGCCCCAACCTACAGGCCGTTGAGTGGTCTAGCTGGACTGGACAAGTTTATCGCGACCTATTCCGGCATTGAAAATCCAGACAATTCCGAGGATTATCAGTCGTTGGACCTGCAAGGAAGAATGGATTTGTTGTTGGAAATTTTATATCTCTCTTGTCGGACTCACTTTGGAATTGTTGCTGGGGTACGTTTTTTTATTTTACTTGCTTTTCTTCAATTTTTAGGCCGAAAAAATGAGGTTTTTTTTTTGAGAAGAACAGAGCTAAAAATGGAATTTCTTTTACTCATAATTCCATTTTCAGTTCAAGCAGAGGCAGATTCCCTATCATGAACTCCGATGGAAGCCAGTCGGCAAGGACTACGATGGATTGGAGTACTATTATCAAGAGGACTGCGAGTTCAATCCAAGGATTTATATTGCAAATTCTGATGGAGACGGCGAGAGTTGGACGTTAAAAACAAAGTAAGAGTTGATTTCGAGACATTTGGAAGGAATTTCGAGCAAAAAGAGGGATTTTTTTAAAGATTTTTTTGATAGTAATATCATGTGTAATATAAAAAGTTGATGATTTTGGTAATTTTTTGATATTATTTGGTCCAAGGTGTGATATAAAAGCTCTTTAGGTTTGTTTAAGTGATTTTTTGAGGGATAAATGTAAATTTTTTAACCCTCATTATCATGGGTAATATAAAAAGTTGCTGATTTTGGCAATTTTTTGGTCTTGTTTGGCCGAATGTAGGGTTTAAAAGTTTTGTAGAGCGTTTCTGAAAGATTTTTTGAGCGGTAAATGTAATTTTTTTCACCTTCATTATCATGGGTAATATAAAAAGTTGATTATTTTGCCAATTTTTTGGTCTTATTAGGTTCAATATTGGATGTACAAATGTTTTTAGAGTTGTTTAAAACATTTTTTGAGAGATAAGTTTAATTTTTTTCACCTTTATTATCATGGGTAATATAAAAAGTTGATGATTTTGGCAAATTTTTGTTCCGATAATGTCGAAGATTTAGATTTAAAACGATTTTAGGTATCTTTTTTTTCAATTTACAATCTTCAAACCTAAAAAATTGTATTTTAGGACCCGCCAAGGCATCTACAAGCTCATAAAGAACCTCCAAGGCGAAGAAGTGTCGGAAGAATCGCAAAATTTGATCCCAGAGATCACAATGTCGGCGGCGGACAAGAAAAAATACCGATTGTCGGATCACCACTTTTCTTATGGCAATTTTTACAAGCAAATTGAAGTGAAAGTCAAGAAGTCCAAGATGAAATTTGCTCCGAAAAAAGTGAACTCCGAAAACAAGGAGAACGCCCCAGAGAAAAAAGAAGAGAAAAAGGAACAAGAGGCACCCAGAAAGATACTAAAACCGTAAGTTTGGATGCATTGCCTGAGGGAAAATAAAAAATTTTGAGATTTTGAAATTTTTTTGGAAATTGATGGAATTTTTATGGAATTGATGGGATTTTTGGTCAATTTTTGCTTAACTTTGGGTTGGAAATGGAGTGTAGAGGCTTCATTGTGATGTGAATGAGGTCTGGCGTTAGTTTAGACATATCAAAATGGGGAATTTTAGCGAAAAATTTCAAAAAATTGAGATTTTTAAGAGATTTTTTGATTTTTTTAAAAAATTTTTTTAATTGATTTGATTTTTGTTTAACTTTGGGTAGAAAATTAATTGTAGAGGCATTATGGAGATGTAAAAGAGGATTTACCGTATTTTAGACATATCAAAATGATGAATTTTAGCGAAAAATTTCAAAAAATTGAGATTTTTAAATAATTTTTTTGATTTTTTCGCAAATTTCTTGCTTTTTTAATCGATTTTGGATAGGAAATGGATGGGAAAGGCTTTTTTGAGGTTCATTGAAGATTTTACAATTCTTTAGACATTTTAAAATTTGGAAATTTTAGGAAGAATTGCAAAAAATTTAGATTTTTTGAGCAATTTTGGAGATTTTTGAAAAATTTCGTAATTTTTATAACTTGTTTGGACAATTTGTAATTGGAAAAGTAACTTCAAAGCTGTGGTATGACCTGTAGAGTAGTTTTATTAAATTTAGACACAGTAAAAATTGGAATTTATCTAAAATTTGCAATAATTTTGAGATTTTTTTCGAAATTTCGTCGAAAATTTGGAAAAAAATTATGAAAAAAAGTCAAATTAACCTACAGTGGGGGACCTGATCCAGTGGCAAAAAACGTACCATTTTGTATCCGGGAAGTATCAAAAATGTGGCAAAATGCTTCCCTTTCCAAGTGAAAAAACTCCGATTTCACAAGGAAAGTACTTTTATGGGGGCTCCTACTTTTTGACGGGACATACCTCAAAAAATCAGAAAAAATGTGCTGATCAAGGATATATAAATCTTAGCTGCCCATTTTGGGCTTTTAGGGGTGAAAATGCCCAAAAACTGGCTCAATTTCCCTACAAAAGGCGCATGCATTCGAAACGATAAAAAGCGCAGTTGGTCTCTTCCTTCGGAAGAGAGCGGTGTGGCCGAGTGGCTAGTGCCGTAGTCTGGGAATCAAGAGGGGGAACGCCGCACGGGTTCGATTTCCCTTTTGGGCTGAATCAACTTTTTTTGAAGTTGAAGGTCGGAAAAATAAATTTTTGGGCCAAGACTGATTTATTACGTCTTAGAAACTCAATAAACATCATTTTAAGCCAAAATAAAAATTGTAAACCCGTGAAAAATTACTCGAAAAGGGGTTCATATAGGGCTTTAAGTCAACTTCCGACTGAGTTTTCACCCCTAAAAACCTAAAATGGGCAGCTAAGATTTATATATCCTTGATCAGCACATTTTTTCTGATTTTTTGAGATATGTCCCGTCAAAAAGTAGGAGCCCCCATAAAAGTACTTTCCTTGTCAAAAGCGCCCTTCAGAACGGAATTTTTTCACTTGGAAAGGGAGGCATTTTGCCACATTTTTTGATACTTCCCGGATGCAAAATGGTACGTTTTTTGCCACTGGATCAGGTCTCCACTGTAGGTTAATTTGACTTTTTTTCATAATTTTTTTTTCAAATTTTCGACGAAATTTCAAAAAAATCTCAAAATTGTCGCAAATTTCAGATAAAATTCCAATTTTTACTTGCTCTAAATAAAAATAAAATTACTCTACACACCATACCACAGCTTTTACTTTACTTTTCCAGTTATAAATTGTCCAAAAAAGTTATAAAAAATATGAAATTTGCTAAAAATCTCTAAACTGGTCTCCCACTGTAGATTTAACCTAGATTTTTTAGCGTCAAGAAAGGTACAACAACTGGGCTGGAAAAGGAAGCCAATCTGATGTCTTCCTGGCTGAAACAAACCCCCAAAGAGGCCAAATACGCCTGCAAAAAGTGCCACGAAAACGGATCGGCGAAGCAAATGAACGCCTGCAAAGTCTGCGACAAATACTATCATATCGAGTGCGTGAACACGAAAACCAAGCAGAAACTTTGGACCTGCCCCATTTGCACCAACAAGGAGCTGGTGGGCCGGCTGAGCATGATTTATATTCGACTTGCCGAGGTGATCCAACAAAAAATTGAACAAGTCTACAATGAACGCAAAATCCAGGTGAAATCCAAGTATAGCCTCAGGAAATATGAGGATCTGGACAAACTGGAAGAGGAGCTGTGGGGAGAAGGGTCGGATGTGAGCGAGGATGACGAGGAGGAGGATTATAAGGAGGATGAAGATGAAATTGAAGAAGAAAGCGAAGATGAAGAGGAAGAAGAGGAGGAGGAAGAAGAAGAAGATGATGATTAGACTGTGTAGAAGATTTAGAAAGATGTGAACTCAAATTTACATTGATCTTTGGCAGTTTAAATAAGCCTTTCATCATAATTATGTATGTGATTGTAAGCTATTGAAAATAAATAATTATGTTGTAAAGTAGAAGTAATTGAAGTGGAAAATAGTTAAAAATTTGTATATCGACTTTTTACATCGAAATTCCGACGGTTTCCCGCCAATTCCGCGAAAAGGTAGGGCGCGAGCTGCCAATCGAAAAATCACGAATAAAGCGGAATTTCATGAGAATTGGGGTTGAAATGAACGCCATGAGGCCTTTAGAGTGATGTGTAGAAGATTTAGAAAGATGTGAACTCAAATTTACATTGATCTTTGGCAGTTTGTCTAAGCCTTTTATCATAAGTATGTAAATATATGATTGTAAGCTATTGAAAATAAATAATTATGTTGTAAAGTAAAGGGATTTTAGTGGAAAATAGTTAAAAATTTGTATATCGACTTTTTACATCGAAATTCCGACGGTTTCCCGCCAATTCCGCGAAAAGGTAGGGCGCGAGCTGCCAAATGAAAAATCACGAATAAAGCGGAATTTCATGAGAATTGGGGTTGAAATGAACGCCAGGAGGCATTTGAAGTGATATAAGAGAAAAATATATAGTTTTCCGCAATTTGTTACCCGTTTTTCGACAAAAATTATATTACACTAGACAAAAAGCTCATATTTTTTATGAAATCCTTGCTAAATCGAGAATTTTCGAAAGATCTTTCATATTTATTGTGATATAAAACCTTCAAGTATATCATACTCAAACCACTGATATTCGATATTGCTTTAGATACAGAAAAATTTGAGATTTTTCAAAAATTGTTAGTCATCATTTTTTAAGAATCCGACTTTTTCTCCGTATTTTCACTGTTTTCAATGAGTTGTAGAGGTGGCATATCGTCGTAATTGCTTTCATCCGAATCGTAGTCCTCTAATTCGTCGATTGCCAGCTCTTCCGCCATGATGTTCTCCTTGAGGTCGGAAAAATCGAAAGGATCCTCTTCTTCTCCCTGTTCATCCTCGTCAACCCACTTGTCAAAGTCGACTTTGAGCCATGGAAGCTAAAATACGAAAACTAGTATCGAATATTGGGTTCAAATTTACAAAATTTTTCAAGAAAAACTCAAAAAATCGCAAAAAATTTCATATTTTTACGATTTTCGATTAAAAATCTCACGTTTTAAAAGCTAGAATTGTGAATAACATACTTTAACAGGCTTGCTGGTCAGTCTCGGCCACCATTTGTTTTCCTTCTTGCCCAGAATCAACTCGATATGACGTTTCGTTCCAACCTGCCGGACCTGATTTTTGTCAATTTCTCCGTGAAATTCCAGCTCGGCTTGGTATTTCTTGCCAGCACTAGTTCCGCTGGAAAATTTGGAGGTTATTTGTAAGAAAGATAGTGCTTTCAAAGACCTTTTGAAGCGAGTAAGCAATGAAATTTTGAGGGCATCTGATGTCATGGATAATATAGCGATTACTCAGATAGTCTTTGAGTGTGAGGTATGAAAATATACCACTATATAAGAGAATATATGAGGTCTTATTGGTGTGAATTTCAAGTGTATAGCAAGAAGATTACGGTAGTTATGACACATTTTTTACAAACTGTCAAGATTGATGGTCATGAATAATATTTGGCTTTTAAGCGACTTATAATCGAGAAAACGGTATCATAAATGGATTTAAAAGATAGCTGATATCATACTGCATGAATCCAGGGTACTTCCAACTCTTCTACAGTACCCTTACCGTATCAAAAACTGATTTCCATCCACCTTCAGCTCCTCCACATTCATATCCTCCAGTTTCACCGTCAAATACAGCACTTTATCGCGCTGTGCCCACGCAATCGTGGGGCTCAAATACTCCGCCATCGTACTAGCTACAATACTTTGCACAAAAACGTCGATTCCACTCCAATATTTGAGGGGAAATAAAGTCAGTTTTGCATCTTGTCCACGGATAATATAATTTAAAATTTCCACACGCAAGAAATAAGCGGTTTTAGAGATGAAGATGCTCTCGAGAGCGCTAATCCGGCAAAAATCTCGAATAAATTCGAGAAATCAGAAAGTCGTGGTGGGAAAGAGGAAATTTTGGCATTCCGTCGCAGTAACAATTTTTTCGCCGAATTTCACGAGAAGCAGATAAATTTGGACGTTTTTCTGCAGAAAATATGTATGAATCGGTGCAATTGGGTCTTCTTTATTTACGACAGTAGATTTGCGTTGATTTCAAGGCATTTATTGCAGAAAATTTTTCGGTTATATTGATTTAGCGACCTAAAACAATATTTGACGCGAATTTCCGTGACTTTGAAAAGATAACTGCAAATTTTGTTGATAATCTAACAGCATATGCCTTTTCAGAGATATCCAGCCATTCATCATTGAAATCCCTGCATTCTTCGGTCTGATTTTTGCATTTTCCGTTTTCTGATTCTAGAACTAAGTCAAGGTGAATTTTCTGGAAGAGTTCTGCTCAAACTTGAAGAGACCTGCTTTCTTGAGGTGAACAGTTGATTCAGCTTGGTATTTCAATTGCATGCGCATCGGATATTAGCCGTTGGTTGGTGGAATTTGAATTTTTTTCGAGGGCGCATCAAACATTGGCTGGTTCTGGAAGGTTTGACGATTTTTGAGGCATTCCCCGCGGGTATTTTGTGGAATTCGCTTTGCAAAAGCAGGAACAAATTGTGTAGACGCTAAACGAGTAAGAAAATGTCGGAATTCGACCTGTCTTCCATTCCAATTCCACCTTCTTCATCTGCGAACCAACCAGATCCCAACAATCCGTTTTGGGCGAAAGCTCAGGAGCAGTTGGCACGATTGCAGCCCAGAGCACCAAATGCACCACCTCCGCTGCCGCCGCAGTTCCATGATCCGGTTTATCAGACGATTTTGAGTCAGCAACAACAGCCGGCCGGATATGCGAGAGGTGCAATGTCGGCGGCTGGCCGGCTGAATTCCGAGAAAAGAATTAGAGAATCTTATCAAGCGGGGTTCGTAAGGCCCCCTCCTAACTCGGCGGTGAAGTATCCGAACTTTCGACCAGCTGGAGGAAACGCGAATATGGTGCCATTGAATCAGCGGATGCCTTTTGGTTCTCCAGGCTATATTCGACCTCAACAAGGTGAGTTTAATTTTTTGTAAGGTCTTTTCTGGTGTTTAGATTCTAACACAAAGCTACGGTTTTGCAAAAAGCTTGATTTTTCTGGGATTTTTGTCTAAAGTAATATTGTTTTAGCTCCAAATGTGACGGTAACAAGTGCTCACGGTCAAACCTTTGTGTATTCCGAGTTTTTCAGCCGAATGGTCCCTCAGAGTGTCAAGTAAGTTCATTTTACATTTGTTGTTTGGATTTTAGATCAAAATATTCTTCTTGACCCAAAGACCGTCTAAAATAATATTTTTCTTTCCAAAATTCTTGAATTTCTGATAAATTTTCTCCGGAATTTGGCAATCACCAATTATTCTTCATGTTTTTAGAGACTATTGTGATCGAGCCCTGGCTGCCGCCCCGGACGATGCAAATCAAGTAAGGTACTACTTAAAGGAACGGATCTCTCCAATGCTCGACTCAGGAATGGCTACTCGTATCAATTGGAACGCCGAAAAGCTTCCACATGAGGTCAAGTTTCAGCTGAATCTGCAATGGACCCCGGCTTCGGCAGTCAAACTGCCCGGCGCTCCGTCTTCGGCTCCAGTCTCATTTGATTTAGGTAGGACATGGAAACTTGATTTTTTGAGTATTTCATTGGGTTTTTTCATAGTGATTTTGGTGTTTAAAACGAGGAATAGGCTCTGTTAGAGATTTAGGAATCTGAGTTTGGTTGAAATTGAGGAAAATTTAGGGTCAAAATTGACTTTATATTGTTTTAGATAGGAAAAAATCCAAAAAATTGGATTTTTCATTTTTTCCGAAGTTTTAAGAGTTTTTATGCCTGTTCTAGATAATATAATTAAAATTTACTGAGAATAATCATATTTTTGTGTTCAAAAATAGCTTTATATTGTTCTAGGTAATAGAAAACGCCCTTCGGACGGTGATGGTCTTCCCAAGTTTACTCCACTGAACACCGAGAACAATGTGTTCGACAAATACGACGCTGATCATGCATCGACTTCTAAGGCAAGTTATTTTTCTATTTTTGTCTTGTCTTTAGGCAAAATGACCATGTTATACGACGAAACATGTTTTGTCGTATAAATTGGTCGATTCGCAAAACTGATGATCGTAATTGAGAGAAAATGAAGTGGAAGACAGGAGAATAGAATTGTGATTTTCAGAAGTCCAAAAAAGCAGAGAAAAAGGAACGAAAACGTCAACAACAGCAGCAGCAAGCGGCGTCGGCCGCGAAGGCCGTGATCGCCCAGCGATTCTCGGCCCCACAGTCGCGCTACCCCTTAATTGAAGAGGAGTCGACCTCGGACGAGAAGCGGAAGGCCGCTCGCGCCCAACGCTTCGCCTCCGCCTCGGCTCAGTCGGCGAATATCCGCACAAGGTCGGAAAATCAACCAGTTCTGGGTCCGCAGGGCTTCACAGTGCAACGAAAACAGAACGGACGAATCAATTTGAACTCGTTGGTGGAGAAATGCTCGTTGAAGCGGAGAAGAAGGATTATTGGGACGTGTACTGCCATCGAGAAACCTTATTTTAGGTTAACAACTGTGAGTTTTTAAAAATTTTTGTGTCTTGAATTTTAGGACCTACTTTTATCGGAAATCACGAAGATTTTTTTATGGAAGTTTTCGATTTTTTGAAGTCGCAAAATTTTGATCGTATAAAATGTCACCTACCTAAAATTATGTTATTTGGATTTCCAGGAAGCCGACCCATCCCAAGTCCGCCCCTATCACATCCTTCGTCGCGCCCTAGAGCATGTTTTGCGGGTGTATCGCGAGAAAAATGACGATTATCACTACGCGAACGACCAACTCAAGAGCATCAGACAGGACATTCTGGTCAGTTTTTTATTTATTTTTTAACTTTTTTATCTGTCATGATGACTGATTTTTGGAATTTTTTGAAATTAAAAAAAAATTTTGTGAATTTTTTTGAGCAAAATATCTCGGATTTGATATTTTTTAGGCTTATCTTACCCTACCGTTTATATCTTGCCCATTTCCAGACTCAAGACATACGAAATGAATTCGCCATCCAAGTCTACGAAGAGCACGCACTTTTGGCCATAAAACACAAGGACCGCGAGGAGCTGAACCAGGCCCAAAATCAGCTCAAAGTTTTGTACGAAACCCTCTCGTCGGCTCCGAACCGATGGCGCTTCACTTCGTATCGCCTCCTGTATTACGCCTACGTGGAGTCGGAGTCAGGTAAGATTGATGATTTTTGGGGTTTGTAGAGGAAGATTTGCGGGATTTTTGGTTGTTAGAGGTGGTTCGGGAGTCTTAGAACGATTTGGAGGGCATTTTTAACGTTTTTGGAGAAATTCAAGTTTTCGTGGTGGGACCCAAAGTTTTGGATTTTATGGGTTGTTTTAGAGTTTAGACGGGTTTTGAGCTCTGGAAGATCTAAAAATGTGTTTAGAATTTGTTTTGAAGCAAGTTTTGGATCATTCAGGTTTTCGTGGTGGGACCCAAAATTTTGGATTTTATGGGTTGTTTTAGAGTTTGGACGGGTTTTGAGCTCTGGAAGATCTAAAAAAGTGTTTAGAATTGGTTTAGAAGCAAATTTTGAGTTGTTCAGGTTTTCGTGGCGGGACACAAAATTTTGGATTTTTTTGGTTATTTTAGAATTTTGGAAGGGTTTTGAGCTCTACGGGATTTAAAAAAGTGTTTAGAATTGGTTTAGAAGCAAATTTTGAGTTATTCAGGTTTTCGTGGCGGGACTAAAAAATTTTTTTTTTGGATTTTTGATATAATTTTTTAATTTTTACTTTCAGATGCCACTGGACTGATGCAAAAGTACCGCGACGCGTTCGCCAAAAGCCCCGAAATGAAATTGGCGCGCGAAATTTATATGGCCTATGCGACGCGAAATCACTGCAAATTCTTCGGAATTTACCGCAAAGTGGACACGGTAACGAAGCAATTGATGGACTTTTTTGTTGACCGAGAGAGAAATCGACTCATGCAGGCTGTCATTGCGGCGTAAGTTGGTTTTTTTTTTGTTTTTTTTATATTTTTTTGCGATTTTTTTGTATAAATTTTGGGAAATATGGATGTTTTTTGGTGAATTTGGATGTGTTTGAATATAAAAGGATGTTTTCAGGTACCGTCCCACTTTGTCCCTCCCCCAACTAGCCGGCATTTTGATGCTGGACGAGCGCTCCGAACTCCCCGACTACCTGAAGGGAATTGGCGTCGAAATCGACCAAATAAACGGCCAAAAAGCGGTCGATTTGAGGAAATACTCGAATTTGAAGATCCCCAATTCTTAGATATCAATCAGCCAGAGCAATATCAGGGATGTAAAGGACTCAGATTTAGTATGAAAAATTTTAAGAAGAAAAAAAGTTTTACAAAAAAAGTTGTAAAAACTATTGAATTTACATGTTGAATTGATGGAATCCAAACAGTAAAGGGCTAAAATATAGAGTTGTAGTGTGTTTCCAACAAAATTACAGCAAAATTTCCATAGATTACTGTAGTTTTTCAAAAAAAATCGGATTTTTTGAGGTTTTTTCAATTTTTTTGTTTTTTGGCCATTGTAAATGTTGTTTTGTTAAGAGTTATATCATGGAATATGTTTGTTCTGATCTGTTTTATAATACCGAGTAATAATAAACGTATTTGATAAGGATTTGTGAAATTTTTTGGGGATTTTTTTGGTTTGAACACCAAGTATAATATTTTTGGTGGTTTTGGTCGGATTCTATGGATTCTTTGGGGGTTTAGGTTCAAAATGAGGATATCAACCCTTAGGCTGGCCGAGAAATTCATCGCGAATCGCAAGGCCTTCTTCGGAGAGCGCTATGACATGTTGAAATCGGCCGGACCCAATATTGGAGTGGGTATCGGAACTTTGCTCACTGTTGGAGTATGGGTCTTGTAAGTGTCTGGAAGTTTTTTCTATTGTGTTTTGGAAGTATCTAGCTATAATTGTTCAAAATTTCATAGAAATTGATGGGGGTTGTCAAAAGTTATGGCTATTTTTCTGCGGCTCTATTAGATCTGATCCCCTAAATCAATATTTTTAGCAATTTCGCCATGCCAACCCCCGACCTTCAGCATGATTTCCGGTATATATTCTCCGCAGAGTACAGACAGTTCGTCAAGACCAATGGACTAGCCGATCCGGTGACTGAGGGCATGTGGGAACGCCGAGTTCAGGGATACTATGTTCAAGAACGCGACGCCAAGCGATCTCGCCTACTGCGCCACACAAATTTCGAACAATCTGGCTACGGAGAGAGTGTTTAACGCCTTGAGCTTTATTTTGACCTAGAATCCAGTTGATTTGCCCATATTTTTGTTGAAAAATGTACAGTTGTTATCATGGATAATATAAAAGTTAGGTTGTTTTGAATGAAAAGTCATTGGAAACGACTTGAAATTGTGTGATGAACGAGAAGAAGCATAGAAATAAAGAGAAAATTTAGCCCACACTTTTTTTTTTAAATTTTATTAATTGCGAATAATTTTCACGACCAAAATTTGTTTTATATTTCATTTTTTTATATATATATGCAATCGCATTTATGGTCCCAACAATATCCACGGCAATGGCTGCCCACATTTTCACAAAAATTGTCGCACTTCGGGTCTTCGCAAAAGTCGATAGGGTTTCCTAAAAATTTCAGTTTTTTTTTCTTGTGCTCACCTCTGCTGCACGTATAACGGAAAGGTCCGATACGGTTGGCCTCCGATTTTCCAGCCGAAACAAGGCTCAAAACGAAGAAGGTGACAATAGAAATTGCGAAAAAATTGGCGCTACGACATTTCGCACTGCAGGATGAGCCAAGTCTTTCTCCTTGGATGGTCAAGTCTCCCTCTCAAATTTTTATTTTTTCAAGATTAATATAAATGTCTTTATGTTTTAATCTACATATATGGACAGGACAATAACTCAAAAAGTAAGTTAAATTATCTCTCTTTCTGACTATACAAAACTTTTTTCGATTACATATTGTTATTATTGCGCATTTAGGCATTATAGAAGGTGCATAAATTTAGGTAAATGCTGTTCGTTCTTGACATTAGACGAACAACATTCGAAAGTCTTACCCCAAAAAAGAACTGCCGTCGAGCCTTCTTCGTGCCAAAATTATTTCAGCATGAAAATGATCTACAGTTTTTTTGTTGATTAGATTTTTGATATTACACTAGGTACTTTTGTCAAGTTGCAGGCAAAATCTAATGTTTTTGAAGTTTAAACCCGGAAAACTACAAAGCTGAGCCATTACTAAACCGTCACCAACATAAATATTCTTTCAAACCAGGGTTTGAGATGTCTTAGGGTGTAAGTGATCAAGTACAACCTGGATCTAAAAAAGTCTCAAATACCTCTCATACTGTTTTAAACATGTTTTAGATCGACCAGGGACCTTTGAAATATGGTTTGCGAAGTATTAATACGCATATATGGCCGCGGATACATAAAAATTGTTCCATACCTAAAATCTGAAAAAAAATCAAAAACGACAATAAAAGGGGGAAATCACTGTTACGACGTTAAGAATGTTAAAAGAAAGTTTTATTGTCCATTTAGACCTTATATGACGTAAAACGTGACCTAATCTCGCCTTAAACTTACAAAAGTACCTAGTGTAATATCAAAAATCTAATCAACAAAAAAACTGTAGATCATTTTCATGCTGAAATAATTTTGGCACGAAGAAGGCTCGACGGCAGTTCTTTTTTGGGGTAAGACTTTCGAATGTTGTTCGTCTAATGTCAAGAACGAACAGCATTTACCTAAATTTATGCACCTTCTATAATGCCTAAATGCGCAATAATAACAATATGTAATCGAAAAAAGTTTTGTATAGTCAGAAAGAGAGATAATTTAACTTACTTTTTGAGTTATTGTCCTGTCCATATATGTAGATTAAAACATAAAGACATTTATATTAATCTTGAAAAAATAAAAATTTGAGAGGGAGACTTGACCATCCAAGGAGAAAGACTTGGCTCATCCTGCAGTGTTTCGGGTCAGGGACAACTCGGGTCGCGACAATTCGGGTCAACGACAACTCGGGTCAACGACACCTCGGGTCAACGACATTTCGGGTCAACGATGCAGTTTAATATTTTCGCTTCGGGACTGGGAAAAAGAATTTTTTGGTGAATTTAAAAAATTTTTCAAATGTTTTCGCTTCGGGACTTGGAAAAAAGGGATTTTTTGTGAAATTTGAATAAAATTTGAAATGTTTTCGCTTCGGGAGTTGAAAAAAAGGATTCTTTGTGAAATTTGAAAAAATTTTGAAATGTTTTCACTTCGGGACTTTTAACAAAAGGATTTTTTGTGAAAATTGAAAAAAATTTGAAAGGTTTTCGAGCTGACTGAGTATGAACTGACTGAATATGAAAACTGGGTTTCTGTTACCTTACTGACTTTAGGGATTCTTTTTGAAAATTTTTCGACTTATAACACTTTTAGACGTTAATGGTGTTGTTTTGGTGCCTAGTACTGCTTAAAAAACACATTTTTAACACTTGGTACTAAATAGTACTACCTGGTACTATTTAGTACGAGGTGCAAATTTGGCCGTAAGGCGGTAATGGCGTTGGTTTGGTGCTTAGTAGAACCCAAAAACACGTTTTAACACTTGGTACTATATAGTACCAACTGGTACTGTTTTGTGAGAAGTGAAAATTTGGCCATGAGGCAGTAATGGTGATGGTTTGGTGCTTAGTAGAGCCCAAAAACACGTGGTACTATATAGTACCAGGTGGTACCATTGGTTTTAGACAAAATTTTAGTGCTGCCGGCACCACAGTTAATATTCAGTCAGACACCCTTTTTTCTACTTCCGATGCGAAAACATTTCAAAATTTTGTTGAATTTTCCAAAAAATCTTTTTTCCCAGTCCCGAAGCGAAAACACTTCAAATTTTTTTCAAATTTCACAAAAAATCCTTTTTTTCCAACTCCCGAAGCGAAAACATCTGAAAATTTTTTCAAATTTCACAAAAAGTCCTTTTTTTCCAAGTCCCGAAGCGAAAACATTTAAAAAATTTTTCAAATTTGCCAAAAAATTCTTTTTCCCAGTCCCGAAGCGAAAATATTAAACGGTATCGTTGACCCGAAATGTCGTCGACCCGAAATGTCGTCGACCCGAAGTGTCGTTGACCCGAGTTGTCGTTGACCCGAGTTGTCGTTGACCCGAGTTGTCCCTGACCCGAAATGTCGGGACGCGAAAAAATTCATGATCAGAAAATTAATTTTTTTGATAAAATCCGTTGGATTATATAGGGTCATAAAAGCCGTAAATTTTCGGTCGTTGGGATTGTAATTAAAAAAATTGAAAAAAAATTAAAATTCATGTCTAAATTTTAATGACGTCGCGATGGAAATTTTAATGAAAATACCCCAAATGCGGTGCTCAGATTTGGATGAAACTTGGCATAAATTCAGAGATTTTTTGCTAAAACATGAGCCGAGATTTTTAGCTTGCGCTTTGCAGAAACAATCGAGATTTTTAGATGAAAAGCCGGCAAAATTTTGACATTTTTTTTGCAAATCTTGGCATGAGAAGTTCTGCACTTATTTCTACCGTGGAGAGCAATGTTTCCACAAAAAATCAATTTTTTCCGCACGAAACTGACAAAGATACGGCCAAAAAGTGGTTTTCTCTCTGACCACTCCGCGTTTCACGTACTCTCTCGCCCTCAAAGATCGGTCAATATCTCGGCGGTGCCTGCAGAGCGAGCGCTAAAACTTTCAGGACTTGATATGTGGCACTGCGGGTCGGGTCAAGTTTTTTTCATGGGGTGGTCAAGTCTTTCCCCTAATATTATTTTTTCCCCGAAATTCAGACTGTTATATGGGAGGTTAATCAAGGTAAATCTGGTCAGTTCTTGTTGATTATTTCAAGAACAAGTCTTATTCTATTTTTAGAAATCAAATTTGATTGAATTACGGTGTGGGTTTGCCTCAATTTTTAGCATTCTTTGGGGGTATGTATTCTATACCTAAATGATCAATTGTGAGACAGTTTCAAGTCTGATTTACGATATCGTTTCCATTTCACCTTCGGACGTACGCCACCTGTCCAATAAAGGCAAGTAACTGTGAATCTGGTAGTCCGTTTTCTAGTAATTAAAGATTTTGTATATTATACTAGGTACTTTTGAAGATTTTTGTTGAGATTTGCCAAGTTTTCGGCCTGGATTAGATTATTTAGCGTAATATTGGTCTCTAGTGCCTATAAAAACGTAAGTGGACAGGTTTCTCCTTCTCTTTTAGACTTTTTCTTTGTGTCCAAAGTTGATGCAGATTTTAGGTAGAGATGAAATTCAACGCCCAAACTATGCGGAATTTTCATAAAAATCAAAGAAAATACTTTCGAGGATCATCAAGCGAAGCAAAAATGTGTTTGAGACCAATCTAGCGTTTTTTTCAGGCGGATGTTATACATGATCCCTGTAACGTATAACGTCTGGATCACATCTGTGAAGACCTCTGGTGATGGAAAACGTGGTTAGGACAGTAAAATTAATATGTTGGACGTGATTTTGAGGGAAAACCAGGCAAATCCCGTACAAAATTTTCTGAATAACCTAGAATAATATACAAAATCTTTAATTACTAAAAAACGGACTACCAGATTCACAGTTACTTACCTTTATTGGACAGGTGGCGTACGTCCGAAGGTGAAATGGAAATGATATCGTAAATCAGACTTGAAACTGTCTCACAATTGATCATTTAGGTATAGAATACATACCCCCAAAGAATGCTAAAAATTGAGGCAAACCCACACCGTAATTCAATCAAATTTGATTTCTAAAAATAGAATAAGACTTGTTCTTGAAATAATCAACAAGAACTGACCAGATTTACCTTGATTAACCTCCGATACTAGTCGCGGAAAAAAGTCCTTAGAATTTTCTGCGACTCTGCACTGTGCATGAACCCGAAAAGTGCTTTTGCACTGTGCAATTTTCGTGTTTTTGCCTTATTGTCGCGCGCGATTCCCGCGACAAATCAACATTTCGGAGTGCGACGAGATTTGGGGGCCGCGAAAAATTCTAAGGACTTTTTTCCGCGACTAGTATAACAGTCTGAATTTCGGGGAAAAAATAATATTAGGGGAAAGACTTGACCACCACATGAAAAAAACTTGACCCGACCCGCAGTGTGTGGCCTATGCGCAATGCGTGTGCAAAATTTGAGGAAAATCTGAATGTCGCGACATGTCGCACTTGAGTTTCTTCCATTGTTAATTTTTTCATCAATAGAGAAAAATTTTGATCTTACCTTGTCGTTGTAAATCGTTATTCTACTCCATTTTCACTTGACTTCCATTTTCCAAGCCTTTTCCGGACAAGTTATACGGTAAATCCACAAATTCCGGCGATTTATCAACATGCAGCCTGCAAAGTCACGGGCGCGAGCTGCGGAAAAAATATTTTATTTTTCTTCGGATTTTTTTGATTTCTTGGAGTGGAAGCCGTCTGAGTTGTTGGGTATGATCAACAACTAGAGTGTTTATTCATGGAAGATTCAGAATGCTTTTGATTTCCAGTTATTTGTTGAGGAGATGTGGGGAAAGGTGTTTTTTGTAAGTTCTCGGCAATTTTTGGGTATAGGATAAGGTATTTTCTCAATAAAATGACTTATTTACGCCTTATGGATGTTTTTAATCTAACTTCACCTATTTCAGACCTGTCCGAAGGATATCAACATCTTCACCATGTCTTGTTTCTCCCGCTTCCTTAGTAAACTCATCACCACAAAAAATCCAGCCATATTTGAGGTTGATGAGGTTGGACAAGCCAATCGGTAACGCATTTGTTCTTTATTTATTGTATTTTTAGGCACATGGCTGCTGTATTGGCCTTGCACCTGGTCGATTGCTTTGGCCTCTAAGGCTGGTCAATTTCCCGATCCAAAGATGATGGCGCTCTTCGGAACTGGAGCCATCTTGATGAGAGGGGCTGGCTGCGTGGTGAACGATTTGTGGGACAAGGATTTTGATAAAAAGGTGAGGGATTTTGTTTATTTTTTATATAATTTTAGGTAGAAAGGACCAAGTCAAGGCCGTTGGCGAATGGTGATCTAACTCCCAAAGAAGCTGTTGGACTTTTAGCTGTCCTCCTTTCATCTTCTCTTGGCATTCTTCTGCAAATGAATTGGACCACCGTCGGGCTTGGAGCATCGTCATTGGTGCTGGTTTTTAGTTACCCTTTCTTCAAACGAATAACCAACTGGCCGCAGGCCGTATTGGGTCTCACCTTCAATTATGGAGCTCTGATGGGATTCACAGCTGTTACTGGCCACTTTTGCCCGATCATTTTGCCATTATACTTTGCTGGCTGGTGCTGGACGATGGTTTATGATACGATTTATGCTCATCAGGTAGTGTAATATTATTTTTGTTTTTTTTTGATTTCTAGGAAGCTTGATTGGATGGAGTTGATAAAACAGGATCTTTATGACCTTGTTAAGCTCATGATTTACTGATGTCGCTTTCAGGACAAATCTGACGACGCTCTGATCGGAGTGAAGTCAACTGCCCTATTATTCGGCGAAAATACCAAAAAATATCTTACCGCGTTTTCCACCGGAATGTTCGCAAATTTGCTGGCCCTCGGAGTAATAACCGACCAGACGTGGCCATACTACCTTGGAATTTCGGCAATTGGCGGTCATCTTGGCCATCAAATATACACCTTGGACATTGGCAATGGGGAGGATTGTTGGAACAAATTCAGATCGAATTTCTGGATTGGAGCGGTTCTTTTTGTCTCCATTGTGGGGTCTAATATGATTAAAGAGCAGAAGGAAAAAGATCCGGTCAAAGAGAGTGATGAGGAATGTGTTTAGGCTGTATATTACTTTAGGTTCAAATAGGTTGTTATTTTTTTGTTAATTTTTATGTTGGTTGTTGATAAAGCTGTGAAATTGAAGGCGAATAGAGTAAATCAAAACTTTTTTGAATTCCACGGTCCAGAAATTTTATTAAAATTTGGAAATTTTTGTTACAAAAATCAAAAAAAATTGGCAATTTTGGAACAAAAAATTTCGAAAAAGCGCCAAAAAGTCGAATTTTCGACCAAAAAAATCTTGGGTTTTCATGGAAATGACGAGCTGAAAATCATTAATGTATTTTAAATATTCTTGTTCTAATTCTACTCCAAGTATCATCAAAATATAGACATTTGAATTGTCAGAAAAACTCTTTATTTTGTACAGAGTGGGGCATCTTTGTGGCCCGATTTGAATTGGTTATAACTTTTTTAGTTTTAGGCCAAATCTTAAAATTCTTTTTTTTCCCTGAATCCTCAGACGTCCCCATTTTGTTTAGTACCAAATATGTTATACCCATTTATTAGCTTACAGCAAAAGTCGACTACAAACAAAAATCTCTAATTTTGATGCTTAACAAGGGAAGCCCCTTGTGCGACACTCAGATTTTCTTTAAATTTTATACACGTGTATATTTGGTATTATAATAAACAAAGTGGGGACGTCTGAGGATTCAGGGAAAAAAAGAATTTTAAGGTTTGGCCAAAAACTTAAAAAATTATAGCCAATTCAAATCGGACCACAAAGATGCCCCACTCTGTACAAAATAAGGAGTTTTTCTGACAATTCAAATGTCTATATTTTGATGATACTTGGAGTAGAATTAGAACAAGAATATTTAAAATACATTAATGATTTTCAGCTCGTCATTTCCAGGAAAACCCGAGATTTTTTTGGTCGAAAATTCGACTTTTTTGGCGCTTTTTCGGAATTTTTTGTTCCAAACTTGCCAATTTTTTTTTGATTTTTGTCATGTAGAATAATTTACAGAAGTGACGTTTTAATATCGCTCCCACACTGAGCTAACCACTTTTTCTTTGCTCCACAAATTTTTTCACACTCCCAAAATTCCGCGTATTTCAAAAAACAGGAACCAGGTGAAATGTTTTGGCATTTTTAATTTTAATTTAAAAATTTTAGCGCTATTATTCCAAAAACTGACAAATTTCCAAAATTCGCCCGCCACAGTCAAAATTAAGTTATCCATTGTTGTGTGGGATATGCGTTTGTCATGCCTGACGGCATTCAGGATCGCACTGTGAATCCGATTTTTACTCTGGTATGTCGTCAAATCGTCCATCTGACCGTGCTCGCCGAACTAATTTTGGCGCCAATCCTGATCTATGTCATCCTCAATTATTCGCGACAAGTTCAGAGCTACAAATACTTTTTGTTGAACAATATTATTTGGTGCTTGACGTATGCAATGTTGGTTGCTTCGACCAATGCGCACATTCGATTCCCAGCGCCCTGCATCACGTTTGCGCCCCTTTTTTTGGTCCAAAATTTCCCTGCAACCGCAATGTCTGCGGCGTTTCTGGGCTGCGGCTTGAACATGGCGATCAGCACGGCGTGGGGATTGGTGCAGCGACTGGCGTTTGTAAGTTGTTAGTGAAATGAGAAAGCTTTCCTTTGCGGAGTTTTCGTGTCGCAAAATTTCCGCGTCTCGAAAAGTCGTGACGCGGAATGAAAAACTTGAATTCTTGAAGAAAATTGGCTAGAAAATCAAAGTTTTTCAATGCCTTTTTACACGTCAAATTTTTTCCCCTTGCTCTCGGGACCACAATTAGCTTCGACGAGGGTGTACTGTGACGGACCTGCTCTAGTGGCAAAAAACGTACCATTTTGGAGCCGGGAAGTATCAAAAAAATGTGGCAAAATGCCTCCCTCGCCAACTAGAAAAACTCCGTTTTGAAGAGCTTCCCCTCGCTTAAAGATCATTTTTTTCTCCAAAGATACAGTGAGGGACCTGATCCAATGGCAAAAAACGTCTCCTTTTGCATCCCGGAAGGGGCCAAAATGACTCCAAACCCTTCCCTTCCCTAAGCTAAAAAACTCCGCTTTGAAAAGCGCGCCCTTTCCTTCAAGGCGGGCTCTTCAAAGCGGGGTTTTTCAGCTTAGAGAAGGGAAGGGTTTGGAGACATTTTGGTCCCTTCCGGGATGCAAAATGACACATTTTTTGCCATTGGATCCGGTCCCTCACTGTAACCTGATTACACATGGAAGATGGTGTAGAATGGGTTTATTGCATACATAGGTTTGAAGCTGGACTCCTGCTTAACCCTTTCCGGACGAGTCGGCACCTCCATACAGAAATGAAAGAGGGTACTGTAGTGAGTAATAATATAATAGTGGTTCAGCCCATCGAAGCGTTATTTGGGACTTATGACAAAAAATGTCCTAAACGTAGTGGACGTTTTTGTCCCCACCCCGGTTTTGTCCCCAAGACGGTTTTGTCCCCAGGACGTTTTTGTCCCCACTTTTTTCGAGCCTTTTTGTCCCCAGACCGGTTTTGTCCCCAGGACGGTTTTGTCCCCAAGACGTTTTTGTCCCCACTTTTTTTATTTTTTGTCCCCACACCGGTTTCGTCCCCGGGACGTTTTTGTCCCCAAGCTGGATAGTACGATTAAAAATTATGCATTCAGATGTTAATGCTGTTGGTTTGAAGCCCCGCACTTCCCAAAAAATGTGTTTTTAGCACTTGGTACTGTATAGTACAAGGTGGTACTATATAGCACGAGGTAAAAATTAAGCCATAACACGTCAATGCTATGGGGTTGAAGCCCAGTACTTCTCAAAAATGTGTTTTAGCACATGGTACTATATGCACGAATTTGTTTTTGCACAAAATGAACGTCTGATCACTACTGCTTACCAAAACAACGTCATTCACGCGTTAAAGCTTAATTTTTACCTCGTGCTATATAATACCACCTTGAACTATACAGTACCAAGTGCTAAAAACACATTTTTTGGGAAGTGCGGGGCTTCAAACCAACAGCATTAACATCTGAATGCATAATTTTTAATCGTACTATCCAGCTTGGGGACAAAAACGACCTGGGGACAAAACCGGTGTGGGGACAAAAAAATAAAAAAGTGGGGACAAAAACGTCTTGGGGACAAAACCGTCCTGGGGACAAAACCGGTCTGGGGACAAAAAGGCTCGAAAAAAGTGGGGACAAAAACGTGCTGGGGACAAAACCGTCTTGGGGACAAAACCGGGGTGGGGACAAAACCGGGCCCAATCGTCCTAAAAAGTACCCCCGGTTGACATAACCCTTATAAAATTTTACTAACGACCTGTAAATGAGAAAGATGTTGCGATTTTGCCGATTTCTCCAAGAGTTTCCCTCGCCCTTGTTTGAAGTTTGATGGAAACATAGTCTGGAACAAGGCGGATTTTTTGAGCCTAAAACGAAAAAAATCAAACGAGCCAGTTTCGAGATGGAAAATCTCTTCATTTTACGCAATATTTCGCCTTTCGTCTGACCTCGTCCAAAAAAATCGTCATTGAGACGGACTTTTTGGATACTTTCATAAACGGAAACAGAATGCCAACTTTCGTGTTGAGAGATAACCCTTTGAGCGCAAAATCTTGACGTGCCCGGCAATTCTTCTTTTTCTAATTCGAACTTTCAGGCCACAAATGGGCCGTTTGTCCGCCGTATTCGGCGACATCCTCATCGCTATGTACTGGCGATCATTGCGTACCATATTCTAGTCACAACAACCTACCTCTATGCCTTTCAAAAGGTCGTAATTACGGACAGAGAGCGTCTCTACGACGAGTTCACGATGCGAGTTCCTCACCTCAAATTCCTTGCGAACACGACCCTCTACGCGTGCGTGGAGTACCTCCCGAATACCCGGCTATATTGTTATTTGACCGCGCTGGTCTGTATCTTCTTCATTTGCCTGGAATTCATCGCATTCGCGGTTTTGTATCGGGAAGTTCATCGGAATTCGGCCAAACTCTCGCTGCAAACCCATCGAATGCAGTTGGTCCTGCTGCGGGCGGTCGCATTCCAGCTCCTCAACTACTTTGTCATCGTCATTCTGCCCGTCGTTTTGTCGACTATCGCGTTCGGCGTTCAATTCAAATACACGGAAGAGCTGACTACGTTGACGGAGACGTGTTTGACGCTCCATGGAATCATCGATTACGTCTGCATCCTCTACTTTATTACGCCCTATCGACGGGCAGTTGGACGGCTGGTTCGTTGGCAAAAGAAAGTAAAGAGTGAAAGTGTTGTGGTGGCTACAAGAAGACTGAATGTTAGTCAAAGATCTATTTGAATAAATGGATTTTATACATACAGTGATGGATCTGATTCAGTGGCAAAAAAAGTATCATTTTGCATCCGGAAAGTGTCAAAAATGTGACGAAATGCCTCCCTTTCCAAGTGAAGAAACTCCGTTTTGAAGGGCGCCTCACAAAAAGAGCTGGGAGGCATTTTTCCACTTTTTTTAATACAATGGTAGACCTGGTCCAGTGTCAAAAACATGTCATGTTGCATCCAGGAAGTATCAAAAATGTGGCAAAATACCTCCATTTCCAAGTGAAAAAAGTCCGATTTCAAGGGCGCGCCCTTCAAAACCAAGTTTTTTCACTTGGAGAGGGAAGCATTTTGCCACATTTTTGATGCTTCCCGGATGCAAATGGTACGTTTTTTTGTCAAATTCCCATCGGGTACCCCACTGTATTTCCTGGGTGCAAACTGGTACGTTTTTTGCCACTGGATCAGGTCCCCCATTGTATGGCAAAAATCAGATTTTTTTTTCTAATTATTAACTAAAAATCTCAAAAAATCTGGCAAGAAATATATTCAAATATAACGATGTAGGTCAACAGGCTTTGGCATGGGGCATTTGTCGATGTGAACACATTCCAGACGCTGCTCATCTTTGTACACGTGCTTCTCTTTGCACTCGCATCTCGGTCGGCCGCAACGCAGGGAAAAGCAGGGGAAAAACTGCAAAACTATTGATTAGTAAGACGGAATAAAGAGATCGTATTTCGGAAACAGTTTGCTCACTGGTTTGGGATGATGACACGACGGTTTGGGGCAGATGTCAGCGCACGATTTGAGGTACGCGTTCTTCTGACATCTCGGGTCTTGAGGGCCGTTCTCGGCGGAGTAGAGTTGCTCGTCCTCGAACTCGTTGGGATCCAGACCATTGGCGTCGTTCAGGAGAGGGAACTTGGGTGGAGATGGGGAAATTGCTGAAATTTGGTGTTAGAAAAAGAGTGTTGGAATTGCTAAAATTTTCAGTGAGAAATTTTGAGATGACCGGTCAAGGCTTTCTCTATGTTTGGCATGGGAAATTATGGTCTTTCACCAATCGAGAGAGCTCTTCAATCACAACGATACCGCAACCATGCCTTAGCGACCTCTGATGAGTTACAAACGTTTGTGCAAAGTGGAAAGAAAATTTTGTCATCCTGTTTTTTGCCATTTATGAAAAAAGTGTACGGAAAGTGCATCAAATGATACGATTTTTTGGGTGCGGTGTTATTGCGTCCCAGATTGTTTCTGTGCCCATTTTCAAGGTTCTTGGTTCAGCAGTTCCCGAGATCCAGGCGGAAAGAAAATTTTGTCGACCTGTATAGGCCCTACATTTAAAAAAGTTAAACTCTCTGATCGCTCTTGACGTTTTGCGTACTCTATCGGCGGAAAAGACCGTTGAATATCTTGGCTGCCCTTGCAAAACGCGAGCTAAGAATTTCTAGAATTGATATGTGGCCTATTCCCGACATGTGCGCAAAATTTAAAGAAACTCTGAGCTTCGCTCTTGAGTACTTATGTTATAAATAAAAAATGAAGAGAAAATAATAACAAACGGTTGTTATATCACCTACTTCCTGTACACTTTGTCCTCGTGATGCATTTCCCGCGGTAGCGAACATGCCGATGATCGCAGAAGCACCCGCGGCGACAGCCAAACACGCACGAACGGCGGGTTCCATTCCGCAGTTCGTCGCAGGTCTCCTCACAGTGAGGGCCGCATTCCATGAACTCCTCGCCTTGCTGATGACACATATGGGCCGGCGGCAGCGACGGAGAGATGGAAAATGGTATAGAAAAGGCGATTGAGAGCTGAAAATTGATGTTATTATATAATGCATGAAGAATGAGGAAAAGTTTTAAACAAAAGGGATTTTACGCGTGTTATACTCAATTAACTTACCATTAGACTAGATAATATCACTGTTATTAGTGTTCTTTCCATGATTCCTATATGTTGCTCAATTACTGATATACGAAACTCAGCAACCCATAGTTAATATATTATTAAGACTGGCTCAAAACTTTTCTGTGATTGCACGAAGAATGATATTTCAATTGTGCAGAGTGTCAGCTGTACAAACAATGGTCAATTGGTGGTTTTGGACCTGAAAATTGAATGTAATATAACGATTGCGACACTGCCTTTAGTGTGAAAGTTTTTTTTTTATCGTGAAATTACTCGTCGCCCGAGGCAATCGATACGTTGTGAGGTTAACACGCGTTATCGGTATGAGTTTTCATGTATAAATATATATGTAAATGTACTATACTACGTCTTGCAAAGACAGGGGAAGTATCCTAAGGACGGCGCTCAGATTTTTCTTAAATTTTTAAGCACAGCCCATAAAGCAATTACTGAAAGTTTGCGTTTGCGCTTTGCAGGGAGCGCCGTGATATTCAACGATACTTTCAGAGTAAGCGAAACGCGGAGAGCGGTCAGAGGGAAAACACTTTTTGGTTATAACCTTGCTGGTTTTCCGCGAAAAAATGACCTTTTGTGGAAAGATTGCCATCTAACTGTAAGGTTGAAATTGGTATGAAAACTTTCTATGCCAAAGCTTACAAAAAAGTGTCACATTTCTGCCAACTTTCAGCCTAAAAATCCCAAAGGATTTTGCAACGGGCAACATAGAAGTCGCTGATTAGTTTGAAATTTTTATTAGCTACTATCTTTGCTCAAGAAACCTGCCCGCAAAGACATGCCCGCGCCTTGTTGTCCGCAACATCGCACCGCGATTCAAATCGACAACTTACTTCCCAAAACTTGTCACTATACCACCCAACCGTTTACAGACTAAATGTTCCGTCGGATTACGCAAAAAATAAAAAAAACGTCGGGTTTGACAAAAAAAAAGAATGACAAAATAAAAAAAAAAAAACGAATTGAGGGTTTTGTAAGCGCGGCGTCACGCTGAAGATCGTTCACTTTTAGTGGTTTGTCAAAAGTTGTTTATGCGAAGATGACTAACATCGGATTAAGCGAGCGTGCAAATGGGATGTTTTGCGATTGTGAGTGGATTTTGATATGGTTTGGAGGATAAACAGCAGTGATCAAAACAAATTTTGGCTAAAAATAAAATGTAATATTACAACAAAATTCTCGTAAATTTTTTATTTGTTCGGTTTCGGTCAGCAATAGGCTGAGAACAGCAATATTTTTAGCAGTATCTGTTTATGGCGATAAGGGCTGTGAGAAACTGCTATTGGTTTGTTGAGTTAACCTGTTCAAAGGATAGTTTTGAATACAAAGACTAACTTTTTTGGAAACACTCAAGAAATATGGAACAAAATTGGTGACACAGTAACAGCAATGATAAAATATCTAATTGCGTTAACTACAGTGCCGGACCAGATCGCGGACCAGATCCAGTGGCAAAAAACGTACCATTTTGCATCTGGGACGTATCAAAAAATGCATCAAAATACCCTCCCAGACATTTCACTACATTTTCTGATGCTTCCCGGATGCAAAATATTAGTCAGCAAGTATAAAATTAGAATGTCAGCATACTACTTTTTTTGTTGTTACTGGTACAGTAGACAAAGAAACTGTTTGGAAATTTTGTTTCCACGCCGTAAAAAGCACGTTTCCAATGTATTATATTTTTTTTTTTTTGCTTTACTGGCTTTTTAAAAATGAAGATTTGCCGTTTTATTTATAACGCTCCAGAAAGTTGAAAAAAGCAAGCTGTTCGTTTCGTCTTGTTTTTCCATGTAGCCAATCATCACTAATTTAGTATACTTCAAAAAGAAAGACTTTAAAAAAGAATAACAGATTAGAAATCACCAAAACTGAGTTCCTCATCAACAGTAACCCAAAAAATAATTGAAAATTTTACAAGTGAAGTGTTCCAAGTGCAACGTTCAGATTTCTTGAAAATTTTGCGCATATGCCGGGAAGAGGATACATATCAATATCCGAAACTTTCATCTCGTGTTTTGGAACCGACGATTTCAATGATCTTGTCGAACGAGAGAGTACGCGAAACGTAGAGAGCGGTAGGGAGAGAAAAAACACTTTTTGGCTATATCTCTTTCAATTTCCTGAGGAAAATTTTGATTTTTTGTAGAAACATTATCCTTTACGGTAGAAATAGGCATGAAACTTTTCGTGCAGAAATTCGGCAAAAAGTCCGAAATTTTGGCCGACTTTCGAAGTAAAAATCTCGGTTGTTTCTGCAAAGCGCGAGCTAGAAATCTCGCATATATTTCCGAAAAAATTATTCTAAATCTGTGCCAAGTTTCATCAAAATCTGAGCATCGCACTTTGAGTACTAGATCGTGAAAAACAGCATATAATTTTCTGCAAAATAAACAGTAAATAATTCCTGCAAGATATATTATATTAACTGCATGACATAAAAACCCGAACAATAATTCTTTATTATTCCCCCCGACCCGACAAAAGGTGACATAAAAACCCAATTGATAATGCGTTCGGGAGTTCCGCGAAAATTTGTCGGACATTTCGCTAAAATGATCCGACAATAAAGGCATTGTCATCTCGAATTTCTCTTTTTTTTGTTTTTTTTTCGATTTTTACTCTTTGCTCTCACTTGTAACTTTCCAGACATCTTGGACTCTGGAAGAACCCTCTTTTTTGAGCCTTCGGACTCCTCTGTCTTTGCCGTTGATTCGAGTGGACTGGGAGGGCGTCTCAATTACCATTTCGGGAAGATAGAAAAAAAAGGCGAAGGCAGGTCCGAGATTTTCAGGATTTTGCGGGGGAGAAACACGTGGACTGGAAAAAAGTTTCAACAAACTTTTAAAAAAGGACGTGTTTTTCGGAAAATTGGGCGTTTTTGCCGGCGTTTCAGATGGTTTGCAGTCTGTAACAAACCGAAGATTGATTTGACGGATGGTATGTTATGATGAAAGTTTTGATATTGTCTCCTGTATTTCTTATTTCTACCTTACGGTTAGAAGGTACAGTGTCGGACCTGATCCTGTGCAAGAAACGTACCATTTTGCATCCAGCAAGCATCAAAAAATGTGGCAAAATACCTCCCTCTCCAAGTGAAAAACTCCGATTTCAAAAACGCGCCCGCTTTTTTGCATGGCGACGGGCGCGCCCTTCAAAACGGTGTTTTTTTTTTTGGAGATGGAGGCATTTTGCTACATTTTTGACGCTTCCCGAATGCAAAATGGTACGTTTTTTGCCACTGGATTAGGTCAGTAACCGCAACGTTTTTACAAAAAAGCAAATTTTTCCACGCGAAGTTGGCAAAGAGGTCTTTAGATCGAAAGCCGGCAAAAATTTAGGACTTTTTGCCGAATTTCGGCACGAAAAGTTTAGTGCTTATTTCTACCGTAAAGGATAATGTTTCTACAAAAAATCAAATTTTTCCGCACGAAACTGCCAAAGTTATGGCCAAAAAGCGTTTTTCTCTCTGATCGCTCTCCGCGTTTCGCGTGCTCTCTCGGTGGCAAAAATCATTCGATATCTCGGCGGCGCCCGCAAAGCGCGAGCTAAAACTTTCAGGAATTGATAGTTATTCCATACCCGATGTGTGTGCGAATTTTAAAGAAAATCTGAGCGTCGCACTTGGAGTACTTTCCTTGTAAATGTCAAAGATGCATTTTTGGGTTTTCCAACCAAAAACTGGGCTGTCATGGAAAAATTCGACCCAAGACTTTCAGCAAGTAGTTTGTGGATGCTCCACATTCCGTATGCCAACTTTCCTCATGATCTGGGCGTGTTACCAAGTAATAAACTTGTCAAAGCACCTTCGTTTCGATCTTCATTTCAACCTACTTGATCTCTGCTAATTTGTCGCTTCAAAATCCCCCAACTTGTGCGCGAAAAATTGGGTCAAAGGGCCGGTCCTAGGGCGGGTCTTCTCTCTAGGGTTCCCCGCTCTCGAGTCAACGTGTTCTGCCTCGAATATTAGGCCAAGGGTTTTGTTTGCGCAGGCTTTGTAAATTCAGAGTCCCGCTCCATTTCCTTTCTTATTCCTCCGATGTAATTTCAGGAGCATTGCCGGTCGTCGGTTTCATCAGATATGTACGTCTTGGAGCTGGGTTCACTTTCAAAGTTGCGTGTTTTTGAAAGAAAAAAAAATGATAAATAATCTTTTTTGGGGAAATTTTCTTGATTTTTTGAGGAAAAAATTGATTTATAGGCGGAAAAAATCGATAAAATTGATCTTTTTTAAGGGAAAAAACTGACTTTTTTGAAAGAAAGAACGATTTTCAATTAGAAAAATTAATTTTACTGCGGTAAATTTTTGATTTTTTTGTGGAAAAATTAATTAATTATTGAAAAATTTGATTTTTTTTGGAAAATTATTGCAATTTTTGAAAAAAAAATATTATTTTTTTACAAGAGGAGCGTTAGAAGTGCGATGCTCGGATTTTCTCTAAATTTTGCACACATGTTATCAATAGGCCACACATCAATTCCTGAAAGTTTCAGCTCGTTTTTTGCAGGCGCAGCCGAGATATTGAACGAACTTTGGGACCGAGAGAGTATGCGAAACGCGGAGAGCGGTCAGAGAGAAAACACTTTTTTGGCCGTATCTTTGGCAGTTTTGCGTGGAAAAATTTGATTTTTTGTGGAAAAATTACTCAATACAGTAGATTAACACACGACAGTTTTTATGGCAAAATTCGCAAAAAAAATTTTTCGATATTTTTTCCTAAAAATCATTTTTTTTTATAAATTATCATTTTTTTTCTCAAAAACTTTAATTTTTCGTTTTAAAAAATTGATTTTTTGGTTCCAAAAAGGACATTTTTTTCCATTTTTTTGACGTCACTGAACACTTCACTGTACTTTGAGACGTTTTGGACACGAAAATGACTCCAAAGTGTCGATTAGATTGCACGGCAAGATATCCTGTTCGCAACGTATCCTTTGGTGGCCAAAAAACGAATTTCCGCATCCGTTTTTCCAAGTCAAAC